ATCTTTGGAGATGTAGACAGTCTAATAATCCAGGATTAAAGGTTGTATGGAGGATTTTTTTGTTTTTTTTTGTTTCAAGTTGTCAATGATAGCATTATAGAGGTGCAGTAGCCTTGTAATTATGATGACCAAAAAAAAGAGAATAAAAATTCATCAACTCTGGACGTGGTGGGGCCAGCTAAACATTTGCCAATAGATAACGACACTGCCTCGTTATCTGTTAGCTGACAGGCTGTCAATCAATCTCCCTACGTTTCTAGCGTAACTGACTTGCCTGCGCGCCGCCGGTACGTGGTTTACGTACACCTGTCACGCAGTCCACAGACGCAAGCCGCACAGACGCTGTTTACTCCACCAACGCAACAGTTCTTAGCGGCTTTTTTTGACCTATATCTTCCTCGCAGTTAGCACAAAGTTTGTTGCAATGGCGACAAGAATCCAGGAGCAGTTAGCCGCAAAAGAAAATCTGTTTTTGAGGTCGCTGAAAGAAGAAGACAAGGGGAAAAGCAGCGAAGCCAAACTAAGGTGATTCTTGAAGATTCATTCCAGCGATGGCGCGACTGAAGCAGACGCAGGGTCTAAAGACTGACGCATTGGTCGCCAAATTACTCCTGGACAGGTCACTTCTGCTTATTATGAAAACGTACTTTATTTCCAAGAGCTAGACAAACGTTTTTCAGGACACGAAAGCGATATCCTATGTCTGAAAACGTAATTTTCAAGGCAAAGAAAGAGTCCGCTTGCTGCTGCGTGTTGTAGCTAGTTCATTCGCACGGAATCTCCGCGCACCCTTCTCTGCACCCTTTCCTGCTCCTGTCCCCGCTGCCCGTTCCGCTCTTCCCCCTGCTCCTCACTTCTCCGGGCACAGAATCTCCGCGCACCGCTCCCCTCTCCTCTCTCTCTCTCTCCTCTCTCCTCTCTCTCTCCCTGCTCCGCTCTTCTCCCTGCTCCTCACTTCTCGTCTGCGAACGAAATGTCCGCACACCCGCTCCCCCCGCTCCAAGGCGGAGAGCCTTGCCTAACCAACACTGTAGTTAGTTGTTTACAAGTCATGTGCAGCGCACCGGCTGTAAACAAACCTGTTTCTGGCGTAAAGAGGAGGCGGGAGGAGGTGTTTCTACATAGGGAGCTGTAGGGGAGGGGGGTGGTTTCACGCATGCGCAATATTTGAAAAAGGACAAACAGTTGCTGGATTTCTCGTTCCTTGGAAAATCCTCTATACAACCTTTAAGAATGAAACAAAACAACTCTAGGCACGTTTTGGGTGAGTTAACAATATTCTAACATAACTTAAAGATCATAAAAAAATACTTGCAACCAAAGAAGTAGTAGTAGTAGTAGCAGTAGTAATAGTATAATAGTATTCATACCTTCAGCAAAGTCTTGGACATCATGAAAGTCAATCTGTCTCAGGCTCCTGTCTCCTTGGATCAGATCGTTTTTGGTTCCACACAGATAGATCTTACAGTGCTGCAAATGAGACACACATAGACCACAGACTGTCATTTTGTTCATAAAATGTTCGTATTAACTCACTCTACATGATCCTGGAGTTTTTATTTAGCTAGTTTGTGTTTCTAATATGAACCTGGGTCCAAATTTACTGCTACAATTCTTATAACATCACACTCACTTACTCCAGTTCTTCATACAATTTATGACAGAGATAGAGACCTCTGCTCTCTGTCTTCACAAGTTGCTTTTTGATTGGTGTAAAACTATTATTTATATTTACAATAGTTATAATCCCACCAAATTAAGTCAAAATCTGCCATATGCACTTTAAGTTATGGCTTTAAGTTCTAAAATGCCTGTGTAATCAGTCAGAATGCCTGTTTTTCTTGGTATTTCTGAGTTATAAAACCACCAGTAATTGAATAAATGTAAGGTAGAGCTTTTTAATGCCATACTGTGGAAAATTCCAGGCAGAGCAATGACATATTCATAGGAACAAGGACGTGATGGACCCTCAACCAAAAAGTTACACAATGCACCTTTGAGGAAATAAGTGCCACTTAAAGACATAATATCAATACCTCGGAAACTGAAAAAGTTAGATAACCTGACTAGAGCAGAGTTATTCAGACTTGAACAATGAGAACTCTGTAGCTGTAACACTGTCTGATACCGGATGAAATAATGAAAAAACATTTTATATTTTACCTCTTCACAGTTCTGTAGCTCCTTTACCCAGAATTTTGCTCTGGAAACTGCTGCTGTCTGTTAAATCTGAAACAAAAATGATGTTACAGATTTATAAAACGCATTAAATTTAATTACCGGTAGTCCAGATACAGAAAACCTTTGTCTCGAATTTCAGGCAAGCAGATTAAACAAAAAATAAAAACATTCCAAGAATTGTTTTCACGGACACTGTAGCATTCCAAGCTCCTCTGCCCAAACACAGGAGCTAAAAAGTGCAAGGAACTACATAGACCATAATCCTTTGCTCTGTTTCAATGCTACCAACACGTTTAATTTTTGTTATTAATTCTTACAAAAGTGAGTAAAAAGGTAAACCTCCAATTAAACCATTTTACGGTATAACACACAACTCTGCAGTTCATCTCTCAAACGGAAAACACTCTGTTCCACCTTGTGATGTCATGTGGTAATACAGGAAGTGCTCCACTGTGTTTTTAACCCTCACCTTCACTGGAATCATTTGGATAATTCCAGCCCTGAAATTGCCAATTTCTACTGAACTAAAAGTAAAAGGAGCTGTTAACTTGAAAACGACAACTTCATAACATCACAAGGTGGAACAGGGCGTAGTAGTAGTAGTGGTAAAAGCAGTAGTAGTAGTAGTAGTAGTAGTAGTACTAGTATCAGCAGTAAAAGTAGTAGTAGTAGAAATAGCAGCAATAGTATTAGTAGTGATAGTCGTAGCAGTAGTAGCAGTAGTAGTAGTAGTAGTAGTACTAGTAACAGCAGTAGGAGTAGCAGCAGTCGCAGTAGTAGCAGTAGCAGTCGCAGTAGTAGTAGTAGTAGTAGCAGTAGTAGTAGTAGTGGTAACAGCAGCAGCAGTAGTAGCAGCAGTAGTAGTAGTAGCAGTCGCAGTAGCAGCAGTAGCAGTAGTTGTAGTAGTACTAGTAACAGCAGTTGGAGTAGCAGCTGTCGCAGTAGTCGCAGTAGTAGCAGCAGTAGTAGTAGTAGTAGTAGTAGTAGCAGTAGTAGTAGCAGTAGTAGCAACAGTAGTAGTAGTATTAGTAGTAGCAGTCGCAGTAGCAGCAGTCGCACTAGCAGTAGTAGTAGTAGCAGTAGTAGTAATATTTCATATATACTGCATTGTGTGACTGACCGTAGCAGACGACAGCAGCTCTCGCTCCTCTGTAGTAGATCCGGCTCATAGCTTCATATCTCTCTGACCCGGCAGTGTCCTGGAAATATAAACATTTTACTTAAAGCTGCATTGTGTAACTTTTCTGGTGGAAGTTTCGTCAGATGCTTTTCTTCATGGAGATGCTTGTTTTTTTTTTGAGATATAAAACCACCTGTAACTGAAGATTTTATTTATATAGTGCTTTTCTAAACAGTCAAATACAGGACATCTCCACAGAAACAAGAAAAGTTACACAGTGCACCTTTAAGTTCATTTTAATTTTATGACTCACCCATATTCCCAGAGTGATCACCTTATCTCCGACTTGAATTGCTTTGGCCACAAAAGCAGCTCCGATTGTCTGTGTGGAAAAATGCTGTTAATAATTCATACTGTGCTTTTTTAATAGACTAAAGATCAATCCCTATGTTTGTTTGTTTTTTTAATCGCCGGTATCGACACTGAGAAACCAGAGACCAGAGAAACCAATGGTCCATAAACTCTGACGATATTTTTCTGTGATTTAAATTAAATACGATGTTAAAGGGGCCATATTACATTATTGTGATCTCTGTTACAATGACAGAAAAGTGACTAAGTGCACCTTTAAAGAGCTCATACTGCGCTCTTTTCTGATCTATACCTGGAATTAAAGCTGTGCAATTAATTAAATTTGATTGTGATTTTGATTTGAGTGTCAAACGATCTCCAAACTCATATAATCGAGTTGAAACGATAGCGTTAGGGTATGAACCTCACGGTACGATATTTATTGCAATATTGTCAGGAGACTCACAATTAGGGATGTAACAATATCCAAATCTCTTGGTACAATACTTTCACAATATGCATCTCATGACACGATATTTATTGCGATATTTTGTGGAGGCTGAAGAGCTAAAACTGTTAATATACTACTTTTTCCTGTTAAAATTCCTTGACAAGACTTAATCCAAAGAACTAAGACTTAAAAGTGCTTAGAGCTATTATTTCTTCATGTAGTCTACACTGAAATGGAGCAAAGGATCATGGTCTATGTAGTTCCCTCTGTCTTTTTTTTTTAGCTATTGCTGCACCATAACTCTTAATTTAAGTAAATTAATTGTAATTAATTTGTAATATGATATATTGTGATGGTCCACGATATTATTGTAAGAACTTTGACGATACGATATCATGGTTATTGTTACATCCCTAAGTTTTGTGTAAATTATCAAAAACAAAGTGTTTTTTTTAGAAAGAAGAAAAGCTGAATAAATGCATCATGTAACAAAAAAAAAAAAAATAATTTGAACAATCGTGATTTCAATATTGATCAAAATAATCGTGATAATGATTTTTTTCCACAATCAAGCAGCCCTACCTGGAATATAGGACCTTCAAAACATGTAATACTAGATAACACTGCTGCTGCTACTACTACTACTAATTCTTTTACTACTAGGAGTTTGTGTTTTGTTTCATTTACGGTCCTCCTACTGTTTCAGTCACACACGTATAACACTCTGTTCAACCTTGTGATGTCATGTGGTAATACAGGAAGTGCTCCACTGTGTTTTTAAACTCCATTAAAAATACACCTTCGATAAAATCATTTGGATGATTTCAGCTCTTCTGGAATTTTCAATCTCTACTGAACTAAAAGTACCGTAAAAGGAGCTGTTAACCTACCACTACATGACATCACAAGGTGCAACAGAGCATTTTGAGCTTTGGAGAGGTACAGACTAATAAAAACAATAGCAACATTTGTTTAGTTGTTGCATCTAAGTGAAGGCAATTTGAGCCCTGGTTTAGTTCCATTTTTACATGAAGTTTAAATTAACATAAAAATGTGAGTTTTGACTCTAGTCTCTTTGTTCTGATTTGTGAATACAGTTTTATTTTTTGTGTCAGGATCACACTGTACACCATGTGCTCTTTATCACGATTCTGTTAGTGACTTTGTGAATCCATTATTTAGCTACAGTTCAGGCTAATGAATATGAGCTTTGTCTAAAACCAAAACACAGCGCACAGATGTGAAGGTTACAGTGGTGGAGTTGTATTATACTGTACAGCACATATTTGTCATAATATTCTTGTATTGTTGTTAAAAAGCATTTTGCGCTTTGGAGATGTAAACAGACTAATAATAAAGTGCTACTAAAACATGTGTGAATGAAACAAAACACAACTCCAGGTCTGTTTTTGATGAGGAAACAACATTATAACATGACTTAAAGCTCACAAAGTAGTAGTAGCAGTAGTAACAGTAGTAGCAGTAGCAGTTGTAGTAGCAGTGCGATCTAGTATTATGTGTTTTAAAGGCCCTATATGACACAAAATTGCCTCTTGTGAGCTTTAAGGCATGTTAGAATGTTGATAGCTTCTCAAAAATACACCTGGAGTTGTGTTTTCTTTCATTCACACATGTTTCTGCATATTTAGACTGAGTACCTCCTTCTGATGTCATGTGGTAATACAGAAAGTGCTCCACTGTGTTTTTAAACTCCATACACCTTCACTTGAATCATCATGTACATTTCATGGCTGCTCACTGTATTTAAGAATTGCACAGTTATTTCCTCGAATCAGTGGTCGTTTTTACACTGGACCATCAGCTTCTTTGGACAAAATGTGGTGACCGGAGAGCATAAATGATTTTTGCAGATTCAATCAATTTATATGGTGAAAATATCATCTCTTGCTTGTCAGCTTCTCAAATTTCAAAGTTTCACCCAATCTATAAGCACCAGAGTTGAACAGTTTGGCTTATATAACATCCTAAATGTAAAAAAAAGACTAGGGGTGTGCAAAAATATTGAAATATCGATATAGCGTATCATTTAATTTGATGATACAGTATTGATATTGTGGGCTGCTGTATCAAAATATTGCCAAGAGTATTTTTAGGTATATTGTACTCAATTATTTTGTGTACGAGCTACAGTTCTGTTGACACTGTTCTGTTTTTCACAGTTTTGAGTAAAATGGGGCATTTTTCATATTAACTTTGCACAGACTTTGTGATTTAATAAAGACTTTTAGAATCAGTCTTTGTTTTTCACTGAACCATATCGAATCAATTTGAAATATATCATATCAAGTCGTATTGAATCGAAAGTGCACTGTATCAAAAAATGTATTGTATCGTTACCTGTGTATCGAGGTATGTACAGTCCCTGACAAAAGTCTTGTCGCTTATCCATTTTGTAGAAACAAAAGCTTATAACCTGACTTTAAATTAATTGATTGGTTTTAGAAATGTCTCATATGAAAGCTAAAACCCTCCCAAATTATGCTCAATATACTAAAATAAATTTGCTTCACTGAAGAAAGATTGATCATTTAATGAACACAGAAAGGTCAGATTTTGGCAAGACAAAAGTTTTGTCGCCTACAGAAAATTGAACAAATAATTAACTTCAAATACAAAAATATGTTGCATAATGTCAGTGAATGAAGTAGTGGTGCTGTGAGATCCATATTTAATATCTTGTATGACTTCCATGAGCTTCAAGGACGCATACATCCATGCGGTTCCACAATGATTCATACAATTTGTTGATGAAGTCATCAGGAATAGCAAAGAAAGCGTCTTACATGCCTCCCAGAGTTCATCAAGATTCTTTGGTTTTGCCTTCCATGCTTCCTCTTTCATTCTACCCCAGACATGCTCAATGATGTTCATGTCTGGTGACTGGGCTGGCCAGTCCTGGAGCACCTTGATCTTCTTCTCCTTTGATGTAGAGATAGAAGTATGCGATGGAGCACCATCCTGCTGCAAAATTTGACCCCTTTTATGGTTGGGAATGTAAGAGGTAATACTTCTTGATATTTTAGGCTTATTGATATTTGCCTTCCACCCTGCAAATGTCTCGCACACCCCCATAATGGATGTAACCCCAGGCCATGATTTTTCCGCCACCAAACTTAACTGTTTTCTGGGTGAATCTTGGATCCATGCGGGCTCCAGTAGGTCTCCTGCAATATTTGTGGCGGCTGTGATGTAATTCAACTGAGGATTCATCTGAGAAACCCACCTTCTGCCACTTTTCCAGTGTCCATCCTTTCAGCAGGCTTTGGGCCTTGCCAAATGCCACACGGTTTTTTAATTGCCTTTTGTTTAGTGCTGGTTTCTGTGCACTGATTCGACCATGGAGGCCATTTTGACACAGAATTCTACAAACTGTTCTGATTGACACAGGGACTTGAGGTGACCAGGCCTGGTGGAGCTCTGCTGCAGTGGAAAAGGGGCTGGCCTTGGATTTTCAAATCAACAAACGGTCCTCCCGAGCATTTGTCTTGCGGGGTCTGCCGATACCCAGCCATAGAAAAGACTGAGATGTTTTAAAACTTTTGCGCCCATGACTTGTGTATTGAATACTTTCATAAATGCTCGTCCAAAACATTTGGTCAACTGGGTAACGCTTGGGATAATCACTCATAAAACTGCAATGGTTCACTCTAGTCACACACTCAACATCACAATGAAGCCTCAGCCTTTCTGTGGTGAAATTTGAAAAGACACTGCTCAGGTTTAACCCGTGACTTCATCCTGTTTTACTGCATACCCAGCTTCAGAACTTTTCAGATGTCAACTGGATAACATCAGAGCATCTTGGGCTTTAGCGATGTAGACAGATAATAATAAAGGGTTACTGAAGCGCGTGAATGAAACAAAACACAACTCCAAGTCTGTTTTGGATGAGGTAACAGCATTATAACATGACTTCAAGCTCACAAGCGTCTATATGTGAAATATGGGACCTTAAATTTTGATGGTTTTGATTTTTAAGACGAAACTGATGATGGGAGGAAAAGAAAAACACTTACGTTTTGGTAGGGTCCGACCAGGAAGCGGTTGTGCACGTATCTCTCGACGAGGCTGGTCTTTCCCACGCTCTCCTTCCCCAGCATCACCACTTTGGCGTCCACGCGCATCGCACACATGTCCACAAGGGGGCGTCACGTCTGGGGGTCGACCGCTCCACCGCTCACCAACGAACCCACAAACAAGAACAGAGACGCTTCTAGACTCTGAGATGAAACAACAAGAATCACGTGATGTTTTTTAATGCAATGTAAACGTGAAATCAATAAAGTTTGTCTAAGTCAAACTTTTTGTTGAAAATCAAACTCCTAAACAGGACCATGACTGTCAAAATACAATAGATAAAGATAAGTGATAAAATAAATCACAGTTTTATACAAGAGGTGATTTTATTTTACTACTTATCTTTCTATTTATTTTGATTTGTACATAAACATTTAAATAATTATGTCTCATTCGACACCTGTCTCTTGCTCTCTTTTGCAATTTTTTAAAAATTTATTATTACCATTTATATTTTTTACTCTTTGTTATTATATTATATTGTGATGTTTGAGCTACTGTGTCCAAATCATTTCCCCTGTGGCTCAATAAAGTTCGTCTTAGTCTAAGTCACAAACTAACTAAAATTACACAACAGTTTCTCAGTCACTCTCACCTTTTTGTTGAAAATCAAACTCCTAAACAGGACCATGAGTGCTCAAACTGAGCACAGACTCCTGAAAATTTGACTTTTAAATCCATTTTGTAATTTTTCCTGAGTTTTCAGAGAATCTTAAAACTTTTTTGGTGTTACTATGTTACTATGGTGATAGTAACTGTTGAACATTTCGCCATTAGACATACATGTAGAACATCCCCAGTGTGAAAAAGTATCAATAGAACTGTACAGGGACGTTCACACACCAAACCAACTGATCTAAAGCAGGAACTTAACCTGAACAATCGCAGGTCCAGACCAAGTTCCCATCAAAACTCAAACCAGGACAAAGTCCGAGCTTAGTCCAGATTTATTTTTAGTCTGGTCCTGGCTGATGCTCTAAGATTTTATGAGGTGGAACTTGGTTTTGTGGTAATATTTTAGAATTTTTTGAATCATGCGTAGCCTTTTCTGTGGCGGCTTGCTTCATTATGACTTCCTGTGCATACATCCTTTCATCATTTCCACATTTAGTATCTCCAGTCACAAAACAGAACAATCTTACTAAATAACTGTCACACATTCATCTTTTAGCTTTGTGTTGTGGCACAAAACAGTTTGTGCAGAATTACTTTAGAAAATATTTGGCTAAAAATAATCCAGGATGATCAGAATTAATTTGGTTGTAAAAGCAAATAACAGATGGCAAAAGCTGCAATTATTTGGTTGTTTATATAAAGTGAATATCACCTTTATAAATCCTGTTAAGTGTGAACTGTGTAGACTACAAACACATGCTAAAAAAAATAAATAAATATGATTAGTAAGTGAAAGTGAAATTGAACTAAACTAATGATGGAGATGTTATTGCTTTGTGTGGAATGTTTCACAGTATGGTATTAAACCTTTTTATCTTCATGGAGACCAAACCAGACCAAGTTACGGTTACATTACATTACATTACATTTTTACCTATAAAACCATGTGCAATTGAATAAATTAAACTGTAGAAACCATAGAAACAAGAAGGTGACCAAATTACACAGAGCACCGTTAATATATTAATTTAAATTTGACTTGTTTATTTTTTACACAGCATAAAGAATGGCCGTAAGTCTGCAAACAATATAATTAAGCTTATCCACAAATAGAACTATATTTTTAGATCTATTCATGGGATTCCTTTCTGATTATGTTAGAAGGATTGGACATGGTAACACTCCATTTTATCAAAACTTCCGAGCGATTTATTCCATTCAAAAGATACTGTATTGTGTTGTTGTTAATCATTATGGCAAAATTATGATTGTTCATTATTTTGAAACTAAAAATATGATATTATTTTATTTCTGTAAACTCTAAATTGCAATTAAATTCTGCAGACATACTACTACTAACTTCTGGGTTGGAAAATAAATGTTTTTTAACTCAGAAACTACAACGCATTTACTGTAATCTATAGAAAATGCGCAATGCTCAAATAAATAAATGCATACTTTATGGAATACACTTCTAGGCCATTCTTTGTTGAGTTGTTGTTTTCTTACTATGCTTGAATAGTGGTCACATGTTCCAATAACACTATAAATATTCAATATAAAGTTCATTTTAGGACCTTTGGATGTTTTTGGAATACACATACTAATCATTTCAGGTAATTTAGTGATTAGATTAGCTTGAAAGGATTTAGGCCTTTCTAGTCTAGACCTACAGGAGCCAACAAAAGGGTCAACAATGAGGATATGAACAGAATGTGGCCTACAAATGACCAATGACCCCCAGTAATGTAAAACAGTCTATTAAAGCAACCCATAGAGCGCCTTTATAATGGAAAAGTTAGATTATTACATGCCCAAATCGAAAACAGACACTAAAATCACAATAATACTAAGAAGACATAAGGTGGTAGAAGAAAAAACAATTGTGTTAAAGTCGTCCAAGCTCACCAGCTTCATGAAAACATCTTGTACTCACCTAATATGAGCTGGTATTTTGCTCAACCCACTCCTCTACTCATCAGATGGTTTTCAGAGTAGGAACCACCCTGTCGTCCAGGCTCTCCAAGTCTTTTTTAAAGCGTAGGGTTTTCCATTTTGCTTTTTTAAGGTCGGACGCCGGTGTTTTCGTTGTTTTGGTGATAAGAGGTGGCGGTGAGTTGGCGAGACGTGCCTCCTGCTGCTGCTGCTGTTGCTGTGATGTTGTTGCGAAATGATCAGTCCTACAGCGCGGACTAGTGATAGCGCTAAAAAAAACTATGTACAAAATAATTTACGCTACGAAATCAACAAGAATTACTCTTTTAATGATAATGAGATTTTCAAACGCAATAGGAAAGATACAAAGATTAATTTCAGTCCCTCGCGGAGCTTTGTTTGGTCCGGCGGAACTAAACAAATGTTTGAATTTGGTTTCTCAGGGGAGGACCGGAAATGTGAGACAAACACCGGATGTCATGCAAAGTTTACAACCAAAACTAAATAATAATAAACTCTGCTCTCTTTATTCCTGTCTTTTTCTTTTCATATGTTCTAATATATATTTAACGTATTTTCTTTGTTATTTTAGTATATTTGTGAGTTAGTGTGTGTGTGTGTGTGTGTGTGTGTGTTGTGTGTGTGTGTGTGTGTGTTTTTTTTTATATATATACATCTAATAATATTGACGTAATTTAAAGAGCCACTAAACACGAAACCACTTCTTTTTTTTTCTTTTTTTATTAATTGTGTGAATTAGTCTAAAATAGAAGTGTATACCTATACCTGGCCTTATTTTGGCATTTTAGTGCATATTTTATTAAAAATTTGACTTTGGGTCGAAAGCCGTGTCTGTACCGGCCTCACATTAGTTTGAACTTGTTTTATGAATTACTGGTGGAATGACATTTAACCTATTTTATCATGTTATCTCTCTGCTCCACGCCCACTTAAGTTCAATAAAATGTATTGCACTACGTTACACTGAGCCAAAACCTGCAGGAAATACTAAGACCTTAAAATTGTGCCAAAGTAAGTGTTTTATTGGTAAAAATAGAAGTTTAAACTCGTTAAAGGCCATACAAACAGAGAAGAGAAACACTGGGCAACAACCGTTCTCACGCAGCCCCTCGACGATCCGATTGGTTGAAATTGTTAAACGTCGCGCTCTGATTGGCTGAGGCGTCCCACCCTGAACACGCGCTTCCAAATTGGCTGGGTCGCAATTCCAGTCATAACTTCCAACATGGCTGAAGCAGAGACGAGCGAGGTAACTTCCACCAGTGGAATTTTGCAAGAAATCTTCACTTCCCCGCTAAACTTGACCCTCCTGAGTTTGTGTCTGTATTTGGTGTATAAAATCGTGCGTGGAGACAAACAGCCGGACTTTGGTGAAGTGGAGAAGCCGCTGCCCAAACTGAAAAAGAGGGACTTTACCTTGGAGGACTTAAAGCCCTACGATGGACTCCAAAATGAGCGGATACTTATGGCTGTGAATGGCAAAGTATTTGACGTGACGAGAGGAAAGAAATTTTATGGACCAGGTAACGTGACACATTTCTTTTTGCGTTATGAAAAAAAGTATTTTGTGAACATAGACAGTGTGATTGTTGTAGATCTGGCATACGTGCGCACTCGACTACTACGACATCACCTATAAAGTACCCAAAACCTAAATGAGATAGCTTTAGGTGTGTATTTATTAGGTTTTGTTATTTTGCACATCCGATATTTTGCATGTGCGTCTTTAGATCGTTGACATGTAGATAGTTTAAAGTCCATTATTTGTCAAAAGCAGAACACCACGCCCCCTGGAGGTGGGCTGAGGTCATATTTCACAACATCCTTGAACTCTTTCCTTGAAACTGGAGCTACGATTTAAGAGCGTGAACCTCGGCCTACATCTTTGTTCTTCCAGCATTTTGTACAACGTGTGAAAAGAAACTTGAGAAGGATTTTTATTCAAGTGTCAATGCACAGTGCAGTGCAGTGTTCAGACTCGTGAACTGATCTGAACTAAAGCAGGACTAATGCTGGAACCCTGGGCCCCTCCTCTGAGATTTCCTGTTGAAAGGGCTCAGCCTCAGACTGCTGCATAAATGGTACAAAAGTAGATACAAATTAATTCCTTCAACAACAAACACACAGTTTTGGTGTGAAACTAAAGTTCTGTTTCAAGTATTGGATCTTAGGCTCCTGAGGGTCGGGGTTTCGTATCACTGATGGGGCTGGGTATCATTAAGAAGATGCCAATACGATACATACCCCAATACATAGGCCACGATACGATACATATCTTAATACTTTCGATATATTTCAAATCGATTCAGTACGGTTCAGTAAAAAATAAAGGCTAAATCAAGGCTGTGATACTAAATGTCTTTGTTAAACCACTTCTTGTGCAAAGTTAATATGAAACACAAACATTTTAATCCTCAAAACTGCGAAAATGTCAAATAAAAGTTTCTATCCACTAAACACGCAACAAAACTGTAGCGCTGTAACAAAATAATTTAGTAAAATGTAACAAAAAATACTCTTGGTGATATATTGATACAGCAGCCCCCGATATAGATACTGTATCATCACATTTTGATATTTTTGCACACTCCTAATCACTGATGACAAATATTTATTAGTGTTTTATGTCAAAGTGCATGTCTGATTTTAATCTCTGAATGGGCAATAGTTAAACATTTACCATGATGATAAAGTTAACCAGGGGCATTTTTTCATTTTGATTCATTCACACATTAACCTTTTGCATATTGACCTTGTTCTCAGAATCAAAGGAAAGTTGCATATGACTTTTGTCCCTGACAAGTGCCAATGCTGCTACTGTCTCTAAAATAAATCCCAAAAAACTTTCCAGGATTAAAGTAACGTGTTTATATTTATGTGCTAATGCCATATTTTTTTACCCTCTTTGCATAAACCTGTGGATTTGTGCTGCAGAGGGTCCGTACGGCGTGTTCGCGGGCAGAGACGCGTCCCGGGGTCTGGCCACCTTCTGTTTGGGGAAAGAGGCGCTGAAAGAGGAGCACGATGACCTGTCAGACCTAAACAACTTGCAGCTGGAGAGCCTGTCCGAGTGGGAGCAGCAGTTCACCTGTCAGTGCCAACACACTGTCACATCACACACTGCACAATACATCATTACGTACAAAACCCACCGCACCTGTCATGAACTTAGACCTAGACTTTGATTTAGATAAACTATTGATTCACAAGGGAAATTATTTGGACACTGTAGCTCACATAAACAATATAATGTAATAATGTAATAACAAAGAACAAACAAAGAGAAAAAATATATATTGTAATAATAAATTCGAAATAATTAGCAAAAATAGCAAGAGACTGGTGTCAAATAAGGCATAATTATATAAATGTACAAGTAAAAATAAAAAGTAATAAAACTATCTCAGCTATAGGTCACAATTAAAACATAAGGCTGAGTTGTTGTACAGTTGTAGGGAGTATTATCTGTTACTTAAGGGTGAGTTGTACATTTGTAGGGAGTATTATCTGTTACATAAGGGTGAGTTGTTGTACAGTTATAGGGAGTATTATCTGTTACATAAGGGTGAGTTGTTGTACATTTGTAGGGAGTATTATCTGTTACATATGGGTGAGTTGTACAGTTGTAGGGAGTATTATCTGTGGCATAAGGGTGAGTTGTTGTACTGTTACAGGGAGTATTATCTGTTACTTATGGGTGACTTGTACATTTGTAGGGAGTATTATCTGTTACATAAGGGTGAGTTGTACATTTGTAGAGAGTATTATCTGTTACATAAGGGTGAGTTGTTGTACAGTTGTAGGGAGTATTATCTGTTACTTAAGGGTGAGTTGTACATTTGTAGGGAGTATTATCTGTTGAGTAAAGTGAGTTGTTGTACAGTTGTAGAGAGTATTATCTGTTACATAAGGGTGAGTTGTTGTACAGTTGTAGGGAGTATTATCTGCTACATAAGGGTGAGTTGTTGTACAGTTGTAGGGAGTATTATCCCTTACTTAATGTAGTCCCACACTTCTGCCACACTTAAAACTTGACCTTAGACCTATAATTTATCAGAGCAATAATAATTTTACTGATTTGAACCATTGCTTTATTCAAACAATGACTTTCAAAGTATGAAGGGAGTTGGCTGAAGCTTTGAATTAGTTCAAAGTGTATCCTGCCTTTTTCCAAATACGTAACTAAAGAAAAAAAATCTCGATATTCAATGCCAGTTTTATTAGATAACAGATTTTCAACACAATAATCGCAGTTTATATCAGTACTGTTATGACTGCATGGTATTAATAAATAGTTTCAAGACCATCCTAAGCTATTCAAGAAAGATTCACTTTATCTTTTTTTTTTTTTTTTCTTGGCAAGCAATGTTTAAGTCACAAACCTGCATATTTAGGCGGAGTTCTTCTCTCAAACGGAAAACGCTCTGTTCCACCTTGTGACGTCATGTGCTCCACTGTGTTTGTAAACTCCACGCAGCTTCACTACAATCATTTGGATAATTTCAGCTCTGGAATTGTCGTCCTCTACTGAGCTAAAGGTAAAAGGTAGCTCGGGGTAACCTGGAAACGAGCAGGTGCACAGTAATTTGAGCTATTTAACAGCACTGGCCAAGAGCTTAGACGCACTCACTTCGGATGGATTTGGGGACTTCCCAACAGATACCAATATCACCCAAAAGATAAAAAGTTCTATCAAAAGAGGACTTAAATGGGACTGAGCCAGAACTCATAAACCAGGACTGATCTAGGACTAAAAAAGTATTAAAAGGGGACTCAACCGGGACTCAACCAGAAGTCAACAAGGACTTTTAAACCAGGACTAAAAGAGGACTAAAAGAGGACTAAAAGAGGACTAAAAGGGGACTAAAAGGGGACTAAAAGGGGACTAAAAGGGGACTCAGCCAGGACTCAGCCAGGACTCATAAACCAGGATTGATCCAGGACTGATCCACGACAGTACTCTTTCATGTACTTTGTAAACCCCACCAAGTTTTTTGAATAGATTGGAGATGTGCTTTTAATTAGTGAAAGCAATGTCATCAAGGAGAGGGCAAACGACAGTGAAAAAACAAGATCCTAGTGGCAACAGACAGTCCCAACACGAGCTATTGAGCAAACGCTGGCTGCAGAGATGACAACTTTGAACGAAAATGTCACGCAACAGATAAAAGGCTCTATCAAGGAGTGTCTAGCTCCCAGTGAAAAAACCTTGACCGAAAACGGTGACATTTTGTGTTCACTGGTTGAACAGATGGACTCTTGTTATTAATATTTAATTAAATTTTACATCTAGTTTGTCCATAATCAACTAAACAGCTAAATATTACTATCCCAGGTTTGTTTTATTTAATCTTTGTTTTGTTAAGTTAATCACAATACAGACCAGTTACTTTAAATATATTTTTATTTGGTTATATCTATTAATTTGGTTACCATAACTTACCAGCTCACCTGTTACTCCACATGATCTGAAGACAAAAGAGGGGATGTGAACTTGGTCGGCCATATTTATAGCCTCTGAGGGCAGGTTTTGGGTCAGACCATGTGGAGGGGTGACTCGGTTTCATTTCTGTTTTGTTTTATGGATTTTGTGTGATTTTCAAATTTCAGTGTTTATAGTTTATTTTGAGCACTGGTATTTAAAGGGGACTTAGGCCCTTGAAAGAAATTAAGCTGCACACTTTCGAAACAGGTAAAATGGCTAGAAGAACTAATCTGTGTTTGTTGGAACTGACCCAAAGGGTGGAACTTCCTGTGTGTGTGGGAGAACTATAAATTCGCAGTTCAGCCTTTCTGGTGTTCACCTCCAGTGTAGCTGTGTTTAATTTTTCCACGAATCCACAGTAAAAGCCAGAATAAATATTTTTGTTGAAATGGACATTTTTTCATCTGCCTCCTACTTTGACCACTTTGGCCAGCTTCCCCACAGACTCTCATGCTAAGAAGTTCACTACTGTCTTTGGCAAAGTTGACAGCATTCAAGCTAACCTAAAATAGAAAACTACCACTTTATGACATCACAAGGTGGAACACAGCATTTTGAGCTTTGGAGATGTAGACAGACTAATAATGAAGGGTTACTCAAACACAAAAAATGTGTGAATGAACAAAAACACAACTCCAGGTCTGTTTTTGAGGAGGTAATGTAGGAGCTTTACGTTGACAAAGAATTTCTATAGATGTCTAAAATTCTTGCTAATACTAATATCACAATTGTATTTTTGTTTTTTCTCAGTTAAGTACGATTATGTGGGGAAGCTCCTGAAGCCTGGAGAGGACCCAACAGAGTACACAGATGACGAGGAGGCGAAGGACAAGAAAAGCGAATAAGAGAAAAGGAAAACTTCACACGATTCACAATCAGGACATTTTACAACTTTACCATCGTGGCCACTCATGATTCAGATCTGAAAATTCTCTCTCAAACGCTCAGCTCTCATCTTACACATAATCACACTAACTAAAAATTAAACTGTGACAAAACAAAGGACTGAAGGACGGCTGGAATGAGTACGACAGACTAAACCAGGACTGAACCAGGACTGAACCAGGACCAAATCCGGACCAAATCAGGACCAAATCAGGACCAAATCAGGACCAAATCAGGACCAAATCAGGACTAAATCAGGACTAAAAGGGGACTCAACCAGGACTTATAAACCAGGACTTATAAACCAGGACTTATAAACCAGGACTTATAAACCAGGACTGATAAACCAGGACTGATCCAGGACTAAAAGAGGACTAAAAGGAGACTCAACCAGAACTCAATCAGAACTGATCTAGGACTAAAAGAGGACTCGACCAGGACTCATAAATCAGGACTAAATCAGGACTGATCCGGGACTGATCCGGGACTGATCCAGGACTGGTCCAGGACTGGTCCAGGACTAAAAGAAGACTAAAACGGGACTAAACCAGGCTCCAGACTCATAAACTAGGACTCAATCAGGACTCATAAACCAGGACTAAACCAGGCTCCAGACTCATAAACTAGGACTAAACCAGGACTCACCCAGTACTCCAGGATTCCTTTATTAACCAAGCACTGATGGACCAATCCTCACATTTACTTTCTCGTACATCTACTTTATAAAAAAGCTTTTTATTCTGATATGAATTGAAATAATGTCAACAACACTTCACTTTCAAATGAATGAGACCAAGAAGGTGCCATTTTCTCACTTACTCCAATGTGCTAAATATTTTGTATAAACCTTTGAGACCAATATATCGATGTACCGATATTTGCCCTGTTTACCGTATTGGCTGCCGGCCTTAAATCTTCAGCTCAGTCCGATATTTTGTTTTTCCTGACCTGCTGCCTATAAATACACACAAAGCTTTATAAATACATAACTACTTAAAAAGTGACTACACTGCTCGCTTGAAGGTTTGTGGTAAAAAAAAAAAAAAAAAGGCTGTGGGGGAGTTTTTCGTGAATAAAAATTACATAATTTGTAAAAAATAATCAAAATTGGAACTGAAAAAGCAAAATCTAGCTGTGGGTTGTATAACATTTCTGGTGGAAGGTACGTCAAACTTTTCTCCATGTAGATGTTTTTGCTTTGTCTAGAATGTTTCGCAGTGTGGCTTTAAACCTTTCTATCATGGAGACCAAACCAGACCAAGTTACAGGTCAGATCTGTGGAGAGGCGAGCCCGCTCACAGTCAGAATTCCTGTTTTTGTAGGTATTTTTTGAGCAATAAAACCACCCTGTAATTGTATAAATGTAAAGTAGGGCTGTTTAATGTCATACTGTGGAACATTCCAGGCAGAGCAATGACGTATCCATAGAATGAAGCAGGTGAAAAGTTACACAGGTCACCTTTAAATTATCTACCAATGGAATAAGTGCATTTTTCTTACTTCAAGCAACCTTTTGATTTTTAAATTTTTTTATTTTAAGTGCAAAGAGTTGTTGTTGTTCTGATCTTAAAAGGTGCGCAACTTTTCTGGGTCCGTCACCTGCTTGTCTCCATGGAGATGTTATTGCTTTGCCTAGAATGTTCCACAGTATGACTTTAAACACATCCATCTAGCATTTATTCATTACGGGTGTTTCTGTTGCTCAAAAATACAATAATCGTTCTGTGATTAGGGGCGACTCTCCACAGATCTGACCTGTAATGTAGCGTATTGTTGTAACCTGCTTGAAAGATAGGTTTAATCTATACTGTGGAACATTCTAGACAAATCTACAACATTTCCATGGAGACATTACGTGGCGGAACCTCCACGATTTTCATATTTGAAGTGCAAAAAGTCTTGTTCCATTGGTAGATAATTTTACTTTAATTAACTCAAACCATGATACAGCGTTCTTGATTCAAGTCATCTTAACTTGGGTAGGTTTTCGTTTTTCCAGTTTATCGTCTTAAAAATATCGTCAAAGCTGATTGGCCGTTGGTTTCTTTGTATTCTAAATAATCGGTATCGAAAAAAAGAGAAAAAATATTAATTGATCTCTAGTCTTTGACATATGCATTGAAAACTACAGAACGGTGGTGGGACGTAACTTTTACCTTCTGTTTCAAAAGTTAAAGGTGCACTGTGTAACTTTTTATCTATTTCACTGGAGCCGAGTCAGATCTGTGGAGAGGAAACCCCGCTCTTATATTTAAAAAACTTGTTATTTTTGATCAATACTGTGAAATATTTCAGACAAAGCAATAAAAACTCCATGAAGACAAACAGGTGGTGGACCCACAAAAGAAAAGTTACATAGTGCAGCTTTACTGGTATTTTTTTAGTTCACAACAGCGCATTTGGACACATTCCTCAGTTCTACTTTATCTCAGTTCATATATAATATAATAATAAATAATATTATAAACACTACATGCTGCACATGCCTTAACTGTTGAATTGTATTGTTTTAATCTTTCAGTGTAGCTCTGCAAAGCCTTAATATTATGAATTATGTAATTGTGAACATGAAAACTGAATAAAAAAAGGAGTTGTATGTCAATAAAATGACCAAGAATCCCTTAACTCTGAGCAGTTATTGGTTTGAAGCTAGAAAATGTGTTGTCGAAACATTTATCAACCTTTATTTGACTCATGAGAGATTTTTTTTTTGTTCTAAACCTATTGCGGGACACCAGACAATCACTCAAAAATACTGAAAGCACTACTCTGTTAGAAGCTCTGTTACTCAAGTTATATAAGTTCATATGAGCTTTGTTTTAACTCAATCTGAGCAGAAAGCTGACTTGGGTGGAACTACCAACAGGTGAGCTGGTTTGTGCTGTTAAACAAGTCCAAGGGTGATCAGATTTTCAAAACAAAAACTGGGACACTCGGTTTAGGGTGGTTAGTAATAATAAAATTGTGAAATGAGTGTGTAATTAATTAAAGAAAATTGCTCTGCGCTCTGTCCATTGATGACAAACATGAGTAAGTATATTCACATTTTCTTTATGTTTTGGTCATTTTTAAGATGCTTTTCTGGATTTTATGTTAAAAAAAAAAAAAAAAAAGACTTTACTGTTGGCAAGAATAAAATTGGTCAGAAATGGGGACACCTGGGACATTTCTTGTATAAATCTGGAACAAATCAATGGTTTTGGATAAATCTGCTGGGACAGTGAGGTGGAACATAATGTGTTTTTAATGTGAAAACATTCTGTTAATCACAGAATATCCCAAAATATGACAATACAAAGGAAATTTGGCAAATGAAAACCCTGGATACAGCTTAAAAACATTTATAATTGTGTTTTATGTTATTTGTACTATTAAGAAGATTATGTAGAAAAAATCTAAATAGTTCAATTTGTATTGAGTTCAGTTGTACATAAAATGTATTGTGTGTATTTTATCCATCAGAATACGAATTGAAAAGTTATAACATCAAGAATTATAATCACAAAATGAAAATGTACAATTACACTTTCATCAGTACACTCTTGTTCTGGTTCAGTCCTGGTTCAGTCCTGGTTCAGTCCTGGTTCAGTCCATATGCAACATCTCGATCGATGTTTCTTCTGCTCAATAAATAATGCCTGTGAAGTGATGACGTATTTTTGACAGTAAAGTCGCATCTGCGAATTTGTATTTGTACTGAAGAAAGCATAATTGTAAATTTTCATTTCGTGATTGTAATTCTTGATGTCGTAACTTTTCAATTAGTACCCTGATGGATAAAATACACAGTGTACATACATGTATGACTGGACTCATTCGAGAGTTTACGAATATTGATTTTATGCTCAACTACAGACAAATATGCACGGATTTCCCACATGTACCCAGATTTCTGTCCTATGCACACGAATATTTCTGAAAGCTTTCTTACTCCATATTTCTTATTCCATAAATATGCGTTTCTGTGATGGAGAATGTGTATGTTTGTTTCTCTCTTGGTACAAACTCAAAAAAAAAACTAACTATAAACTGAACGTATCGTGTAAATTGCATGTGTTTTAAATATATATGTACAAATTATTACATCGTAAATCAAAAGACTTAGATTTACGTGTCTGAAGTGAAGAAAAGGTATGTGTCAGAAGTGGGATTCGAACCCACGCCTCCAATCGGAGACCAGAAGTCCCGTCTCTACGGAAGGAGATGATCCTTGAGTCTGGCGCCTTAGACCACTCGGCCATCCTGACACGCTGCGAATATACGAACAGAAGTATATATTTAAGCGCTAAACCGTAAAGCATGACTCAGTATTTCATTAAAGTACTACGAATATTTTGAAATCACGTTTACGAATGCATATGTTGATTTTATGTCTTTTAGATCGCTATTTTTTATGTTTTACGTGTCTCTAGAAAGGAAACGTCACCTCATTGCGATCGCGGTTGTTTTCAGACGCTGTTTATCGCCAAAGACGCAGCGTAAACCAGCGGGATACAGCCTAACTTCTATTTTCTGTTCAATGCTTAAATGTTTTATTTAATTTAATACAAACGGAGCATTTTGTTTTAGCTGTAAAATTCATAGGAAGTAGCCTTAAAAGTGGACATGCGTAGATAAGGCGCATTACTGCCACCTACAGGACAAAGAGTGAGTTGACCAGGCAGGATCATACGCTGATTATTCACTGTTTTGTTGTTGTTTTTCTTTATGAAATTACGGTTTTGGTGTAGTATGATGAAAGTGAACTCCTAAATTAGGGAAAGAAGTTATAACAACAACATTTGAATGGTTTGATCACACTGCTTTCATCAATCTTCTCTATAATCCTTCTACCCAATTTTATTACAGCAAATATAGTCAAGTAGATACAAAATAAATTCAAAGTAATAACATGAAAAAGTTTAGCCCATGTTTAATCCTGGTTTAGCCCATGTTTAGTCCATGTTTAGTCATAGTTTAGTCCTGGTTTAGCCCATGTTTAGTCCATGGTTAGTCATGGTTTAGTCCTGGTTTAACCCATGTTCAGACCTGATTTAATCCTGGTTTAGCCCATGTGTAGTCTGGGCACCAGCAGGAGGCCAGTCCCTGAAGTCCTCAGAGTGCAAATGTGCACACATTTATGTATCTCTTTTGAACAGCTGCAGGACCAGCCTCTGGTTTGGGAATCACAGTTCAAAGAAGACACAGAAATGATAAGACAGAGCAACATCCACATCACTGATATTTGAAATATTTACTTCCTTTGTAATGAGCAGGACCAGAGTGTGCCCTCGGTTTACATGTTTGACATTCTACAAAAACAATTAAAGTGACTAAATGAAAAACTGTTTGCGTGTGACTGTAATTCTATTTGAGAGGGACTTGTTTAAGAGCACAAATCAACTCATCTGTTGTAGTTCCAAATAAGTAAGTTCTTTATTATGGTCAGGGTGTATTAAAACAGATTAAAGTCCAACTTGAGTAACATAAATTTAGAAAGAACAGCACCTCCAGTCAACATCAGCTCTCTCTGAAGTTATTAAACACAAAATATCTCTGCAGATATGTCAAATTTAAAACCTGCTTAACCTGTGTGAAGTGAATAATCTATTTTTATTTGTTATACTTGGCCATGGGGTGGTCAGTCCAGGCAGGCAGCTTGGAGAGTTTCTGCTCCGTGGCGCTCTCTATAGGCCAACCCCAGGACTTGAGGAACCCAGTGAGGTCCATGCCCACCACCTCAGAGAAGGTCACTGTGTACAGGTTCATCTTGCCTGGGTTGTCCCAGGGGATTGTAGCGTCGTCCATGGCGTGGTATGCAGCAAAGACTTTCTTAAACGGCTCCCAGCCAAACTTCTCCTGAAGCTGTGGACACAATATTCATAAATAATAATAATGATAATAATAGGAAGGACAAGAAGAAAAAGAACTAATAAACAATTTGAACTATTCTTTGTCTAAAGCTTCCAGATCAAGACCAGTAGAATAACTTTAATCCTATAATATGAAAGTTTTACCTGTAAATAAGTCTCCAGTGCCAGCCATGTGTTCCAGTCATCCAGTTTTCTGCCATTATTCACATAAGTTTCTATAATGCCATTTCGATATTCATGGGTCAGTTCAGCCGCCTGTTTGGGACAGACAGGAGCAAAGGAAGGAAGGTAATGACTATTATGATTTCTATTTGCTCATGATTTTGATTTGTGATTTTGAGTGGCATGATTGTGCACAATTTGATGGAAAGTTCAGTATTATGTGTGTTTTTCTGTTGTCCAAGATACACTGTAAGAAGTGTTAAAACATGGTATCCCCAGGTTTGACTACCCCAAATTTAAGACTTTTTAAAGGCATTTTTAAGACCACTTAAATGAAAATTAAGACCAACATTGCACCCATTACGTGCGTGAAAAACACCAGATCTAATTCTAATAATGATCAACCAACTACGGTACTATATCTATCTATCTATCTCCCAATGTGGATTAAACCTACACTTCCCCATGCTCCATCCAACGTCTTCCTCCACTCTACTGATTGTTTACTCATTGCCGCCAACACCTGAATCCAAAGTATTGTTTGCGCAGACTCCAAATTTTCACATTGTTGTTTTTTTTCCCTCCCTCCATTTAACATTGCACTGCAGCCCGATTGAGTATAGAAAAAAAAACAGGCTGATGAAATTTAAGACCTTTGTGAAACAATAAGACTTGGACAACATAATTTAAGACTCTTTAAGGCCTTAATTTGGGAACATGAAATTTAAAGTCCTTTTTCCTTTGTCCTTTTTCAAATGTTGTGCTTCACTCCTTTTCCCCTTATCTTCTTCTTTCCACGACATCAAAAACTGACTTTCTTTTGCGATGAACTGGTCGTGAATTCTTGTCTGCCATTACAACAAACTTTGAAGACACTAAGAACTGATGTATTGGTTGAGTAAACAACAACAGTGTATGAGAGGCGAACATAAACCATGTAATCCCAATGTGCCGACAAGTCACTGATGCTAGAAACGTAGGGAGTTTGATTAACAACCCAACAGCCAATAGATAAAGAGGTAGCCTTCTTATCTATTGGCTGATGTTTATCAAGCCCCACCACGTCCACAGTTAATGGATTTTCATTCTTTTTTTTTTTTTTTTTGGTCATCATAATTACAAGGCTGCTGCATCTCTATAATTCTATTTTTAACTTTCATTGACAATTTGAAACAAACCAAAAAAAAATCCTCCATACAACCTCCATAAGACCTTTTCAAGACTTTTAAGACCCGGCAGCTACCCTGTAAAAGCCACACTGTTGTTTGTATAATCCTTTAGTCCACAGGAAGGCTTTAGGTACCTTTGTGTTTTTCATTTACATGTCTGATCATCCTGACCTGTACTCCAATGGTAATATAAAAGTGTCACCTCTCTCAGTGTCCCTAAGAAAGCCAAATGGCCAGCTGGACTGGCTTAAAACTGCAAATTGTTCTTGGGGAAGGGCTTGGACAAACGGTATTTAAGTATTGAGACCCCATTGCTCCGTCAGTAGTCAGTAGTGGGATCGTTTGTTACGGGTGCAAACGTAATAAACCTTCTCTTCGTCTTCTTCTATGTTTTGGTATTATTTTACAAGTAATTAAAAATAATAGACAATAACAGTTTTCTTCTCACCTGGTACATGTCCTTGGTAAACCCGAGCACAGTTTCAGTTATGAACACAGACCACAGATTACATGTGGCCTCGTTGGTGTGAGGGGAAAACTCCGTTTGCCATCTCTGCTGGTTGTGTCCCAGTTCGTGGAGGGGACCCCAAAGTCCTTCTTTCTGAATCTCTGAAAGACTCGTCACAACAGCAGCTTTAGGGGTTTGCGCCATCACAGGGTAACCAGCGTGCATTAAACCTGCAAACAAACAGCGCATAATAATAAAAATGATAATAATGCATAGTGCTTTTCTTGACATTCAAAGATTAATAACAATGAAATATGTTTATGTCCTTGGTAGTTTTATTTAATGTCTATAGGCCCTGTAATTAAGACTATAAATGTATAATACATGTCCATCTCAAACACTGGGCCTATATCGGTTTGCTGCAAAGTCTGGATACACATCTCAAGCAAAGCCAAAATATCTATAAATTCAAGTTGTTATAGAAACATATGGTCTGGTCACAGTATATAGAGAGCGGGTCTTAATATTAGAGCAATACTGCCTTCTGTATGTGTGAGTTGTGTGGTCCTCTGTATCTTTTATTTATTTTATTTATTTACTGTTTTTATCTATTTTATTTTTTTAGTACTGCTTTTATGTATAGATTTTTTTATTTTTGTTCCTTGATATTATTATTATTTTAATTATTGATTCTAATAGTTTCATCATGGTTGAAACATAATTCTGCTGGGTTTTTTTTTGTTTTTTTTTTAGTAAAATGTTTTATATTGCTATGTGAAGCACTTTGGAATCTGTTTTGTTTATAAAATGTGTTTTTCAAATAAAGTTGGATTGGATTGGATTCTGTAGTGCTGGTTTATACTTGTTGTTTCTTGTTTCTTGTAGCTGTTGTAAGTAGTTGTTATCATTTGTACGTAGTTCATGTAGTTAACCTTTACAAACTGTTCATTTCTTAAGCCTTCACAGTATGGTTCGGATAAATTTGACCCGAACCAAGAATTCCCTCATAGTAAGTGTCTATGAGTGTCAAATTTTGATCTACATATCTATTTAACCCTTGTAAGGTCTTCGGGTCTGTGGGACCGGTTTTCAGTTTTTAACTTCAGAAAAATTATACAAAGAATTATTTTTTCAGCCTGAGATTGTATGTGGTGTGTGTGTTTTGTATGTGGTGTGTGTATGTTGTGTGTATATGTGTGTGTGTGTGTGTTTCTTGTGTGTGTTTTGTATGTGGTGTGTGATGTGTGTGTGTGTGTTGTGTATAAACATCTAGTGCACCAATCCCAATTCTGTCAATGATGGTGTCCCATAAACAGTGTAATCCCAACATGCTGATCATTTGACAGATTTGATGAGATGTCTCTGAGAATGAAGATAAAAATTTGTGATTCATGTCAGAATGATAAATGAAAATTCAGGGTCAGAGAGTGAGTTTGAAGAGAATATCAGAATATCCAGGAGCCAACAGAGCCAGGAGTGAGCAGCTAGCTAGCAAAACGCAAGCGGACCTCAGCCATAGGACCAGTCTGCCAGGAGAAGGACCAACTTATGAGAGGTGAGCAGCGGTGCAGCAAGGAGGAGCAAATGATGATGTAATTGAAAAATTTTGGTGTTCCACTTCAAGACAGGGCTTCACATGGCTGCCAACATGATACTGAAGGCACCACACACAGTCACACATGTAGATGACATCAGGTCTTCTTTTGACATTTTCATGCCACCCCAGATCAAGAACATGATCCTGGACTGCACCAATATAGAAGGAAGGAGTGAGGAAGGTTTTTGATGAAACTAATTTAGATGCCTACTTTGAGATTTTTATCCTTGCCAGTGTTTTCCACGTTTTTCTGTCTTTTTGTGCACTTTTTACACTTGGTGTTTCTCCAAGTGTAAAAAGTGCATCTGCAATAGACACAGTGAAACTCTGCCCCTCATGTGATATAGTCTGTCATGAAAATGTCTGTGTTCAGTGAACTAATGTGTTGTTCAGAGAAATGTTGTGTAAACTCAAACTCACCTGTGTAAGTTAAATTCAAATGATGAATAGTTCACTATATAGTGTTGTGAGAACTTTTTTCATTTGTACATTGTTTGATTATTATCCAGTCATGGCTGTTATATGATGCATTTCTTGAATTTATTCTGTTTTAATAACCCTAACCTTTTACCCTTTTATTCAAAAAAATGGTAAACAATAGTTAATTTAACAAATTGTTAATACTGCTGAGAATTTAAGCATCTGCTGAGAAAAAAAAAAGATTTGATGTGAAAAGCCCCAAAGTGGAATGGGTCCACCAGACCCAGCAGGACTCCCTGTGTAACAAAAAAACGAAGACCTTACAAGGGTTAAAATGTTTCAATAGACTGTCCCACATTCATAAATATGTGTAATATATAAATATAATGTTTCAAAGAGCAGGGAGACCATATCTTTCATATTTTCTTGTTCTTCTTTTGCATGTATAAGACAACTGTGGTGTCCTAAGTGAATACAAGAAAAGACCTAGCTCCCCCTTGATTGACTTCTGTTCCTTATGTGCACCATAAACAGGATGATCACACTTTCACTGTTTTGAGATTCCCCTTTGCCCTGTCAAAAAACAACAGGTGTCTAATTCTGGGAACCTGAGGCATGGGGGAATCTCAAAACAGTGAACTCCTGAATTCTGTCACCCGCCCCATTACACACAGTCTGTACAGTTTCAAGATTCAAACTTTCATTTTCCCTTCATTCATGATAGATCCATCTCCCCAATGTCCTTGTAGCACTTGCACAAAACGTTTGTGTATTTTGGCAAAATTTAGTCCCAAATTCAGGATAAAAGAATGATGCTTCAAAACTTCCTGAATGTCAAAATGGGTTTAACCCGAGGATGTAGGGTTAAAAATGTAGTAAAATGTTTGGAATGCCAAAGGAAGCTCATGTCTGCAAGTGTTGGATTTTTTTTTGCATTTATTTCTATTTAACAGAGGGATATGTTAGATAAAAAAAATTAAATGGCACAAAATATACTTGGTCTTCTCCCACTTCTTCTTTCATGGGTTCCTGGGATTCAAAAGGAATGGTGAGGAAATTTGGCAACATCACAGGAGCGCAAAGTTTCGTCTAAGACAATAAACTCAGATCACTGAGACCAATAAAGTTTGTCCCAGAGGCAGCCATTTGGCCTGCCCATGCTCTGCCTCCGAGGGAACTCAAGTTTAATCCAGCTTTCGGAGCTTTCTGCAAGTGGTTTTCTTGGGACAGATACTTTAATCTGATAACACATTGATAAACAGCTGAAAATGTTCTTTCAGGAGAGAAATCAAGGAGAAGGAAGCGAGGAAAGAGAAATGAGATGCGGCCATAGATATATTGGTGGGTTTCGGGTGACATCACAACAGTTTCCAGACAATACTGTTTAATACAAATAGGGGGCAGCAAAAATTAATATTGTTCAAATTGAGATTTGTGTCTTCCTCTCCTGTGTCCATTTGGATTTCCTCGAACAGGCTTTTATTCAGTTTTTCATTCAGTTCTAGTCTTCCTTACTGGTTTAGATCCCTACTATCCTTACGACCTTGTATATATTGCTGAGCTATTTTTATTATCTTTTTCTACTTAATTTAATTTTTACGTGTACCACCACACCACACACACGAGGAGCAGGGGCAAATTCAAATTGCAAACAAATCAATAGTAAGGTGCAGCCATCTCCAAATTCTTAAGACACTTTTTTTCTTGGATGCAAAGAAAACAACTCACCAGATTTATAATACGGAGCACGGACAGCCTGGTGAACTACGACATCCACTCCAGTCAGCTTAGTGTTGGAAGGTGCTATCAGGTAAATGAGGCCCCCCCAAAAGTTCTGCACCTGCATCGTCTGAGAAAGGACTGGAAACCTCTCTGTAACTGCCGGGGCTCTGTACAAATCGTCCTTATGGTAAAGTGTGTCACTTTGACAGCTGATCTGCACCTGGAGACACAGCAAAGAGTCTGAAGGGATGAGAGGCACGACCAGATTTTTCTTATTAAATGTACATTGTGTAACTTTTGCTGGTGGAGAGTCCGCCAAATGCATTTCTCCATGGAGATGTTACTGCTTTGTCTGGAATGTTTCACAGAATGGTATTAAACCTTTTTTATCACCACAGAGACCAAACCAGACCAATTTACAGCTCAGATCTGTGGAGAAACGACCCCGCTCATAGTCAGAATGCCTGTTTTTCTCGGCATTTTTGAGCTGCTGTTTAATAAATGTCAGGTAGACCTGTTTAATGTAATTTGATGGAACATTTCAGGCAAAACAATGACATATCCATAGAAACAGGTAATCGGTCCCCAACCAAAAAGTTACATAGTGCACCTTTATGAACTGCGCTTGGTTCACAAAGAGGGGCAAAAAGGTGTGTTATTCCGGGCCCCAGGATCTTAGGGGGCCAGAATTGGAAGCTCTGTCTATTAATTAATGGTGTGAGTAGGGTGACCATATTTCCATTTGTGAAAACCCGGACACCTTAGGGGGAAGGTGGGTCAATTTTGTATGTTTTTTTTTGTTTGTTTGTTTGTTTTTTTACACACGGGTGGGTCAGGACTAAACCAGGTCTAAACCAGGACTAATCTTGGACTTAAAAGAGAAAACGCCGAGCAGTTTGTCCACAATTGCCGCGTTTACCTCGGTGAGGTGCGAAGCTCTCCATCGGTCCTTCTCGTGCGGTCAACTCCGAGCTCGTCCGAACAGTGAGTCCTGTTTCAGTTCTGGTTTAGTCCTAGTTCAGTCCTCCTTTTCAGTCCTGGAATGAGTCCTAGGTTAGTCCTGGTTTGGTCTTAGTTCAGTCTGTGGCGTAGGCAGCGCAAAAGTTTGATATAATCTCTGGTTAACGGGCGGATGCGGTGTTGTACTGGGGGATCTCCAAAAATGGAGCCGTGCAGGACTCTGCGCTGTAGGACTCCGTTACGGAATAAAAGAATCTTTGGTTCGTTAAGAAGGAGGAAAGTAACATAAAGACGACAGCCGCAATAAGTTTTAAGAAGGATGCAAAGAGGGTTGTACCTCTCCTGTCTGAAAAAAGTGTATAAAGTTTGTGCTGAGGGGTTTTACAGCCTTAAAACAGATATAATAATTGTAAAATATAAAGATGACTACTTCGCGGATCTCACCTATCACGGGTTACTTTTAGAACGTAACCCCCGCGATAAACGAGGGACCACTGTATTCTCACATCGCAACCTGTGCACATGGACTCACACTTGTCCCGACCGGGCGGGAAAACGGAGAATTTCTTGTACAAGTCATTGTTAAATGTGCATTTCGTTTCTGCGTGTTGCAGACTGACCGACTGTTTGTGTCTGCTCGCTCCTTCTGAGTCACAGAGAACTAAGAGAGACGCTCAGTTTTATGCCCCCAGTGAACGGTCATGAAAACCCGGACATTTGCATCACTTAAAAAAAAAAAAAAACCGGACGCCCCGGACAGGACGCAAAATACGGAACATGTCCGGGGAAAAACGGACGTTTGGTCACCATAGGTGTGAGTCTTCTTGCCCAAATTTCCCCTGGTGGGATGATAAAGATGATCTTTTATCTTCGATTGAAATGAGGTTCATCAACAACTCCGTGTTGACATATTGATCACAGTTGTTTTAGTAAAATAGGATCGTATTAAAAGTGTTGCACCTTCCATCCCTTCTTGACCATCTCTGTTGGGAAGGTGATGTTGCTCTTAAATGCAGGAGGCAGGTAGAGCCCAGTGCTCACCCACTCCTCTCCATCTGCGAACACACAACACACAAACTGTTACCATACTGTTACTATGGCAATTAACCATTTAAAACACAATATTATATCGGTAACCGTCTGTAACACCTGTCTGTAAAAGTCTGTAAAACCTGTCAGTAATAGTATGTAACACCTGTCAAGTAACAGTATGTTATACCTGTCAGTAACAATAGGTAACATCTGTCAGTAACAGTATGTAACACCTGTCAGTAACAGTATGTAACACCTGTCAGTAACAGTATGTTATACCTGTCAGTAGCAATAGGTAACACTTGTCAGTAACAGTATGTAACACCTGTCAGTAACAGTATGTAACACCTGTCGGTAACAGTATGTTAACATTTGTCTGTAACACTTGCCAGTAACATTATGTAACACCTGCCAGTAACAGTTGTGTAACGCCTGTCTGGAACACCTGCCAGTAACAGTGCGCAACACTTATCTGTAACACCTGTCAGTGACTGCATGTAACACCTGTCTATAACACCCATCAGTGACAGTACGTTACACCTGTATGTTATAGCTGTCAGTAACACCTGAAAGTGACCTATCTAACATCTGTCTGCAACACCTGTTTGTAACACCTGTCTGCCATACCTGTCTGCAACACCTGTCTCTAACATCTGTCAGTAACATTCTGTAACACCTGTTTATAACACCCTGTCCGTAACACCTGTCTTACCTCCAGTGTCAACACTCACTCTCACCCGTAGGTCCTGGACCGTGAGCAGCTGTGTATGTCTGAGGAGACTTTGTTTGAGGTCATCTGGATCAGGGCAGACCTTGTGCACCTCTGCTGCCAGGCTCAGGAGGAGCTTGTCCCTGGTGTTGGTTGCTGGGGAATCACGACTCGCCTTTAAACAGGGAAAAAACTAAAATTTTAGAGATATGTGTACGTACATGCCACAAACTATATAAATAAATGGACATAGCTAACCCACTCTATATGATCCTGGTGTTTTATTTTCACTATTTTGTTGTAAATAAATTTCTATTCCTAATATGGATCTCTGCGCCAAATTCGCCTCTATAACTGCTAGCCTCGTGAGCTTCATTTAACTGGAGCCAAACGCTGTAGATAACATCAAATGCACTTAGTCCACTTCTTTATACAGTCTTTGGTACATGCTTACGTGTATGAACTTTAAAACTGTTTTATGCACCTGGGGCAATCCTGCCTTTTTAAAAATGTCCACAAGTTTGGACACTGTCTGCTGATAGAAATAACTCTGGTGATTATGGATCTGCAGGAAGGAGGATATGTGGAGTGTCCGGGCTGATAGTGTCTGCTCGTCTTCTGGAGTCAGAGCTTTGTCCTCCAGCATATAACCAACAAAAAGCTTCAGGAGATGACTGAAGTGATGATCTTTCACAGGCGCACTGGGGTCAGGAGCTTTGTAGATGCCTCCACTCACTTTTGTTGACAACTGAGTTAGTCCCATTGGGTTGAGTATTTTGTTTCCTGAGAACATTTACAAAAACAAAAACAGGAATATAAGTAATTTCCATGCTGTTAGTTTTTTAAATACATATTCTGGTTGTTTTGATTAACCTAAAGGGCCTATATTACGCTATTTCCTGATCTTTGTTTTATGTTATAATGTTGTTTCTTCATCACAAACAGACCTGGAGTTGTGTTTTGTTTCATTCACACACGTTTAACACAAAAACCCTGCATATTTAGACTGAGGTTTTCTCTCAAACTTTAAAACTAACCACCAGTTCATGACACTGTTGAAGAGAAAGAGTTGTGTGAATCAAACCAAACACAACTCCGGGTCTGTTTTTGAGAAGGTAACAACATTCTAACATGGCTTAAAGCTCATGAGAGTCAATTTTGCGTAATATAGGACATTTAAAGTGCGTATTATGGTTTTGGTGATTCTCTAATTTCGACTTCATTTGTTGCAATAACACATGTCCAAAATATAAATTATAGTTTTACACAGGTCAAGAAGAAAATTTGTGAAGAAAAGTTGAAAAATATGTTCAATTTATAGAAAGTGGAGAGTTCTATTTTCTATTCTATTCTATTTGTCACAATGGGAGGAAGGAAGTCTAACCAACATTTTTTCCCCAATATTTTAAACATTATTTCAATTAAAAGATAGGTGTTCTCTTATATTTTTATTTGTCAAATAATAATTTCGGTGCTAGGTAACAGTTACGAAGTTCCCTAGCATAATGTCAGGAAGTAAAAATTTAAACCCAAAAATGGCCAAACTGGAAGAAAAAAAATGTAAATGTTTAGTAAAATCTTAATAATCTTAACATAGAAAATTACTGTAAGTGCTGAGGTTTTTTTTTTGTAGTGCCAGTGAAATGTTTGTAAACTGTGGTGTGAGATCCTTGTTATCATGATTAGATGTTGTGTTTATTCATTTATGTGAAGCGACTTGAATCTGAACAGTAAAATCTTTGAAACTCCAGTGTGTCCTGTAAGGATCTCTGTCAGATTCACCTTTAAGCTGTGGAGACATTGGTGGTTTTGTCTGTATTATAACATGCATTGTACATTTAAATTTTTATTCTTATTTTTATACACTTACCCACTCTGAATCAGATATTATGTATTCTTAATAAAGACTGAATTGCATTAACGTTGTTTTAGTAAAATGAGTAGTCCAACGTCGTAGGTACTTTTTTGGTTTTGGTGGATACATACCGGGGCAGTTCGTCAGATAGTTTAAGTCGCTTCGTTGAATGAAAGTCCAGGCTTGTCCTCCGACCACCAGCCCTCCTCCCTCTGCCACAAACTCCAACATTTCCCTGATGTAGGTGTCCTTCCAGGTCGTGGCCAAGTACACACTGAGCCCAGGCCTGAACTCTGTCACCTCAATATTCAGCCCAGAGTTTAGGAGAGGAGGGAGCGTGTGATAATCGTCCACACCAATCACCCCCATTCGACCCTGATCCAGCCAGTGAAGAGCATTATCCCAAAACTTTTCATTAGTGACCTGTTAAAAAAGAATAGTTTTTATTTAAGTAGGTGTTCATTAACAAATATATACTTAAAGTGCTCATATTATGTTATTTTCTGATCTCTGTTATAATGTTGTTTCCTCATCACAAACATACCTGGAGTTGTTTTGTTTCATTCACACATGTTAAAAACACTAACTCTGCATATTAAGGCTAAGTTCTTCTCTCAAACTGAAAAACTCTGTTCCCTGTTGTGATGTCATGTGGTAATACAGTTGTGTTTTTAAACTTCATACACCTTAACTAGAATTATTTGAATGATTTCAGCCCTGAAATTGCTAATCTTTACTGAACAAAAGGTAAAAGGTAGCTGTTAACTTGAAAACTATCACTTTATGTCATGACGAGGTGGAACAGAGCATTTTGACCCCATTCAGTCCCCAAGATATTTCAACTTCTCCACTTGATGCGTGAGACTGACAGTCGGATTGGTGCAGCGGCTGCAGTGATGCGGACCGTTGTAGTGAAGAGGGAGCTGAGCTGAAAGGCAAAGCTTTGGATTCACCACTCAATCTACGTTCCTCCCCTCACCTATGGTTATGAGCTTTGGGTAATGACCGAAAGGACAAGATCGTGGATACAAGCGGCTGAAATGAGTTTCCTCCGCAGGGTAGCTGGGTGTTAGAGATAGGGTGAGGAGCTCAGCCACATGGGTGGAGCTCAGGGTAGAGCTGCTGCTTCTCCACGTCGAGAGGAGCCAACTGAGGTGGCTCGGGCATCTGTTCTGGATGCCTCCTGGGTGCCCAGGAGGCCCAGGACATGCTGGAGGGACTGTGTCGCTCAGCTGGCCTGGGAATGCCTCAGGGTCCCCCTGGAGGAGCTGGAGGAAGTCTCTGGGGTGAAAGTCCCTATTTAGACTGCTGCCTCCACGACCTGGGCCCCAGATTAGCAGAAGAAAATAGATGGATAGAGATGTAGACAGACTTAAAGGATTACTCAAACATGTGTGAATGAAAAAAAACAAAACTCCAACATGACTAAAAGATCTACATGCTGTGACATCGCGCTGGGGGTGTTCTACATGTAGAATGTTCAGCAGTTACCATGGTGACACAATGCAAACATTAGTAAACACTATCAAAACGTTTTAAGATTTAAACAACACATTTTCAAGAGCCTGTGATCAATATGAGCGTTCATGGCCCTGTTTAGGAGTTTGATTTTCAACAAAAAGGTGAAAGCGACTAACTGAAAAACTGTTGGCCATTGCTTGTTTAACAGCACAAATCATCTCATGTGTTGTAATTCCAGCTACGTTCGTTCTTTCTAGTCGTATTGTGTTAAAATAATGCTCAAATTTAAGTCTAATATGAGTAACAGAGCTTCAGACAGAGCAGTGCCTACAAGCTTCAGGGTGAAAAATAAAACTTTCTCTTATAACACGGTAAAAGCTCATTTAAGTCTATTTTATATAATGTCTATTTTAAAGGTGCACTATGTAACTTTTTGGTTGGGGTGACCGTCATCGGCTTGTTTTGTATGTCATTCCTCTGCATTTGATGGACCTTCCACCAGAAAAGTTATACAATGCACCCTTAAGATTCTCCGTAGAGTACCATACCAGTAGGTTCTCATGTGCAGTTGCGATGATTCTGCCTTTGCCGTAGTAGCCTCCAGCCAGAAAGACTTGACTGTTGTCCCAGGCAATGGGGAAAGACAGAGGGCCATGCACCAGGATTTCAGAGCCCAAAGAAGTCTTACCGAAACTCAATTCAGACACGCCGTTAAGCAGATTCTTCCGGTCCTTTGTAAAACTGTCACTGACCCTGTGCAGAAACACCAAGAATACAGGTAACTATCAGTGATATCAGTGGCGATAAAAAGCTCATATTACACTGTTTTCTGATCTTTGTTGTTGTTGTTTGTTACTTTTTAAATCACCTCATGCCAACTTCTGTGCTAGCGGAAGTCGGGCTTAAATACAGTATGTGTATTGAGATATGTATCGTATCGGCAACTTCTTAACGATACCCAGCTCTAAATATAAGTGTAAAGTAAGACATACAAATGATTAATGTATGCCTATCATGCAAAATTTGTGCTGGATATTTTATTTGGCAATAATAAAAACATTTTAAGCAGCCTAAACTTGTGGACGTGGTCTAATCTCGTGCACATTTTAGACAATTCCTTTCCGCTTTTCCGTGTTTGATAGAGCTTAAAAAAAGCAAACAGCCTATCTTGCGGGACTTGTGGGCGGGAGCGGGACAAAATATTGCAGATGCGGGTGGGAGCGGGATTGAAAATTACAATTCTTTGTGGGAGCAGGCGGGAGTGGGACTGAATTTTCAGTCCAGCGCAGACCTCTATCCCTGACTTCTGCTGGCTGGTGTTGGAGCTAAAGTAACCGGTGGCAGATCTTTTACCCCAATGTATTTGGGATTTTAAGGATTGATCAGCTACTGTTTTGTTTTGTTCATTTAGTTTAGTTTGTTTATGGTTTCGTCTTAAAGTTACGTTATAGCATTTTTAACCTTTTAGCTCTACTGCACCATACATGAAAGTGGTTTTAATAGTTGACGTCCTGGGGCTTTTAGCTTTAGTTTAGTCTAAGTTCCCAGGTCATACTTTTAGTTTGCACTGTGGGTTGTTGTTGTGACTGCGTGGAAGAACTTTCCGTTTTGTTCTGGGTGGGGCTACCTCGTCTCAAGTCATCCTTGTTTGGTTGATTTTTAACATTTAATTCTGTTACAGGACTTGTTTCCTCCGTCCCTGGGGCTGCAAGTTTTATTCTGATTTTAGTAATATCTATTCATAAATATTGGCAATTTTTATCATTCTAACCACCTTCGTTAGCCTTTTAATACATTTTAATTACATCTTTTAAAGTCATGTCTCTGTCCTTTATTTACAAACTTATCTGTGGCCTTGGATATTTTATGACATTGTATTTTAGTATTTTAAACATTATTTATTGAAAAGGTACCTTAGGTCACATTTTGTTTCATTCACACACATTTAACACACAAGCTCTTCTTCTCAAATGGAAAAAACAAAACAAAACTGTACTCCACTGTGTTTTTAAACTCCATACACTTTGACTAGAGTCATTTGGAATCGATGAAGCCAGAAGCACACCCATGTTCACTTGCTATTTGGAACATGGTGGTTCGTGGTTTAGTTATGCCCATTTGTACACACAGTCGATGATACTTACTCAACATTCTTCCAGGATGGGATTCGTGGTTCGATGCTAATTCTCTTTCTTTCTCCAGACTCTGGAAAGAAGTACACACCAGCCACTGAGGAGACTTTGTTGCCCCAGTATTCGAGTAGAGCATTGCCACCTGGGTGTCGATAAGCCCAGTGCCAAGCCTGTGCCGCTATCAGCACCCCTCCTCCAGCTTTCATAAACGCTATTATCTCTTTCTCACTTCCCTCCACACTGAAGGCATCTGTTACAAACACCTTGATTCCTTGGTCACCACTAAACTTCTGCATAACTCTGATTTGAAAGTTTGTCTTGAAGGGACTGTCGGCTACTCCTCTGACACTCTCATGTACTCCTATACTCATGTTGTTCGAGTCTCCCCTCAGCCAGTTCAAGGAGTTTTCCACCAGATTGGGTAAGGTTGTCAGGAAGGTTTCGTGACACAAAGCGACCAAGCGCCCCTCGCCGTACAATGAAGCAGCAGCCTGGACTTTGCCTTCACTGTTTGTCACCAGGGGAAACGAATGGTCCCCACTTAAAATGAATATTCCAGGGACTGAGGAGCCTTCGAAATTCACCTCTGTGATGCCATTCATTATGGAAGAATAGGCCTGTTGTTGAGATTCAGAGGTGGCCATAGTGACATCTGGACCATATATCCTGCCAAGAGACATGTAAAATTATATAAGGTTACTATCATTTTAGTACAATACCATAGTAGATTAGATAAAGAAGTGGACTAAGGGAGTATGACGTCACCCACAGAGTTAGCTATGTCCATTTATATATATACAGTCTCTGGAGTATACAGATAAGATTTCTCAAATATCGAAATGCTGAGACTAATCAATCCTAAAAAAAACTAACACTAGATACTTATTTGAACAGATATTGATACTAAAAAGTCACAATTAGTCTTTCCTGAAAAGCTTTAAAAGAATCTTGAGCTGTATCATAACAAATATTTAATTCTTGCTTGCAGGAAAAAAAAAAAAGTAATAATAATAATATTAATTTCAGCAAAATTCATTACATTAGAATTGAATCTACAAAAAAACAAATAAACATATACAATGCTTTTAGCCACATAGATTAGTATATACGCCCATGAACCACTATGAAACCTACCTCGACCACTGGGGGATTACACAGATATAAAGCCACATGGTAACCTAAAAAAGTATGACTGTATTGCAGCATGTGCAGTTCTAAAGACACAAGTAAGGGACAATTGGATTGTGTGAAATGACCTGTGAGCATGGAGAGTGTAAAAGAGGCTAGCTAAGGACCACCACCTGTCACCATACGTGACAGGAAATATGGCAGAAGATCTTCCAGAGTAAATACTTTGAGGGAATGAACCATTTCATGACCAACCAAAACACCAGAGTAAGGCCATTTTTGGCTCTTCCTCTCCACAAACTGTCCTGACACAGACCTGCTGACACACAAAAGTGACACAAGCACAGTGTAAATGTTACTACAAACTGGAATTTGCCTCAGGATCAATAAAGTCTCTCTCTCTCTGTCTGTCTCTCTAATTATTATTTTTATTATTATTATATATATATATATATATATATATATATATATATATATATATATATATATATATATATATTATATATTATATAAAATGTGTTTCTCACCTTCCACGGTGGTAGGTCTCTCTCACCCTCATTCAGCTCGGGTCCTCTACCAGAGGCCTGGGAGCTTGAGAGTTCTGCGCAGTATCTTTGCTGTTCCCAGTACTGCACTTTTCTGGACTGAGATGTCCATTGTTTTTCCCGGTATCTGTTGAAGCCACTCTTCCAGTTTGGGGGTTACAGCCCCGAGTGCTCCGATCACCACAGGCACCACTGATGCCTTTACTTTCCAGGCTCTCTCCAGCTCTTCCTTGAGCCCCTGGTATTTCTCTAGCTTCTCGTGTTCCTTTTTCCTGATATTACCATCGCTTGGTATTGCGATGTCCACCACCACGGCTCTGCTCTGTTTCTTATCCACCACCACTATGTCTGGTTGGTTCGCCATCACCATTCTGTCAGTCTGTATCTGGAAGTCCCACAGGATCTTGGCTCGGTCATTCTCCACAACCTTTGGAGGTGTTTCCCACCTTGATCCTGGGGTTTCCAGCCCGTACTCTGCACAGATGTTTCTGTACACTATGCCTGCCACTTGGTTATGTCGCTCCATGTATGCTTTCCCTGCCAGCATCTTACACCCTGCAGTTATGTGCTGGACTGTTTCAGGAGCCTCTTTGCACAGTCTACACCGTGGGTCTTGTCTGGTGTGGTAGATCTGGGCCTCTATTGCTCGAGTGCCCAGGGCCTGCTCCTGAGCAGCCAGGATCAGTGCCTCTGTGCTGTCCTTCAGACCAGCCCTCTCAAGCCATTGGTAGGATTTCTTGATATCAGCCACTTCAGTTATGTTCCGGTGGTACGCCCCATGTAGGGGTAGAACAAGGTGCAGGCAATCAACAGCTATGCCCTGCCAGTGATCATATATATATATATTTATTATTATACATACAAGAAGCATAACATGGTGTACATCACGAGGAGAGTCAGTTCTGAACCATGGCCCCACATGTTTGCAGTGACCACCTGGAGAAAACAGACACAACATGTAAAATGTTTAAAAAGTGTACACAGAAATGTGTGTAAAAATGCGACTAATTATGATTATTATTATGGCAAAGTACTTTATACATAAATGTACATTTGCCAACAAAACCTGCATTCAGTACATTTTACAAAGAAATGGGACTGTACATTAAAACTATCCAGCCTTGTAATAACCTTTAAAAAACAGTAGAATACTGGTCCTTGTTTGTATCATATGCTTTGTACATTATCCCCCTGGCTTAAACAATTATTGTTGTCACTTTGCATTTGCACTAATTGTAAAGAATGAAAAGCAAATGCATGTGTAACGCACATTCCCATTTACACAATGACCAATGAGTTGGCTTTTACCTGTGATGTGTCCGGTCCAATGAGATGTGTGATCCCCCACACAGTCTGCTCACTTTTTAAGCAGAGAGAATGCCCTTATAATCCATCATGGTTGTGAGTAGAATCCCGCTGTCAGTCGTCCAGTTAGAATCCTTGGCAAAGGAGAAAATCAATTTGTTAGCTGGACAAACACATTTATTTAGGTCGACCTGGACAAACATTTATTTAGGTCAACCTAAACAAATGTTTGTCCAGCTGACAAACTGAATCTCATACAGGTATACATTGTATATTTTTAAATTTTATATTATACATTGTAATTCCTAAGGTGCAAGATGAACAGAGCTGCAAAAAGGAAAGCTTCACCTTTTTTCCCACCATGTTTTAATGTATTTATCCATGATCTTTTTACTACATTTGAACACCTTAAACACACGCAAACTCCTGTATGACAACAATTTATAGTCTACACCTTGGCCTTTTTGGCTAGTTTGAGTTTATTGCATAATCCTCCTCTTTTGCTTGGCCTCTTTTATTTTGATGGCATAAGCAGTGAGAGCTCCAAACATTTTTCAAGAAGGGGCAATAGGGGGTACAAATGTCTCATATTTAATAGTATTCAGTCTTCCTCTTTAGTGGTTTAAATTTGAACACGAAGCCAATGTGGTTCCCAATGCTATAGAACAGTAGTTCCCAGCCTTTTTCTCCCTTTTCTTACCTGTGGACAGTTATATCATACTTTCTAAATATGCCAACCCTTTATTAAAATTCACACAAAATCTAGTTTTAATCTATTAGTAAGAAAGACAGCGAAAACAGAAAATTTTTAATTTTGGTTTGGTTTAATTTGACCAAAATAATCTTTTTTCCTGTTGACAAATTGAATTTCTTCTTTTGAAAAGGGTTCTACCTGGATGACTGAGGGATTGTACACACTCCTGAAAAAATGTTCCTGACCTCCAGGTTGGGATTGACTGAAATAGAACTTTTGAGATGAAAGTGAATTAGATCAGGTCATCATGTATGAAACAGTTGCCTTGCAAGTCTCAAACATATCCAGACACATATTTACAAGGAGTGTAGTGATATAAACTAGAAAAGTTTGTGTGAGGCAGAACTGATATTTAGTATATTTCTAAACCATAATCTTTCTTTTCTTTATACAGTCTACGGTCTAAACATAATTTTCTGATTCTGTTGACACGGATTAACCTTTTACTTTTGTTTTTAATCTTTGCATCCTTAATTCTAAAGCCAATCCTAAAATGTAACATCAAAATGTAAAGTACCATCCGCTCTGTTTCCGTTTGGCGCATGCGCAGATAATTGACGCATGTTTCCGGTGCAGCGGCCATATTGGAACTCCACTTGTCAAGGGTAAAAGTCTCCGGAACCACAAACATGTACCGGTTTGGCAAAGCAGCTCTTAATATCACGAGTAAGTTTGATTTTCTGGTAAATATGTATGATAATTATGCCTTTGTGTGTGTTGCCATAGGTTGCAGGACCTGCGTATTTTGATCTATTATAATTTGACAGCTCGCCTTGTGACCTGTTCAGTAGTTAGCATGCTACAGGCTAGGTTCCTGTAAACATTTCTTCAGCATAATTTTGTCAGCTCGTAGTTTTATCCATTGTTGTAATTATGAGTGTTTAATCAATTGGACCACGCGTTAAATGCTTAGTGTAGATTTTAGCTGTTTATCGGTTGAGTAGTTTTTGTCGGTGACTCGTTCGTCCTCAAATAACCTCATTCAAAGTGTGCTAACCCAAAGTGCTAAGGTCTTCCTGAACTTGCACAGTGTCGACTTCAGTTCAGTCATATTAAATTTACAGACTTATGACAACTGTTAAATATATAATAGTTTGACTGTAAAGGGAGAAAAAAAGCACAGTTTCATATTTCACCAAAACATGAGCATATATTTTTTGTTTTGTTGATAATTTCCTGTATCTGAATTATATATAACTATATACAAATAAAACATAATTAAAATGTAGACCAGTAATGCTTTATCAATTATAACACCACAATGTTTTGCTGTCATACTAATCCTGGTACTCTGGTGTTTTCAGGGCGGGCCTCTCAGCAGGTGAGGCAAGGCTCCACCGTGACTCCGGATTTTCACGCCAAATATGGGACCGCCATAATGCTTGGAGGAGCTGCCTTCTGCGTTGGCGTGTGGTCATATGTAAGAGATTATACATTACTTTAGTGTGTTTTGATGGGAACAGTGAGCAGGGGGGTTGCCAGTGTTGTCCCTGAAGTAGAAAAAAAAGAATGTAAGGGTTTCAGCACAGATGTGGGAGGTGTTTTAGGTTGTCTGATTCACCCTTGTTCTAATAAGAGACTAAAACTTAAAATAATGCAAGGATCAAATCAGGGCTGCTACTAGTTAATCGATTCATGTTCTTGGGCTGCTCCCTCTCCTCCGACGCACCCATCTCTAGTAATTGATGTGCGAAGTTCTCATTCTTTTATAAGTAACTGATTATTGAAGTAATCAAATCAGTCAACTGGGAAAGTCTACATTTAGAAAATATCCTCTGTAAATATACTCCTGATTGTCTTCAAACTGCTTCACTTCAGTTTTAGTGGGCATTCTGAATAACAAATCGGTCATAACTTGTGACCCAGTGCTCGTCTTGCTTTTGTTCAGCAGAGAGCAGCCAACAGTCTCAGAATTGCATGTATAAATCTATAGCAATATGGTTAGATGGTCGTGTAACAGTTACTTGACTGGCCCCAATTTCCCATTCAATTAAGCACCACTTTTATGTGAATTAATGTTCCTAACTTGGTGATGTGTAGTGCATAGAAGCTGCTGTGAATTCTTGAATTTGCTTTAATATTTGACTTAATTCGTACAAGGGTCACGTCACAGATCCTAGGTGTCAATCTTTTTGTTTACAATATGGTTTTCTCTCAGGTTCTGACCCAGACGGGCCTCACGTGGAACCTCTCTCCCGTCGGTAAAGTGCAGCCTATACCGTGGAGACAGGCCGAGGAGGAGGAGTGACGACATCACTGCTTTGGTTGTACAGAAGATGAAAAATGTCCATTTAACGCCTGTGGTTATTCCAGAATATTCCTGTTCCATGTTCAATAAATTAACAGATTCTAAATTTTAGTTTTTGTTTGTTAAATTTTGTAAGAGTAGGCTTTATCATTTTGTTCGGAGATTTGTTATTACTACTGCAAGTGTCCTGTATTTACTAAGTCATTGGGGAAATAAAATACAGATAATGCGTGTAACACTTGACACTAAAAATTATATAGACATGGATGGTTCAAGAAGTTCAAAACTACTCATAATTTTGTGCCTCACGTGATCAAGACTTCTCACACGCCATTGGGCAAATCATAAGTCTCTACTATAACACATACAAATAATAAAATGAGAGCACAACACAACAGGTGCACTTGTGTAACCTTTTGGGTGGGCATCCGTCACCTGCTTGTTTCTATGGATGTCATTGTGCTGCTGGAAATGTTCCGTGGTATGGCATTAAACAGCTCTACTTCAAATTTATTTAATTGCAGATACCTACATAAACAGATTCTGACTGTGAATTTGGTTTTGTATCCATGATGATAGAAATGTTTAATGTCATACTTATAGGCAAAGCAATAACATCTTCTTGGAGAAAAGCATTTGACGGACCTCCACCAGAAAAGTTATGTAGTGCTGTTCTTTAAGAACAAAACCACAACACACAATGACCTATTAAAACAAGTAGGAGCACAACTCGAGCAACATATTTGGGGTTTAGGAAAAATGCGATGTACCCAGTGAAGCCTTTGGTTGTACGTGCTATAGCCTGCGTGTAACGGGCAACAAATCTGACGTACAGATGATGGACAACACCACTGACCAATCAGATGCAAGCTCTTACTCCCTCTGCACCAATCAGCGGCGAGGGGCGTGTGCTTCGTGACTCCCCCGTTTTGCGCTAAGGTCACCGCTGTCACTCCCGGAGCTTCTGCAGCCGAAAGAGGAGCGGGGACAGGCGGACAGACACCCAGACATCCAACCGGCGTCAAACTACAGCTAGAAACACACCACAACCGAGCAGCAAACATGTCTCTGTCCACGAAACTCACCCTGGACAAAGTGGATGTCAACGGAAAGCGAGTTGTTATGAGGTGGGTACCGCTATGCTAGTTTCCAGGATTACGCAAAATGAATGAAGTCTGCGTTAGCTCAGGTTTAAAAGAAACTTCCAAGAGGTTAAAATTACACATTAATTGGTAAGACTAAATTGAGTATCTCGGTTTGTTGTGGATGTTTTGTTCGAAGCCACAGGTGATTTCAATAAGCAGGAGTTGGCAAAATAACGTGATGACCGGAAGTAAGAAGAGTTGTCACGTTTTTGCCCATGCTACGTACGTGCCTCTGCGGAGATGCTGCATGGTGAGGAGAGCGGCATCCTAACTCACGTTTCACACCATTATATAAAACCTAACCTCACGTTAAATCACACAAACTCTTCTAAAATAAAAATGAACCCGATATTTTACCATGTAGGCCTGAATTCGATCTCCCACTGTGGCTGCTACCGAGATTCAGCATTTTTTATTACGCAAAATTGTCTCTCATGAGCTTTAAGTCATGTTATAGTAGAGATGTGTTTTGCTTCATTCACTTATGTTTGAGTAACTCTTCATTATTAGTCTGTCTGCATCGCCAAAGCTCAAAATGTTCTGTTCCACCTTGTGATGCCATGAATTCGTAGTTTCCATGTTAACAGCTCCTTTTACCGTTTTTATTTTGTAGAAATTGGAAATACCAGGGCTGAATTGATCCAAATGACTCTAGTGAAGGTGAATGGAGTTTAAAAGACACAATGGAGCACTTCCTGCATTAGTACATGACATCTAAAGGTGGAACAGTGTTTTCTGTTTTGAGAGAAGAACTCAACAACATAAAACCCCTGTATATTTAGCTTATTTTTGAGGAATGAACTCTCATCTAAAATCTCTTACTTGCTTGTCTTTATGGACATATGTTTAATGCTATACTATGGAAAATTCCAGGCAAAGAAGCAACATCTCCATGAAGTTAAGCAGGTGCTCCCCATCTACATCTTTAAAGACTGTAGTGCAGTTTAGTCTTCAAAAGTGCAGCAAAAACATTCTGAAATATCACCATAAATTACACGATCAATCATATGTGCAAAGAAAGAACTATCTCCTGAAACATGACTAGAGAGCAAACTAGACCAAGTTATAAGTCAGACCTGTGGAGAGGTGACCCTGCTCACAGTCAAAATTCCTGCTTTTCTAAGCATTTTTGAGCTATAAAACACCTGTAATTGAATAAATGTAAAATAGAGCAGTTTAATGTCATACTGTGGAACATTCCAGGCAGAGCAATCCTAAGAAACAAGCAGGTGACGCACCGCCAACCAAAAAGTTACATGGTGCTCCTTTTAAAGAAAATGTGTTTTTGCTCATTCCACAACTAGTACAGCTTCACAAGAGGAAAGTGCTGCAGGAAATTTCAAATTTGTTTCACTGTGACTAAGCAGAATCTAAATATGGACTTATATGTACATATCACAATGTACAATATAAAGGCACAATACAACTTGACTGAAACATAAGAACTTTTGACATTGGGAAATCACATTTTTGCCACCATTTTGAGGTTGGTTAACAATGTTGTTTCTTTACTTTGTGTTTCACTGTTTCAAGCCGATGTACTGTCCTTTTGTTTCTTTTGAGGACTGAATGTTGAAACAAAGTGTGGAGATCGGTGGTTAAATACAGTGAATGGTTGAGATGGGTGCACTCTGCAGCAGCATAGACTTTGACTGTGGCACATTTATACAGGTTTGGGAACTTTATGTCGAGGCTGTCTCACACCAAAATGTTTGTAGAGGTTTGGAGTGGGATGGGACAATAAATAATAATATTTACTGTGATAAAAATAATAGAAAATCGCCATTTTAAAGGTGCATTGTTTAACTATTCTCAAACACTTTTCTCTATGAAGATGTTATTGCTTTGTCTGGAATGTTTCACAGCATGGCATTCAACCTTTCTGTCTTCATGCAGACCAAACCAGATGAAGTTACAGGTCAGATCTGTGGAAAGGTGACCCCACTCAGAGTCAGAATGCCTGTTTTTCAAGCTTTTAGGAGCTATAAACCCATTTTTAATTTAATAAATGTAAGGTAGAGCTGTTTCATGTGATACTGTTGAATATTTCAGGCAAAGCAATAACATCTCCACATAGTAAAGAATTAGACTGACCCTCCACCAGAAAAGTTACATAGTGCACCTTTAACACTAGAATGTGCAGAAAAAAAGCCACTTAATCATGATGTTTTCTTTTGGATCATTATAAGTGGAAACAACAAAGTACAGTTCTTAGGTACAGTTCGATTCTATAGCCTCTGTTAGCTGAAGACTTAAATGCTTGTGAGTGTTTGGGCACCAGCCGAGTCTAAACCTGACACCAGCACTGCTCATGTTGAAACCACGGGCCGCTGGGGACAGGGGTCAAAGTTTGAAGGTCAAGTTTACCCCAAGTTCAACTGTAGAGAAGTTGCAACAATCAGTTATACTGTGCGATGCATTTAAGAACACTGTGTACCAAATAATGTTTCATTTCTCCACCACCTCTTAAAGGTCCTATATTACACAAAATGGACTTTTGTGAGCTTTAAGACAAGTTATAAGGCTGTTATCTGTGTTGTTTTTTTTCGTTTTTTCATTCACACATGTTTGAATAAACCTTTTTATTAGTCTGTCTACATCTTTAAAGCTCAAAATGCTCTGTTCCACCTTGCGATGTCATGAAGTGGTAGTTTTAAAGGTGCATTGTGTAACTTTTCTGTTGGAGGGTCCGTCACCTGCTTGTTTCTATGGATATATCCTTGCTGTGCTTAGAATGTTCCACAATATGGCATTAAATAGATCTACCATACATTTATAAAATTTTATAGTTTTTTTATCTCTAAAATACCTAGAAAAACAGACATTCTGACTGAGTGGGGTCGCCTCTCCACAGATCTGACCTGTAACTTGGTCTGGTTTGGTCTCCATGAAAATAGAAAGGTTTAATGCCATACTGTGAAACATTCCAGACAAAGCAATTACATCTCCATGGAAATGTTAAGCATTTGACGGACCCTCCACCAGAAAAATTACACAAGGCACCTTTATCCATTACCTTTTTACTTTTAGTTCAGTACAGATTGGCAATTCTAGGAATTAAATCATCGAAGTGAGTCTAGTGAAGGTCTGTGCAGCTTAAAAACGCAGTGGAGCATCTCCTGTTTTACCACATGACATCACAAGGTGGAACAGAGAAGAACTCTTTTGCTGGGTTTGTGTGTTAAACAAGTGTGAATGAAACAAAACAAACCTCCAGGTCTGTTTATGATGAGGGAACTGCATTATAACATAGATAAAAAATATAAAAAGCGTAATATGAGCCCTTTAAATGGCACTTCACTGATTTAGAAATTTGATTTTACCATTGGTGAAAGTCCAGACCTGTTTCTGTATGTTTGCATTTCCCCATAGAGCAGACGGTGCCTTCTACTTGATATTCTGAACATTCTGAACATACTGAACATACTGAACATGCATAAACCAGGAGCTGAATGAGGCAAGTTCAGCTGCAGCATTTTCCCTTTGTCTCTAGAACGTACTAAAACACACTTGAATTGAACCCCATGTCCTGTCAATCATCAGATCATCTTTGGACTATTTTTCCTTACAACCCCATGTTTGAAGCTGGGAGACATTTAGAGACATTCTATATGTTATACATTTAAATAATTATGCCTTATTTGACAACAGTCTCTTGCTAGTTTTGTGGCTTATTTATAATGTATTTTGCTTTTGTTATTAAAAATACAGTACATGCAGTCTTGAATTGAAAATTACACACAATATATTATAAGTCCAAACTATAAACAGGTTTGCAAATACAACTTGCATTTCATTTTTATATAATAGGGCATGACAAATGGGAATAATATTTAATTGTGATTAGATTTGTAATACATGTTAAAATAATAAGTTTTTATTCAAAGTTTGCATTTTAAACATGTCCTAAAAATGGACAGAAGACAAAAAAATGTCAGAAAATGTAACAGGTCTAAACTATAGAATTAGATGTTTTTATGCAGGTTGAGAAGACATTTTTTTTTTTTGCGTGTGTGGAAATGATGATACTTTTCAGTGGGATTAATCTTGCAACAGCCTTATTAAAAACTGTACAATGCCTATATATGTAACTAAAAAAAATACTAAAACTGTTGGCAGTTCAATCACTACCTATACTGACTGCTGTGGTTGTCTCCTTTGGCGGCACACTTCACTATTCAAGGGATTACTGTATTTCTGTGGGGAATTGTGTGCGTAATGGGCGGTTTATTTAGTCATTGTTGGAGCCGGTATTGTTCAGAGTCAGTGGCTTTACAGTGTCCATGATTCTGATTGGCCGCTGTGGTCATGTGATCTGATGTGTCAGTTCAGTGGATGTGCTGTTATGTAATGATGGAGGACAGATTGATTATGGCCCTATACAAACACACACATTCCCAGTCTGGTTTAAGGGGCCCCGGTGGTGGAGTGGTGGTCTTGAAATCCGGGAGGTTGATGGTTCAAACCCCACTGACCTGTGCATATTGTCAGTAAACGTGCCTCTTAGCCTAGACACTGTGATGACTACAATACACTCAAAAATAGATCTTGCTGAATTTGCTGTTGAATTTGGCTCATTGCAGGAGAGAATCATGTGGAAACAACTGCCTGAGATGATCACCAGGATGTTTTTCTGTCATGGTGCAATATTCATGTCAGGGCCTTTTCATTAACGTCATACTGTAAATGATGCCAGGAATTTGTAACATTTTCTGTTTGTGTTTATTCTGAGAGTAATAAAAGACAACATAAATTATATGTGTTTTTCTTTCTTTTTTTTTTTTTTTTTCCAGAGTTGACTTCAACGTCCCAATGAAGGACAAGCACATCACAAACAACCAGAGGTGACACATTTACTTGTTAAAGAGAGTTTAAAGTTAGACCTTCAGATTAACCCAGGCTCTTGTTTCCAAACAGGATCAAGGCGGCGGTCCCCAGTATCCAGCACTGTCTGGACCACGGGGCGAAGTCTGTGGTCCTGATGAGTCACCTGGGCCGACCTGACGGAAACCCCATGCCTGAGAAGTACTCTCTGGAGCCTGTGGCTGCAGAGCTCAAGAGTCTGCTGGGGAAGTGAGTCTGCATGCTTTGTCCTTATGTTTACAGGTCAGATGAGAATAGAAAGTGCTGCCAAAGCATGAGGTAAAAGAAAAGTGCTATGACATCGACTGCTGTAGAATATAATGGGAACAAGCTCTGAACTTCCACGCTGTATTTCCACACAAAGCAGCAGTGCAAGACACACACAACAGACCCTCGACAGAGCTCTGTCTCTCTGCTGTCATCAGTGCATGCTGTCCTCATAGTGTATTTAGACACAGGTGAACGAAAACAACACCTCATTTGCGAATAACTTCAGGGAAGCAGGCACTGGCGTACTTTGCACGGGGCTCTGTTGCTTGAAGTGCATTGTCATAGAAATACGTTTGGTGATCTGATGATGATGATGGACACTAGAGGTCTGCGAGGGACAGAATTTTCAGTCCCGCTCCAGCCCACACCTGCATTGTGCAGTCCCGCTCCCGCCCACAAATCCCGCAAGATGGGGCCGTTCGCTTTCTTAAGCTCTATCAAACACAGGGAAGGGAAAGGAATTGTCTAAAATGTCCAAGAGATTAGACCATGTCCACAAAATTAGGATGCTTAAAATGTTTTAATGCTAAATAAAAAATCCAGCACAAATGATGTATAACAGGCATACTTTAATCATTTGTATATTTTACTTTACACTCATATTTAGTTTGCGGGACTGCAGTTTATCACCCGCCCGCTCGCTCCCCCATTGTGTAGTTCCGCTCCTACCCACGTCCGCAATGAGCTTTGAACAAGACCGACCCGAAAGTGAAGAACTAAAAGAGAACTAAATCTCGTGTCACTGGGGTCAGTCCACAGAGCGCTATAACATGTGAACACGACAACTTCACAACACAATAGCACAAAATGCCAATAATCAACTATGGGGTTATTATCTATTCATTCAACTTTCCTGCACAAAATGAATAAAATTTCTTTGTAATGAACTGGCAGTTATTCACATCTTTCTCACGCTGGTTTTGTCGCTGTGGTTTGTTCAGAGATGTGACGTTCCTGAAGGACTGTGTGGGTGCTGAGGTGGAGGCAGCTTGTGCCAGTCCTGCCCCAGGTTCAGTTATTTTACTGGAGAATCTGCGCTTCCACGTCGCTGAAGAGGGCAAAGGCAAGGACCCCGCTGGTAACAAGGTTAGTGTGTTTTTGTTGTTGTCATACACACGTCTCTTGTCTGTAAAGAAAATTAAACTCTAAATAAAAAAAACAAACGAATCCACAGGCAAAACGCAGAATAGAATACTACTATATAATTTTATGCCTGAATGAAGTGAACATAAATACTGTAATGGTACACTCATAGGCACTGCAACTGATTTTTACATTCCAAGCTTCCTAATTATTCACCATAATGAGTTTATAAGCACGTTCAGACAATAAAAGGCTTAAGTTGTTGCAGACAGAACACAGCGATCTAATTTCTAACGTGAAGAGCCAATCTATGTTATAATTTTTCCTCATCATAAACAGACCTGGAGTTGTGTTTTGTTTCATTTGCACATGTTTAACACACAAACCCTGCATATCTTTTCTTCAAACTGAAAACTGTCTGTTCCACCTTGTGATGTCATGTGGTAATTTATGGTAATGCAGGAAGTCCTCTACTGTGTTTTTACACTCCACACACCTTCACTAGAATCATTTGGATGATTTCAGACCTGGAATTGCCAGACTCTACAGCTTTATGACAACAAATGCCTTTTACCTCTAGTTCAGTAGTTTTCAGGTCCTCACAAAGTGGAACAGAGCTTTTTGAGCTTTGGAGATTTAAAATAATAATAAAGGATTACGCAAACATGTGTGAATGAAACAAAACACAACTCCTGGTCTGTTTTTGAGGAGGTAACAACATTATAACACAGCTTAAAACTCACAAGTCAATTTTGTGTCTCATAGGTCCTTTTATGTTCGTGCTTACTGCTTATGAACTGACTGTAGATATCCTGACATGAAGCATGAAGCAGGTATAAAAGATGACTTGACAGAAACAGTGCTACTCGTGTTTTGACCATTTGGATCTGAGTGACCTTTATTTTGAAGGTCAGAGGTCCGTGTTTCTTTTCCTGTCCAAGAGCCCTCGCTGGAATGCTCTGTCCTCACTGAACTGTTATTTATAGAGCCATTTACAATCTTAAGACCACAGAATCAAATCTGAAGCCTAAAAATGCTTTGTCCATTACAGTTTATTGAAGTCCTGAGCTAAGCAGTCTACAAATGTTAATTTGTTATATTATTCTTAATAACAGCTGCTGACTGGACAGATGTTACTGAACCTTTTTCATGATATTCAAATTTTTCGAGGTGGACTTACGCATGCACCCACACAGCACTTCTCACATCCTCTTTTTGCAGCATATTAAATTGTGTTGCATTATCAAATAGTTTTAAATAAGTCTATTATGCAACATGGTATGATTGTTACAGACTGGTTTGAGATAAATGTGTGGGTTCTGCGGCGGCGGCCATGTTTGCTTTGTGTCTCATTCTTTGTGTTTTGTGTTTGTTTCAGACCAAAGCATCTCAGGAGCAGATCGATGCGTTCAGGGCCTCTCTGTCCAAACTGGGAGACGTTTATGTGAATGACGCTTTCGGCACCGCACACAGGGCTCACAGGTCAGAGGTCACACAGAGCTGCTGTTACTGCTACTGTGTTTCAGATGAGATCACAATATTCTATTGGCCAATAATATTTAGTACAGATGGAGGCCGCTCAAATGAATACTGTTCAAATGCAGATTTCTGTTTTAATACAGTGAGTTCTTGGGTTTAGTCATGAATTGAAATGATTAAGTTCAACATTTGTAGATTTACATTTTGTATATTTATGATACTTTTATCTCAAAATGTCCCTTTTCACAGTCTTCATGGATATGAGAAAAACAGTTCATTTCACATAATCCAACAGTGTCTTACTTGTGTCCTTTGAACTGCCCATGCTGCACTTAAAATCCCATTTTATGTAAAAAACTGGGCTAAGAAAACAAGACTCAAAACTGCAAAGTTTTTAAAAACTTCCTTATCCCAGACATTGACACTAAAGAGCATGATACTGACTGGATTTTCCTTGCAGTTCGATGGTTGGCGTGAACCTGCCGCAAAAAGCTGCTGGGTTCCTCATGAAGAAGGAGCTGGAGTACTTCGCCATGGCTTTGGAGAAACCACAGAGGCCCTTCCTGGCCATTCTCGGAGGGTAAGAACTCAACCCAGACAAAACGTGGGTCTGATCCACAGGCCTGGACTGCACCAGGGCCTACATTGGAGGTGTGGTCTGTGAGAGTAAGAGGAGGTGTACTCCAGGAATAGTGACCTTAAGCTCGTTATGCAACTGCACTGTACGGCGTCTGTCACTGATGCAGCTGAAACTCAATATGGCACTTTTGTTAAAGGGCCCATTTTACACTGTTGTTTTATCTGTCATAATGTTTCCACGTCACAAACAGACCGGGAGTTGTGTTTTGCTTCATTCACACATTTAACACACAAACCCTGCATATTTACGCTGAGTTCTTCTCTCAGACAGAAAATACTGGGGCACTTCCTGCATTACTGCGTTTAAAATGATTCTAGTGAAGGTGTATGAAATTTATAATCATTTCAGACCTGGGTTTGCCTATTTTTACTGAATAAAATGTTAAAGGTAGCTGTTAACTTAAACTACCACATTTTGAGCCTTGAAGATGCAGACAGACTAATAATTAAGAGTTACTCAGTCGTGTGAATGAAACAAAACACAACTCCAGGTCTGTTTGTATGAGGAAACGATGGTTCATCATGGATATTCATTCACGATTTAAAGCTCAAGAGTAAATTTTGCGTGATATATGGACCTTTTTAAAGGGCCTTTATTTTAACATATTCAGATCGAGTGGTATTCAAATGTTTTGGCGTCTCGTCATCTGAAACAAACATTGACACCAACAAAATAGTCCATATTTTTTCCATTGATTTGAGAAGTGTTGAGTAACGATGTGTGTGTATATTAACGAGGGTCTTTAGCCTTTGTCTTGTCTGAAGTTTCTGCTGTTTTTTTTTTTTTTTAAAGGGCGAAGGTGAAAGATAAGATCCAGCTGATCGACAACCTGCTGGACAAGGTGGATGAGATGATCATTGGAGGAGGAATGGCCTTCACCTTCCTCAAAGTCCTCAACAACATGGAGGTTTGTCACAACACTGAATTCTGCCTTGAAAACATTAGAAAGTAGTGTGTGTATATAAAGGGACCTGTTCCAAGTGAATTCCAAGTGAACTGAAGCTAATGGACCTGATCACTTCCTGAAATAATGCAGCTACGTGTGTGTGTGTGTGTGTGTCCTCTGTCAGTGTGCCCTGTGGCTACAATAGTAGCTTACCATCACCAGGGTATAGAGTGAATGAATAATGCTGTGTAAAGCGTCTTTTACAGACAGAAAATGTCTGTGAAAGCTTTATATAAATAAACACTTACTTACAAATCACGTGCCTTTTTTTCCCTCAAAGTCGCTCCCACTATCATTAGCAACAGATTTGATTGACAGTGTTGCTAAAAAAAAAGCGGCATTACCTTCAATAGCCTCGTTTGGTTGCCAAGATACTCGCAGTCAGAATTCCAAATTTGGAACTCTGCTGCAAATTTGCTCTAGCTTTGAGCTTCATTTAACTGGAGGTGAATGCTGTGGGTGACCCTTAGTCCAATTCTTTATACAGTCGGTGGTCTAAACCAGGACAAGAATGGACTTGGATTTAAAGGACTGAACCAGGTCTAAAAGTCCTTATCAGTTCTCTCACAAAACTACAAAAGAAATTGTAACAGAGCTCTATGTACTTCTCATATTGACGTCATAACAGTTGGAGCTCTGTAGAAAGACACTAGGCACTAAATGTTTTTCAGTCCTTTAACCTCTTGATCAACGTCCGTTTCCCAACTGAACTGTTTGAACAGTGGTTGAGAAATCCTCTGAAAGAATAAAGATAGCAGTGAAATGTATGGCCTGTTTTTGACCCCAGTAAAAGTCTGTGGGCTTTGAAAATATTTTACTATTTTAAGGTGAGACTCTGCAGGTGAATAGGAAAAATCTTAAATTTAGAGCTATTATTTTGAAACTTCTCCTGTAGTTTCCTCACATAAATGTAAGAAAAGAATGTATTACGTGTTTTTATCTTGCAATGCTTTCGTATTAAAATAAGGCATTTTTTATGTAAAAACTAGATAACTAACTAAAAATGGATGGAGACAGGTTTAAATTTGTATATTTAGTATCTAATATGGAAAGAAAAATAAGCAACAGAGGGGATCTTTAGTATTTGAGCAAACATAGTTTCAGATCTTTTTTTACTTTTATAAATCAGGCTTGGAATTGGATCCTTAAGAAGTCTGGAGTTTGTATGGTGCTACTTTAAGGGCTTATCCTTAAACTTTAAAGGTGCAGTATGTAACTTTTTGGTTGGGGTCCGTCAGCAGCTTGTTTCTATGAAGATGTCATTGCTCTGCCTGTAATGTTCCACAGTATGACATTAAACAGCTCTACCTTTTACATTATTCAATTACAGGTGGTTTTATAGCTCACAAATACCTAGAAAAATAGGCATTCTGATTGTGAGTGGGATTGCCTCTCCATAGATCTGACCTGTAACTTGGTCTGGTTTGGTCTCTATGAAGATAGAAAGGTTTAGTGCTATACTATGAAACATTTCAGACAAAGCAATTGCATCTCTATTGAAAAAAGCATTTGATGGGTCCTCCAGCAGAAAAGTTACACAATGCATCTTTTAAATTTTGATAAATGAAGAAATAAAGAAATACTGTCTCGGTAGAAAATAAAATGTGCTTTTAAAGCATTGTTAAAGCATCAGGTTTATGTATATATCAGTATAAATCAGGAGTCTAACCCACAACCCCTAAGCTAAGAGGCAGGAGACAGGCTAACCACTCCTAATGTAATGTAATATTTATTTTTCAGATTGGTAACTCTTTGTATGACGAGGAGGGCGCTGGCATCGTGAAGGACCTGATGGCCAAAGCGGAGAAGAATGGCGTTAAGATCACTCTCCCCGTGGACTTCGTCACCGGAGATAAGTTTGACGAGAAAGCAGCCACTGGAACAGCCACAGTCGCTGGAGGCATCCCTGCTGGGTGGATGGTGAGCATTGCTGTTACTGTTATTCATTAAAGGTCCAATTCTGTCTTATTTTATATATATTGAGTTATATATATATATAATTTTAGTATTTAAAAAGGGAATATATTGTGCTATTTTCTGACCTGTATAATGTTTTCTCATCATGAACATACCTGTGTTTACCTTGTGTTTTTTTGATTCACACATGTTCAACATACAAACCCTGCATATTTAGCATATTTAGTATATTTACTCAAACGGAAAACACTCTATTTCACCTTGTGATGTCATGTGGTAATACAGAAAGTGCTCCAGTATGTTTTTAAACTCCATGCACCTTCACTAGAATCATTAGGATTATTTCAGACCTGCAATTTCAAATCTCTGCTGAACTAAAGGTAATATAAAATGTAGCTGTTAACTTAAACTTCCACTACATGACATCACAAAGTGGAACAGGGCATTTTGAGTTCTGAGATGTAGACAGAGTAATAATAAAGGGTTTCTCAAGCATGTGTGAATGAAACAAAACACAACTCCAGGTCTGTTTTTGAGGAGGTAACAACATTATAACATGACTTAACGCTCACAAGAGTCAATTTTGCATAATAAAAGGACCTTTTAAATACTTACGACGTACCAAGGATAATTAACAAGAGTTCCAGCAATAATGTCGTTTTAACAATTTGCGATATTGTATTGAACACATCAGACCAAGAGACAAATGCACGGTAAAGTTCTGGTCTAACCCTTGTGTGTTCTGTAGGGTCTGGATTGTGGACCTGAGAGCTCCAAAGCCTTCGCTGAGGCTGTGGCCAGAGCCAAACAGATCGTGTGGAATGGACCTGCGGGCGTGTTCGAGTGGGAAAACTTCGCCAACGGGACCAAGAACCTCATGGACAAAGTGGTGGAAGCGACAAAGTCCGGCTGCATCACCATCATCGGTAACACAACCAGGACTTGACTGAAGCTAGCTCTGTAAAGGTTCAAGGTGCAGTGCTTTTCTCCATGGAGATGTTATTGCTTTGGAGTGTTTCACATTATGGCATTAAACCTTTCTATCATCATGGAGACAAAACCAGACCAAGTTACAGGTCAGATCTGTGGAGAGACGATCTTGCTCACAGTCAGAGTGCTTGTTTTTTTAGGTATTTTTGAGCTAAAACCGCCTATAATTGAATACATGTAGACTTAGTCTAAGGCAAACTTTATTGATCCTCAAGGGAAATTATTTTGGTCACCGAAGTTCACACATCAAAATGTAATATAATAACAAAGAGAGAAAAGATTCTAAATAAGTAGCAAAAAAGAGCAAGAGACAGCTGTCAAATAAGTTACAGTTATATAAATGTAAAATGTACAAGTCAAAATAAAATAGAAAGATAAGTAATAAAATTATAAAATCACAGCTTAATACAAGAAGTCATAGGAAGATAATGTGTGCAACAATGATATAATGATTGACAGGACATATGGTCAACCGTTACGTAAGGTTGAGTTGTACAGATGTAGGTAGTATTATCTATTATCTATGTAAGGTAGAGCTGTTTAACCTCATACTGTGGAACATTCCAGGCAGAGCAATGACATCTCCATAGAAACATGCAGGTGACGGACTTTCAGCCAGAAAAGCAACACCTTATGAACATTGGAAACTACATCTCCCATGATTCATTTCAGGGCAGACAACATGAAGAAATATTTTTTACTTGAATTCTTGGGATTATGATGGAAATAATTCACACCAAAATCTTGTCAAGGTATTTTGAAAGTAGAAACGTGTCCTATCTACAGTTATATCAGCCTCTATCGCAAATATCGCAATAAATATCGTACCGTGAGATTTGGATATCGTTACATCCCTTGTATCATAAAAACCAGTTGAATCTACCAGGCTGCTGAAGGTAACGCCTCTTCCCGCCCTGGTTTAATGCAGAGTGGGCTCTTGGCAACACTGTCAATCAAACCTGTTGGTAACACTAGCAGGAGAGATCTTGACGAAAGAAGCTGCATGTTCATATCTTGATTTACGGACAAAATAGCAAAATAAAAACCCTAGGATCATGTAAAGAAGGTGAATACAAACATAAGACCGAAATGACGAGGTTTACCGCAGCAGTTGCAGCAGTAGGCAGAAAGAGGGGCTACAGTTTTTCAATAGAAAGTGACTTGGAGCCAGAGTCGATGGAGCTGCTTAGCCATATGTCTGTATGTCCATTTATATACAGTCTATGGGTCTAATGCAGGTCTAAAAGTATTAATATCGGTCCCTTCCCTCACCTCTGTGTTCTTGTGTGTGTCCAGGAGGGGGTGACACTGCCACATGCTGCGCCAAGTGGAACACAGAGGACAAAGTGAGTCACGTGAGCACAGGGGGCGGAGCCAGTTTGGAACTGCTGGAAGGTGAGTGACAACTGAGAACAAGCAGCAAAAACAAAAACCGCACTTGGAGATAATCTGGAATTTTGTCCATAATGGTTGATTTTAAAATAATCAGGACATTTTCACTAGAATTTGTATTTTGTTTCAGTCAATATCAAAACTTCTCATCTTGGAAACCCGAGATCCACATGAAGACAGAATATTATTAGTCTTGTCTTGTAGCATAATCACTGAAAATTGTCCAGCAGTGGTCTAAAATAGAAAGGTTTTAGAGGCAGTTGCTGTTGCCCAAATCATGTTTCAAGGTTTTCAGCAAATGCAAAAATAAGTAGGATAACTGGGGCAGTTTGTGTGTTTTTGATTTATTTTAAGAGCCAATAAACTTTTTCACAACAGCCTGAAGTGACGCGATGCAGGGTAAATGTAACTCCTGGTTAATGCTTTTCTATGGCAAAATATCTGTGGAAATGTCTCACGTATTTTCCACCAGCTTCATAAATCTGCCCCATCACCAAATCTTCATCCAATAAGGTTCACAAAGGAAATATTCTGTCCATGAAGAATTTATCCACAACTATCAAGGTAAGAAAGATGAAAACATAAAGGCAAACAACAGCGACGGCACATTAGTGAACTACTCCTGAACAAAACTAATGTTATGGTCAAGAATAAAACATAAGTAATAAGTAATTCATTAATAATAATAATTAGTTTTTCTCAGGAGTAGTTCACTAATGCATCGTCGTTGTTCGCCTTTTCGTTTTCGTCTTTCTTACCTTGATAGTTGTGGATAAATTCTTCATGGACAGAATGTGTCCTTTGTCGACCTTATTGGATGAAAATTTGGTGATGGGGCAGATTTATGAAGCTGGCAGAAAATGCGCGAGACATTTCCACAGATATTTTGCCATAGAAAAGCATTAACGTAAGTGACATTTACCCTGCATCGCTGCACTTCTGGCCACAGTGGAAAAGGTCTATGGTATCTACATTGGGCCACGGGGCCACGCAACTGATGCTCTGAAATCCGTGACGTCAAATTAACTGTTGTGGAGCTTCATGTTTAACCCCGTAGTTTGTTTTCTCTCATTCATAAGATTTTCCCCAATGGCCAACAGGTCAAATATGATAATTGATCAATACAATGTTTTCAGTTTTGACCTTTTTTTGTACTTTGCATTTGCAGTTTGCATTTTTAGTGAAGAAATACATTTTTTTTTAAGGAAAAATCTTTATATTTTCAGGCAAAATTGTCCAGCCCTTGACCCTATGTTTTATTTACTGCCTTTGTCCAACCAGGAAAAAAATATTACTTACAAAAATGATCAAATTGGAGAAAACTTTATCAAAGTTTTTGTCAAATATGTTGACTAATGGTGTAATCTGTCAGGTGCACTTAAATCTTTGGCCTGTGTTTTATTTAAATTATTTTTCTTTTCTTCTTCAGGGAAAGTGCTGCCGGGTGTGGACGCTCTGAGCAGTGCCTAAACCTCTCCTCTGTTTGTGTGAATGAAAGAGATTGAGGTGGATTCTACTCTGCACTAGTTTACTCTGCTTCAGCCCAATACAGCCCTTTACATAGGACCTACTGTACTTACGTGTATTCTAACAAGTATCTCAAAGAGTTTTAGGGCAATGTCACAACGAAGAATCGAAGTCTGTAACTGTGCTCCGTTCTTTAAATCTTTAGAGCCACGTGCAATTTAAATTTACTGTGGAATTTTTCACTGTAAATTTTTTTCTCCTGTTAATTTGCCTGACAATCCGAAGAAGCAAATGAACTAAAACTAATTGGCTGACCTATATACACACACACAAATCCAGTTATATTATTATTTATGCTGCCCTATTTAAACCATATTTGTGTCAAGATGATTAAATGAAAAGACAGGATGCTGCTTTGTAATTCCAAATGGGCCCAAGTAACGTCTCCTTTTAAGAATAAATAATAAGATTGTACATTTTTGGTGCTTATTTTCATGTCGAGTTGTGAAACTGCTGCATATAATCTACTAAAATAGCCACAACAAAAGCACTTTCAAGGATGAAGATGTGTTTAATCTTTGAATCTTTAACTATTCAAACAAAATATAAATAAACTAAGAATTACGACTATTTACTGGCCCAGTGTAGTGTCGGTTTTGGCTGTTTCGTCCACCTCTGTCTGTGTGAATGTGTCTGTATTTTGGCTTTAGTCCATGCACTGAGTAAAACGGTTATAATTACATTGGATTAACAAGGTAGAGTACTGTTTAAACGGTTGTTGTCTGCTGTTTTGTTTTCTACAGCGCTGCTTTCTTGTCCTTACCCCAGTAAAACTCTGTGTTACACTTGAAATTGGCTTTTGGTCTTTTTTTAATTTATCTATTCATATATTTTTTCAATAGACAGTAATTTTCATTTGTTAAATTTGGGAGTTAATCTTGCTGTTGTGTCCATTGGTAAGACACTTCAACCTCTTCCTCTGTACGATATTTTCACTATATACATCTGATGGTACGGTATTTATTGCGATATTTTTGTAGAGGCAAAAAGACAAAATTGTGAATGAGTTTTTTCCTTAAATGCCATGACAGGACTTTGCTTGTATCATAAACTCAAAAGTTAAGATTTAAAAGTGCTTATAACATTTATTTAATGTTGTAAACTGGACAGAAACAAAGCAAAGGATCATGATCTATGTAGTTCCCTCTGTTTCTTTTAGCTATTGCGGCACCATAACAATAAATTTAAGTAAAGACACTTGTGGTTTGATATATTGTTACGGTCCACGATGTTATTGAGAGACACTTGACAATACAGTATCACGATAGTTCTGTTATTGTCACATCCCCAGTGTTAATATGTGTGTGAGTGAGTTGTGGTGGAAGATGCAGATGGTGCAGATTGGAAGTACAGTTCTGAGCAGGGTTTCCACAGTTATGGAAATCCTGTTAGGTCATGGAATTTTAGTATCTCTTACAGCATTCTGTTAAGTTCTCATTAGGCTATTATGATTATTTCTGAATGTATGCGCCTTTTGTTTAAAAAGAGACGACAATAAATGCACTGACAGTATTTTGAATGTTAAAAAACTATAATACCAAACCATAAGTTGAGTGGAAAGGATTAACATTTCATATTTAGCCCTAAAAGTCTAATCAATTTTACGCATGTAGATGCTGTAAAGTCATGGAAAATTCACTTTAGGTCATGAAAAAGTCATGGAAAAGTTTTGAAGTTTTGTCAGTGAAAAAGAGTGGGAACCCTGTGTGATTAACTTTGCGTGGGTAGTCCTCAGATACATTTAATTGAGTAACTTCTTAAGGAAATTATACTTGTCAGAGTAATTTTCTAGCAGCATACTTTTACTCCCACTTGAGTAATATTTTTTAAGAAGCTGTACTTGAGTAAAATGTACAATTGAACAGTGTAACAGTACTCTTACTTGAATACAAGCTTTGGTTCCTTTTCCCACTGTGAGTAAGACACAGAGGATATTTTTTTAAAGGTGCACTATGTAACTTTTCCAGTGGGTGTCCATCACCTTCTTGTTTCTATGGATCTTTCATTGTTCTGCCTCAAATGTTCCAAAGTATGACATTAAACAGCTCTACCTTACATTTATTCAATTACAGATGGTTTTATAGCTCAAAAATACCTAGAAAAGCAGGCATTCTGACTGTGAGCAGGGTCGCCTCTCCACAGATCTGACCTGTAACCTGACTTGGTTTGGTCTCCATGAAGACAGAAATGTGAAATACATACTGTGAAATATTCCAGACAAAACAATTACATTTCCATGAATAAAATCAGATGGTGGACGCTAAAAGTTAGAATATGCACCTTTAAATATCAATTTGCAAATTGATCATTTTGATTCAGTGGTGATATTTTGTGCAGCCCTAACTGGCAGCCTCTCCTCCATCAGTCTGCCCCAGGACTGCTGTGTCTATAGAGTTTGAGAGAAGTATGGAAAAGTACAAATGGGTTAAGATTATCATTACATTTTTAATACAATGACGCCCTCTGGTGGTTAACATTTTTCCTGTCAATACATCAATACAGTCATCATTCACACAAGATATAAGAAACAGCCAGGCACACTCTCATTAAATATATTTATTATGTTAAAAAAGACAAAGACATCAGCAAAGGAACAGCATATTCATTTGGGACAATTTGATTCTCAGTCCAAAGTGTAAATGTTTTCTTGAACCGGGCGTCTCATTCTGATCTCGTAAATGATGTGGCGAGGCTCATCTGAAAAACTAAAATTACAGGTCCTACGTTACACAAAACTGACTCTTGTGAGCTTTAAGCCATATTATAATGTTGTTACCTCATCAAAAACAGACCTGCAGCTGTGTTTTGTTTCATTCACACATATTAAAATTAATAACTCTTTAGTGTTAGTCTGTTTACATCTCCAAAGCTCAAAATGTGATGTCATGTACCTTTTACCTTTAGTTCAGTAGAGACTGGCAAATCCAGGGTTGAAAGTATCCAAATGTTTTTAGTGAAGGTGTTTGTAGTGATGTAAGTAAGTATAGAGAAGCTTTATAGAGCATCTTTCACAGACAAAAAATCAAAACAAAGTGCTTTACAGAGTGCATTAAATAACATAAGACAGAAGAATTACAGATACAGTCAACATAAAGCTTGTCTAAATAGTAGTGTCTTGAGCTGCTTTATAAAAGAGTCAGTAGAGTTTGCCTCATGGACGGCATTCCATAATTGGGGGGGCTACAGCCTGAAAAGACTGGTTCCCCTGTGTTTTATTGAAGCGGGACTTTGGAACAATCAATGGGTTCTGACCTGAGAACCAGAGAGCGCAGACTAAGGTGTAGGGGCGCAGTAAGTCACTGATGTGCTGGAGCTCAAAGGTGGAACTGAGTCGTCGTTCTGCAAGTCTCAAGTAAGTCTGAAGTCTTTGACCTCAAGTCCAAGTCAAGTATCAAATCAAATACAAGAAAGTCTAAGTCAAGTCTCGAGTCACTGGCCCATAAGTCCAAGTCAAGTCCAAGTCATCTGCTTTGAGCTTCAAGTCATTTCAAGTCTTTAAACCAAAGAACCAAATATAGCTTAGATTTTTTCAATTTATATGAATATTAAGTTAAATTGCACTTAAAAAGGATATTTTCAACAAGATCTTATTGTGAATCATATGGTCAGAAGAGAAAAAATTTAGATTTAAGAGTACTTAGTAACAATTATTTTGCCATGTCGTCTGCAGTGAAATGGAAAGATCATGTTCTTTGTAGTTCCCTCTGTTTTACTGTATTGTACTGTATATTACTGTAGTACATTTGAGGGTACCACATCACAGTACTTCAGTTAGTCCAAAGTAACAAGTAAAGAAGTGGGACTGACATGCTCCAGTCTGTAAAAGTATTTTCAAAAAGTATATATATTTTAGGAAAAGCATCAAGTCTTCTCAAATCACAGGGCTCAAGTTTGAGTTAAGTCCCAAGTCACTGACCATCAAATCAAAGTTGAGTCCCAAGTCTTAGTCCATTTTTATCAAGTCAAGTCTCAAGTCCTAAAAATAGTGACTCAAGTCTGACTTGAGTCCAAGTTACGACTTGCAAGTCCCCACCTCTGCTGGAGCTTTTTAAGTTGACTTTAACAACACTTTGATCTTAACAGGAAGTCAGTGCAGTGAAGATAAAAATAGTGTGATGTGTGTTTGCTCGTTTGCTCCTGTTAAAAAACTTTTAGACACCTTTTGTGTGAGTTTCAGCCGCGTAAGTGTGGACGTGTTAAAACAAGTAAAAAGAGAATTACAAAAATCTAAACAAGATGAAATAAAAGAGTGAACAATCATCTCAAGATCAGCATTTGATAAAAATTGGTCTTGCTTGGCTGCATTGACCCTCCAAAGAAAAACACAGTGGAGCACTTTCTGTATCACCACATGACATCACAAAGTTGAACAGAGTTATTTCTGTTTGAGAGAAGAACTCAGCCTAAATATGCAGAATTTGTGTTTTAAACATGTGTGAATGAAACACAACACAACTCCAGGTTTGTGACAATGAAACAACATTATAACATATCAGAAAGCAGCGTATTATGGACTGTTTTAATGCATTTTGGACTTCCTTTTGAATATATATTTGGTTATAAACATAAATCTGATCGATGTAAACTCACCATCCAGACTTCAGCCCTTTTCCACCTGTGAAATTAATAAAAATATCATATAAATAAAATATAAACGAAGGTTAAAGCCAATGTGGCGACGTATTCTTACGTTTTAAAGCCACAAAGAGCGAGACCACTGCTAAAATGAACAGAATACTGAGGGAGAGAGACAAGACTGGGACGTTTATCTGAACAGAGAGCGAGGGCACCTGCTCCTCCACCTGAGAATCAAAAAGAGACAAAAAATATACGTATTATTGTCAAAAAATATAAAAAATCAGATACTAATCAGTCTTAAATCTAGTATTGGAACTACATACTCATTTGAGCAAGTATTGATACTAAAAAAGTCACACTTACAAATAGAAATGAACCTTTTCTGAATAGTTTTAGAATGATTTTGAGCTGTTTAGGAACAAGTATAAGAGCACAAAGACAAGTTTACACCTATGGACCATTGAGGGATTACACAGATATAAGACCACTTGGGAATAGAAAAGAAAGTACTATGATTTAATGTTGAAAATCATATTCAATTGTTCTAAAGAAAGAGAGTTTTTTATTATCATTGTGGTATTGGAATCGGTATTGAGTATCAGAGTATCAAGTCTGCTCCTGTATTAGCTGTATACTGTTTGAGAGATGAACTCAGCCTAAATCTGCAGGGTTTGTGTATTAAACATGCGAGAATGAAACAAAACACTCCAGGTCTGTTTGCGATGAGGAAATGACATTATAATGTAGATCCGAAAGTAGCGTAATATGGGCCCTTTTAAATTAAATGTAATGAAGACCCCAAATCTCACATTGACGGGTTCAGACCGATGCAGAGTGGAGTTTTTCAGGATTTCCAGTTGCGACGACAGCACTGCTCTCCAGTTCACTACAAAAAAAAAATAAAAAAATCACATGGTAAGAAAAATAATCAAAAAAACTAAAGGTAAATGCTTTGAAGCACTTCGTTTTTGTTTGTTTTTTTACCTGTGGGCGTGGCTTCCTCTTGGACTGCTTCTTCTGTGGTTGTAGTTGTAGTAGTCGTCGTGATAATCGTGGTGGTGGTCGTCGTAGTTGTGGTGGTGGTCGGAGGACTGGTGCCTGGAGCTGGAGCACAATCAAACATTACACATTTCAGTTAAAGCTGCACTGTGTAACTTTCTGGTAGAGGGCATGTCCATGTAGAGGCAATTATTTTTTTCATTGAATGTTCTATGTAGTGTTGTAGGCAGGATTGCACTAATAGAGACCAAGACCTGGCTGAGACCAGGACAAGACCAAAACCTCTGAGGGTCAAGACCAAGACTAGACAGAGACCACGGCCCATCAAGACCAAATTGAGACCATCTTTGTAATTTTTGACATTTATTTGCATTTTACAGTTATTTTGACACATTCATATCAATGTTTTTTTTTGTGTGTGTGTTTTTCTTTTTATAAATCTATCCCCATTTTATCACTCGTCAAGTGTCAGACATCGAGACCAAGACAAGACCAAGTCCAAGCGCCTTCAAGGCTGAGACAAGACTAAGTCCAAGCACCTTCAAGATCGAAACAAGACCGAGTCCAAGCGCCTTCAAGACCGAGACAAAACCGAGTCCAAGCGCCTTCAAGGCCGAGACAAGACCGAGACAAGACCGAGTCCAAGCGCCTTCAAGATCGAGACAAAACTGAGCCCAAGTGCTTTCAAGGCCGAGACAAGGCCGAGGCAAGGCCGAGTCCGAGCGTCTTCAAGATTGAGACAAGACCCAGTCCAAATGTGGTTGAGTCCAAGACAAGACCAAGACTGCAAAAAAATGGTCTCAAGGCCACTCTCGAGACAAAGACCAGTCTTGAGTAGTACGACACTAGTTCTAAGGCATGGCTAGAACTCTGAGGGGTAAGACCAAGACAAGACTGAGACTTTTAAAGGCCAAGAGTCCAAATGTGGTTGAGCCCAAGACAAGACCAAGACCACGGCCCATTGAGACCAAATTGAGACCATCTTTGTAATTATCCACATTTATTTGTTTTTTACTGTTATTTTGGCGCATATATATCAATATTTTTTATAAATCTATCCCCATTTTATCACTCGTCAAGTGTCAGACCTGAAGACCGAGACAAGACCGAGTCCAAGCGCCTTCAAAAACGAGACAAGACAGTAAACAAGACTGTAATTATGGACGGGAAGTCTCATCTTAAGACCCACTTTTATTCTCTGGTTTTAAACACCATGTGAGTTGTGTGGTTCTCTGTGTCTTTTATTTATTTTAACTTATTTACTGCTTTTTTATGATTTTTATGGTTTTGCTTTTATTAGATTTTTATTGCTTTTATTGTTTCAGGACTGATATGATCATATTTGAGCAATTTACCTTTTGTTGTCTTCATTTTAAGATCTCTGTGCAGCACTGTGGAAACTGCTTTGTTTGTAAAATGTGCCATAGAAATAATTGGATGAAGTGATAAGTCTTGTTCCATTGATAGATAATTTTACTTGTTTAGAAATATACTCAAATCATGATAAAACTTTCTTAATTCATGTAATTTTAACTATGGCTAGATTTTAGTTTTTGCAGTGCTGACCTCTGACCTCTGACCCCTGACCTCTGACGACGCGCAGGTTCATGATGGTCTTCTTGTCGTTGAAGATGCCGTTGATGTTGACCCTGCAGCAGTAAGGTCCACTGTCCGAACGACGCACGTCCAGAATGTCCAGGTCCATCTCCCCGTCCAGAACATCCCCGGTGAGACGGTACCGATCCGAGACCTGAGGAACAAGAGGAACTGAGTTAGACTCTTAGACCCAGCCCAGTCCTGGTTTAGTCTTGACTCTGGTCTTGTTTACTAGGAGGCAACCAATGGCCTCTCTTACTCTTATTAGCTGGGTTATGAGTTTAGGCTTGTTTTAATCCTATTGTTGGGTCCAAGTTCAGTTTTGCATTAGTCCTGATTCAGTTCTGACTCAGTTCAGTCCAAGTCCCAAATAAGTGAGGCCTTGCTTAGTCCTGGTTCTTCTTTATTCTAATTTAGTCCTGGTTCATTCCTGCTTTAGTCCTGGTTTAGTCCTGGTTCAGATTTGTTTTAGTCCTGGTTTTTATTCCGGTTAAATCCTGGTCCCATCTGGGTTTTATTCTAATTTAGTCCATGTTAAATCTGGTTTAGTCTTGCTTTAGTCCTGGTCCAGTCCTGGTTTAGTCCTGGTCGAGTCCTGGTTTAGACCTGGCTTAGTCCTGGTCCTGCTCTAGTCCTGGTTTAGACCTGATTTAGTCCTGGTTCAGTTCTGGTCCAGTCCTGGCCCTGTTCCAGTCCTAGTCCTAGTCCTGGTCCTGGTCCTGGTTTAGTCCTCTCCAGTCTTGGTCCAGTCCTGATTCAGTCCTGCTCTACTCCTGGTTTAGTCCTGCTCCATTCCCGCTCTAGTCCTGGTCCAGTCTTGATTCAGTCCTGCTCTAGTTCTGGTCCAGTCTTGGTTCTGGTCTAGTCCTGGTCCAGTCCTGCTCTAGTCCTGGTCCTGGTTCAGTCTTGGTTCTGGTCTAGTCCTGGTCCAGTCCTGCTCTAGTCCTGGTCCTGGTTCAGTCCTGGTTTAGTCCTGTTCCTGGTTTAGTCCTGGTCCATTCTGGTTTAGTCCTGGTCCTGGTCCAGTCCTGGTCCAGTCCCGCTCCTGTCCCGGTCCAGACCTTGGAGATGACCCCGTTCTCGTCGGTCTGGACCAGGATGCTGCTGCACCAGAAGGTTCCACAGTCGCGTCCCCAGCAGACTCTGCTCAGGCCGAACCTCTGCACGCTGTACTGACACGACAGAGACGCCACGCCCCCTTCTGTCACACGGTAGGTACTGCAGCCTGGACACAACAGAAAACAGAAAACAATCAGACTGTCCGCAAAAATAAAAACTACACACTGATCCTTAGATATATCATGATACTTGATACTGAGATTGTATTTAAGATGGACTAAGACAAACTTTATTGATCCACAAGGGAAATTATTTGGACACAGTAGCTCACACATCACAATATAATAATAACAAAGAGTAAAAAAATACTATAAATGGTAATAATAAATTCTAAATAAGTAGCAAAAATAAAAAAATAAAAAATAAAAATCTGAAAAAGAAACTGTGATATAAATGTGTATGTACAAGTCAAAATAAAATAGAAAAGTAATAAATAAATAAAAATGAATGAAAAATAAATTAAAAATTAAAAATATAAAAATAAAAATCTCAGCTATATACAAGAGATTGTCAAGATTGTTTGAATGAATGAATATGAATGTTTATTTGGACAGTAATGTGTAACATAAATACATAGATATAATACAAAAAGTAGATATTTCTTTTCTATAATAATAAACAAAAATAAATGTCATGCAGATTTTACTTGAGTCCGAAAGGTCTTGTATATTACACAAAATTGACGCTTGTGAGCTTTTAGTCATGTTATATTGTTGTTTTCTCATCACAAACCGACCTGGAGTTTTGTTATGATTTATTCACGCATGTTTGAGTAAGTGTTTATTATTTTAAAAGCTCAATATGCTCTATTAGTTCACTTTTTTTAGACTTTGACAATTTACCTTTAACTCAAGAACTAATAAATCTGCAGGATTTGTGTGCTGAACATGTGTGAATGAAACAAAACACAACTCCAGGTCTGTTTGTGATGAGGACACATAACAAATAGATAATAAAATACTGTAATATGTTTGTTTGTTTTTTTCACAGTTGCAATCAGTTAATTATTTTAGCACTGTTGTAAAATGCATTTGCTTTCTGTATCAGTATCAACATTTTGTAATATTATTGAGAAGCAGGAGACAAGATGAGCCCTGGAATTGCCAAACTCTAAAAGGTAAAAGGAGCTGTGAACTTAAAAACTACCACTTCATGACCTCACAAGGTGGAACAGAGCATTATGAGCTTTAGAAATATAGACAGACTAATAATAAAGTGTTACTCAGACATGTGCGAATGAAACAAAACACAACTCCAGGTTTGTTTTTGAGGCGGTAACAACATGACTTAAAGCTCACAAGAGCCAGTTTTGTGTAATATAGGACCTTTAAATCTAAATTATTTCTAGACTAAGATAAAATTAAAGCAAAACTAAACCAGAATAAAAGCACAATTTGAATTATAAAATATTGAGTAGCTCCATCTAATCCAGATGCATGCTTCTATTTTATCCATGGGGCCACATGAGAAACAGAAAATACTGTATTGTGGAGGACAGGGCCAAAATGCTTAACTCAATTCTGCAAAATATTAATTGTATTTCTTTATAAAAAGCAGTAAAAAGCTGGTAAGACTGGTAAGAGATTATGTTATGACTAAGCAATGAAAAAGTGAGGTTGCTTTACAAAAATGTCATTAAAAAACCCCCACCAAAAATAAAAGTAATGGAGCTTTAGGCCATGCATGAGGTACAATGACAAAATATGTTTATTTTGTAATTACAAATGATCTTAAACGGGCCAGTCAGAGACAACCAAAGGACCTTATGTGGCCCAGGTCTGGTTTAATCTAAGTCTAAAATGCAAACTGCAAATTATTTCATATAAAAAATAAAATAAAAAAACAAATTTACCTTTGCCATTCAGGGCCATCACCAAAGTTAAAAACCGCACATGTGTAAATATATCATCCATCCCAAATCCAGCAGTAGTAGTCGTAACAATAGTAGTAGTAGTTGCAGTAGTAGTAGTATTAGTAGTTGTAGTACAGTATTGGAAGTATCTTGTTGTGAAACAGATAGAAGGAGTCCCCAGCGTCAAAAAGGGTGGGGCTTAAAAACACTGAGGCTCCACTGTCCAGCTTCCAAAATAGCCAAGTGTAGTCTATGGCTGCAGTCATTTAGAGAATTAATAGGTCAATGGAGTCTTATTCAACCAAAACTTGTGTCAGTCTACTAATTACTTTATGTATATTATAAGGATTTGGCTGAACATTTGGTATTTTTTGGTATTTGTGTAAAACGGCAGATTAAAGGCACATTGTGAAGGTTTTCTGGTGCTTTTCTCAATGGAGATGTTACTGCTTTGTCTGGAATGTTTCACAGTATGGCATTAAACCTTTCTATTATCACGGAGACCAAAAAAGACCAAGTTACAGGTCAGATCTGTGGAGAGGCGACCCTGCTCACAGTCAGAATCCCTGTTTTTCTAAGTATTTTTGAGCTGTAAAACCACTTGTAATTGAATAAATCTAAGGTAGAGCTGTTTAATGTCATACTGTGGAACATTCCAGACAGAGCAATGACATGTCCATAGAAACAAAGAGGTGACAGAGCCAGAAAAGTTACAGAGTGAACCTTTAGACTCATGATTTGCAAGTGTAGTCTTAAATAATTCCATAATTTCTGAGTACTTTTTTATCAAAAATTTTAGTTTTAGCATGAGCTTCCCCTGCAGGTTAGTCTTATGATTGCAGTTTGGGTCAGATACACTGAGATACGTGATAATTTTGACCAAGAAATTCTCAAATCCTGGTTTAGTTCTAGTTTGGATCTGGATCTTGTCTTATCTCTTAGTTCTGGATAGTTGCACTGTGTCGCTTCATCCACCTCTGTTTTTAACACAAAAACAAACTATTCGTGTCTGAAATAGCTTGCATTGTTTACATTTTATTTTCCCATTTGCTGGACTGTTTTGTGTTGATTAACTTCTTACAGTGACGAAGGAAGCCTCTTGGACAATGAGACTCTGTTTGGGTCTTCTGCTCCTTTGACTCTGAGGCTGTGGAGACATCCCCGATTCACAAAACACTCATTCTTTTTCGATATTCTCCTTTTCATTCACTGCTACGGCTGCTTTCAACAAAACAACTCACAATGTATGGACTCAATAGATACAGAAGGGATATATATGATGTTGGCCTACTTTTGTCAGCCACAGTTACCCAGTGTTGTCAGAAAGTATTTTTAGAGAAAGTATTTAAGAGATGCTATTTTCTGTCTAATCATTAAAAACATACTTTGAGTTCAGTTTTGTTTAATTCAGACAACACACAAACCCTGCATATTTACAACAAAACACAACTCAACACAAACTCTTGAGGAGGTAACAACTTTCTAACATGTAAAATTTTGTATAGAACCATTGCATTCATGCTGATCATTTAAAACTATGGCTTTTTAATGTATTTTTTTTTTGTCTGATATGTTGTTAAGTAATTGTTTTTAAGTCCTATTAGGATGCTCGCCAAATATGAAATCGATTTTTTTTTTGTCTTAATAGCCTATCAGTGCCATTATCTTAATCTATAAACAGAAAAGGCTCAGAAGTTAAAGGGCCCATATTTTGTTTATTCTGTTTTCTGATCTAGTTTATGATGTTGTTTTTATCAAAGTTTCTAAAAACCCAAAGACAGGTATGATTTCTCCCGTTACTTATGTTGTCATAATCTACTTAATTCTAATCTTAAAAATAGTGTAATTCGGTGCATTTTCACTGAATTACCAACAATTATTTCCATTTGTAACGTCTCGAAATCCACTTCTCAGTTTCTTCACAATAAAGTTAACTAAAAAATTAAGATCTACATTTTTCAAATTCCAAACTGCACAAAAAGCAAAGGAGATTAATTTTAAAATAGTAAAATTGCTAGCTTTCTATTCAAATAGTTAAGATTTGAGGTTACTTATTGTTCTTTGACACAACAGATCACATATTCTTTAGCTGTATGTGTATAATAATGCATTTTGGGAGGATTTACATCATTGGTTAGATTAGAAAGAGATTAGAAAATGTTATGTATTGCTTCATTTTAAATAATTTGTTAATTAATGATTTGACTATTAACTCCATAATAATTTTACAGAAATTTTTTAACACAAAAATTGATTCTTTAAGAGTCTACCAAAATTCAATGTTTTTCATAAAGAACTGAGTGTCATCCTCTTCTCTAAAATTTATAAAACAATAATCCGCTGTACAATTTATTAAAAATGTAGAATACAAACAAACAAACAAACAAACAAACACACAAACAAACACAAATTGTGATTCAGACATCTGTTTTTTTTTTTTTTTTTTTTTTTTTTTACAGTTTTATTCTATGTTTTCCTGTATATTTATGTTATTACTCATGCTTCTTGTACGTCTTTTTTGTTTTGCATGTATGAAAATGACTGTAAAAACATTTAATTATTTCATAAATTTAAAAAAAAACTAAATAAACGGTCTGCGATTTCCCGAGAGATTTCCCGGAAACGGAGGGCTGTACTCCAGGAAGACGCTTTTAATTTGAAAGGGTTATTTCCGGTCACGGTGGTTCTACGTGGAGTGCTCGAAAAGTAATAGCAAAAATTACAAAGTTTCATTAAAAGTCGAATCACAGTTATTGACAACAAAAAGATCCGATCCGGCGCCACTTTTATTCTTCTCGTTTAGTCCCGGTGAAGCTGAAGATGTCGTTTAAATACAGGAAAATGTAGTTAGCTCCGGGAGGCTAACCTGAGCTAATCCGCTAACAGGTGAAACTTCAGCAAATCCAGGTGGATACATGAGTCGAGTGACGCGATAAAGGTGAGTTTTTACTTATCATCAGACTTTTTAGCGCTGGTAGCCGTGTTTAATCCACATCAATATAGTTATTCGCTTTAAGTTTTAAAAAAGATGGAGCAAAACCTCAAACTTTATGGATAAAAGTTGTTTATACTGACCAATCCCAGTATTTGATCAAGTTTCTATTTTTGTTTTGAGCTGTGGTTATGAGTGAAAACGTTTACAGCTTTTACTGTGTCTGTTAATAATTATTATTATATACTAGTAGTTTTTGAAGCCTCCCCAACAATATTGCTCTCTAGACTTCAATACGCTACTAATATTTGATAATTTTTTACTTATATATTGAACTAAGAGGCGAATCTGTTGTATTACTTAAATGTACACTATCACACTTTATAGTTTTAGGTTTTTAGGTTAGGTTTTCTTTTATTTCGTCTCCATGATCAAAAGAATAAAATTATAGGTAAAGTAAAATGTTCTGAGAAAGAAAACTATATATATGGATATGTGGTAACACCATGAAAACATGTACGGATAAAGTTATTTTGTAATTATGATTTACACTTGATCACCTTAAGAAAATAAAAAATAAAATTACCAAAAAAGAAATGACTTTCAGTACAGTTCAATGGTCTTCATCAGAGCTATATGCAACATAGATTTTAACATCTGCCATGTACCAAGAGTACAGAGTTATAAGAGTTACTTAAAACACAAAGCAGTTTTACTCGGAGAATGTCATCTGATTTTAAGATTTTCATTTACACTAATTTATCAAAATCCTCTGGTCTGTATCTGGTTAAAACTGTATCAAAAATCATGAATGTAATATAGAAATGTTTGACAAGTTGGTAAATATGTGATGAAGTACAACAAAGTAGGCATGTCATTTTAATCATTTTAGTAAAACACAGCAAAATATAACATGTAAATTGGAACAGGGTTCACAACCTGTTTGTCTCCATGGAGATGTTAATCCTTTCATTTAAATTGTCCACAGTATGGCATTAAACTGGTCTATGTTACATTTATTCAACTCCAGATGTTATTGTTGCTCAAAAATATCTTAAAAAACCCCTCATTCTTACTGTGAGGATTCATGTTTTCTCCATAAATCTAACCTGCAATTTGGCTTGCAAGTCTCCATGGAGATTCAAAAGTTTATGGCCATACTCTGGAACATTCTGGGCACATCTCCATGGAGACAAGCAGGTGACAGACATTCCTGCAGACAAGTTCCACAGTGCACCTTTAAGTATGAGGTTTTAAGTATGTATATTTGTTTGTATCTGTGAGTGGTATTTAGTAGATAGTAATAGTATAGAATATTAGGAGCATGACAAGCAACAAACTGAACCAAGTCAGGACTCGAACCCAGACTTCTACCAGGTAAGCCACTATGGAACAAAACATAGACCTTTCCTCCTTAGTCACAAACCAGGAAGGTGTTTGGAAACATGCAGTGACAACTTCTGGCAGTGGTAAGTCTTACAAAATCTATGAAAAATTAGAAAATGGCCCAGTTTTATGTCTTATTTAACCTGTCTCTTGCTATCTTTTTTGCTTCTTATTTAGAATTTATTATTACCATTTATATTTTTATTACTTTGTTATTATATTTATTATGGTGTGTGAGCTACTCTGTCCAAATAATTTCCCTTGTGGATCAATAAAATTTGTCTAAGTCAGTTTTCTTCATCTACATGACATTGTAGCTTTCCGGTATTTTTGCCTAATCAACAGTTACAACCATACCTCAGTTTTCATAATTTCCCCACTGACGCACAACTCTTGAGCGCACTGGGTACATGCGATTAGAAGAGACGAGGCGCCAAATTCAAGATGATTCCAAAGAGCACATGTATACAGTCTTCATTTTACTGCTGATCAGATTTACTTCAGTGGTCTTTATCACAGTCGGTCGATGAGCCCACTGTCGGGAATTACACCGGATGTTGTCATCACATGTTTCCAAACGTCTTCCTGGTTTGTGATGTAAATGTGAATTCTATTTTGTCCTAGTTTGACATTAGCGTTCAAAATCAGATCAGATACTTATCGATTCTAAAACTAGTATAGAAACTAGATACTCATTTTGGTAGGTATCGATATTAAAAAGTCCCATCGACAGGACAGAAACGAACCTTTCCTCAGTAGTTTTAGAATGATCTTGACCTGTTTCAAGACAAGGATAAGAACACACAAACTAGTATATGCCCCTGGACCACTTGGGGATTGCACAGATATAAGGCCACATGGTAACAGAAAAGAAAGTACTACGATTTAATGTTGAAAAATCACATTATATTGTCTAAAGAAAGAGTTTTTTTTTTTGTATTTTTATTCAGGGTAGCCGGGGGGTATTAAAAGTCTTAAAAAGGTCTTAAATCACTTATCACGAATGAACGTCTAATTTGGAGTATGCGCAAACAATACTTAGTTTGTCTTGTTAGAAGCAATGCATATGACTAAAAATGAGTTCTGAATGAGATTTTATAATAAAAGTATTTTTGTTATTAAAAGCAGCGAGTAATGGTCATTATTAGAATTGGATCTGGTATTCTTCGCCTGCATAATGGGTGCAATGTTGGTCTTAATTTTCATTTAGGTGGTCTTAAAAAGGTCTTAAAAATGTCTTAAATTTGCATTAGTCAAACCTGGGGATACCCTGTTATTATCATCATGATATCTGTATTGGTATTGAGTATCTAGTCTAATCCTTAGTATCTAAATCGTGTTTGAAAACAGTACTTGATATATCGTTTTGCAAATTATTGCAGTCTTCATATTCTTTCTTCATATTTTTAACTAAGGGGGTTGTTTAGTAGTTTGTAAAAATACAGTTTTATCTGAAATACTGAAGAATTTCTTTAAAAACCTATTTAGACATAGTTGTAGTACTGTATTTCTATATTTTATTTTATTTTTACTTGTACATATACATTCCTATAGTTACGTGTTATTTGACACCTGTCTCTTGCTATCTTTTTTGCTACTTATTTAGAATGTATTATTACCATTTATATTGTTGGTCTTTGTTATTATAATCTATTGTGATGTGTGAGCAACTGTGTCCAAATAATTTCCCTTGTGGATCAATACATTTCTAAGTGTAATTCTAAATGTTTTTGTTTGTGTTTTGTGGTGTGAAGGATGCTGCAGGTTCCATACAGCAGCCTGGAGAGGGACCGGCCGCTGGTTCGAATCCCTTTCACGATCTTCGCTGTCGGGACGGTGATGCTGCCGTTTGGGGGCCTCCTGATCTGTCTCACGGTTACCCTGATGTACCACTACGACGACGCCACCTACACACACTGTGAGGTACTGCAACTTTTCACTGTTTTGTGCGTGGTCCAGTTATGTGCTCGTGATGACGTCTAGGCCTGAAAATAAAGGCTGCAATACCATAGTGTATCTACTTCTACTTTCTACTCCACTACATTTTTGAACTGGACTTTTCTTTATGGTTTGAGACCTGCTGAAATGGTGGGTAGTTTATTTAAAAAATGTTTTTTTAGCACATTTCATTTGAGTTAACGTCCCAACTTTGAGCAAGACAAAAACACAAAAGTGGCGAGAAAAACTAAGAAATCAACTGAATCACTTAAAACTCATGATCAAAATCACTACATTTCATCCTGTAATTGTTTTACTTTTCCTTTTTACGCATTAAGTACATTTTTAAAGAGGTTCTTACTTAATACGTAATACTTTTACTTAAGTAGATTTTTTTAATGTGATAATTTTACTTTTACTTGAGTAACTATTTAACTTTGAGTACATCATTCACCACTGGGTTCCTCCACAGAAACAAAATATCCTGTCTTATTTGTAAAATTGCTGACTGCTCACCTTGTATTTTAGATCTGTACAAAAACAATCTGAAGTGTGATTCTTGTATTTGTTTGTCAGTTCATTGATTTCAGTCTTTTTGTCATTTTTTTCTGGGTGTGTTTAAAATGTGAAAATGTAAAATGTTGTCACGATACTAAAAAACCTACAAACCAGAATCCTTTTATTAAAAAAAATGAAAAATTCTGTAGATATTTTTCATAAATCATGCAGCCCCAATGACTTCCTCTTCTTCTTCTTCTCCAGGTGAGGAACTACCTGCCCTCCATCAGCTCTGCGATCAGCCGTGTCCCAGAGCGTTACATCTGGAGAGGGTTCATTGGGCTTCACTCGGCGCCGCGTTACCTCGGCGCTGCAGCGTATTTCACCTTTTACTACCGACACTTCCACAGTCGGATCCTGGAGCTGCTTCTGAGCGTGGTCACTCTGCTCCTCAGCCTCATAGAGAACACAGGGCTGCTGGTGCTGACGTACGTGGGCTCCACCGAGACGTATGGTGAGTTTGTTTAGACTGGACACATGTTTAGTTGCTTTAAGATTCAATATTACACAAAACTGACTTTAGCTGAGCTTTAAGGCATGTTATAATGCTGTTACCTCATCTAAACCTATCTGGAGTTATGTTTTGTTTTAGTGTGTGGGCATTTTTTCTGTCCTAGCACGGCCCACGCTCGACAGAGCAGTGATCAAATCCGACCAGAGCCCGATAGGCTTTAAGATATTTGTGTCCGAACCCGACACAATTAAAATTACACCATTTTTATGTCACAAAACTGCTCGAAGCATTAAAAGTAAAAAGGTGAAAGTCATTCATGTGTTTCCGTTTACACCCACACATTGCATGGATCCAGGTAAATCTGCAGATTCACGATAATGACTCTACTTCCTGTGGACTTTATTGCCAATCTTTTATGCATTTAAAAATCATGTATCTGAAGTTTTGCACCACATTTCACAAATGATAATAACACAGTTTTGACTTGTATCTAAAGTAGAAGTGCCGTGCTCTGATCTTTTGAAAACTTAAGAGTCTCAAAGTGAGTTGTTTTACTGTAGACAAGAAACAGCTGACGCGCTGATGTGTCTGAGTCCAACCTGAGCCCGAAGATAAGTTCTAAATTTTTGTCCGAACCCATTGGGACTTTGGACTTCCGTCGAGCTTCCATGTTCTATTTTGTTTCGTTCACAGATGTTTGTGTAATCCTTTATTATTTGCTCAGTACAGCAATTCCAGGGCTAAAATCACCCAAACTGAACTAATTCTGCATTGCTTTTATTTTAGAGGTGTTTTTTATGACATTTTTTGTAAGACAACCTCACTTTTTCATTGCTTAGTCATAACATAAACTCTTACCAGCTTGTCAAAACAGTGCTATTCACTATTTTTTTTTTTTAAATCAAGAAATTCAATTAATATTATGCAGAACTGAGTTACTCATTTGGCCCGGCCCTCCATAATATTTTCTGTTTTTCATGTGGCCCAATGGAAAAAATAACTGTCCACTTCTGTGTTAAACAAGTATAACAAAACACAACTCTAGTTCTGTTTGTAATGAGGAAACTGCATTATAACATAGATCAGAAAATAGCGTAATATGGGCCCTTTATAGGTAGATCAGTTTAATGCCATCCTGTGGAACATTTAGGAAATGCAATAGCATCCCCTTGAAGATTACTGAACACAAAAGTTGCATTTTTAAACACTTCACAATCTGCACCTCCAGTTGTAAAAATAGATGCAGTTATGTGGGGTAAACCCTGACCCACTACAACTAACTCATGACTAACAGATGTGTTGATGTGAAACTGAAAAACTGGTGCAAAGTAAAAACGTGTGATTTCTCTTTGCAGAGGTCCATAAATACGGTTTCATTGCATTCATTGGCAGCTCGCTTCTGTACATGGTCACAACGCTCCGCCTGTGGTATGTCATCCAGAGGCACTCGCTCCACTCAGAGGTGAGACAAGATCGAAACCAGGACTAGGCAAAGACTGAACCTAAACTAGACCAGAATTAGTTAATGAAATGTAATAGCAAAGACCTTAAACTTAAAGGGCCCATATTGTTTTCTGGTCTGTTATAATGTTGTTTCCTCATCACAAACAAACCTCGAGTTGTGTTTCGTTTCATTCACACATGTTTAACTCACAAACCCTGCAACAGAAACACTCTGTTCCACCTTGTGATGTCATGTGGTAATACAGGAAGTGCTCCACTGTGTTTTGAAACTCCATTCACGTTCACTAGAATCATTTGAATGATTTCAGACCTGGAATTTCTAATTAGAGGTCTGCGTGGGACTGAATTTTAAGTCGCGCTCCTGCCCGCTCCTGCATAGATTTGCAATTATCAGTCCCGCTTCCACCCGCATCTGCGATATTTCGTCCTGCTCACATCAGCAAATCCCGCAAGATGGGGATGTTCATTTTCTTAAGCTCTATGAAACATGAAGAAGCGGAAAGGAATTGTCTTAAATGTCCGTGAGATTGGACCACATATGCAAATTTAGACTGCTTAAAATGTTTTTATTAATGCCAAATAAAATATCCAGCACAAATGATGTATGATAGGCAAACATTCATCATTTGTATATTTTACTTTACACTCATATTTAGATCACAGGACTGCAGTTTATTGCTCCCGCATTGTCCATTCCCACTCCCGCTCACGCTCGCAATGAGCTTTCAAAATGTGTCCCGTGCCGCACTGTTTTGCGTCACGTCCCGCAGGTGTAGGGCTCTACTGCCAATCTACTGAACTAAAGTTAAACTGTAGCTGTTAAATTGAACACTAACACTACACTGCAAATTTCTCTGATCTGGCCAAGATTTTAAAACTTTTGAGATTATTCATGCAGTTTTCATGTTTATTATCTACTTATTAGACCAGCGACGGCATAATTCTAGTCTAGAGGTAGTTTATTTTAAGATAACTTGTCAAGTAAAATTATCTTGCTGCATGGACAGATAATTTCACTACTTTTAAGTCATTTTCTGATAGATTTAAATGTTTATACTATCAGTTAAAAGTTTTAGAATATTACACTTTTTCAATTTTTTTACTGTTTACTGTTGATCAAAACATATTCTAAACTTATATATAAAACAGCTGAACACACTCGTGGCTCGTTCTTTTTACAATAGAAATCAAATATTCTTCAGAAAGTTCTTCCCATGTCTGTTGTACAAGTTCCCATAAATGTGTGGCACTTGGAGGAGGCTTGTCTTTCACTCTTCTGTCCAGTTCATCCCAAACCAGCTCGATGGGGTTTTAGTCTGGAGACTGTGCTGGACACTTCATGTTTTCAAGTTTACCATCTTGTTCTTTTTTCCTGAAGTAGTTTTGGCAGAGCTTGGACTTGTGTTTTGTATCTTTTATATATTTTTTTTACTTCTGTCTGTTCAGTTCTTACCTTTGTACCATTTCAAGCTCTTCATTGGACTTGCACGACTTGAATTGCAATAAGCAACTGGAAAAATTAGGGTGTTCTGAAACTTTTGACCGGTAGTGTATCTTAAATTTTGGCCAAGCTTTTTTGCAGTGTACATGGGATCACAAGGTAGAACAGAGCATCTTGAACTTTGGAGATGTAGACAGACTAATAGTGTTACTCAAACATGTGTGAATGACACAAAACACAATTCCAGGTTTGTTTTTGATGAGGTAACAACATTATAACATGACTTAAAGCTCACAGGAGTCAATTTTGTGTAATACAGGACCTTTAACCGTCACAATTCACTGAACATGTAGTCTAATATTAACCAATGGTCAGTCACGTGTTTTGCTGAGTCATATAAATAAGCCCTTTATGTTTATATATTCAAACCTTCCTTCCTCTGTCGCAGGAAGTGACATCGTACAGGTGGAAGCTGCGTCTCTTCCTGTTTAATATCTTCTGCTGTGCGTGTGCCTTCTATTTCTTCAGACGGCACAACAAGTTCTGTGAGCACGGAGGTGAGCCCACTCTACTCACTCAAAGCTGCACTGTGTAACTTTTTGTTTTGGCATCCTTCACCTGATTGTTTCTATGGATTTGTCATTGCTCTACCTTACATTTATTCAATTACAGGTGGTTTTATAGCTCAAAAATAACTATCCAGCTTGTTTTTTCTCTATATTTATTAAATTACACACAGTTTTATTGCTCAAAAATATAAAGTAGAGCTGTTTAATGTCATACTGTGGAACATTCCAGGCAGAGCAATGACGTATCCATAGAAACAACCAGGTGATGGACTCCCAAAGAAAAAGATACACAGTGCGCCCTTAACCAATCCGAAAAATTTATAAAAGCTTATCTTGACAAATATGATGCCCGCATGAGTTACAAATGATATGATAATCTGGTTAAGGTTTACTGGAAATTCTGCTTTTGGGTTATTTTATCAGTACCCTAAAAAGTACACTTCGCGTCTTTCTGAGCACTGAAAACGCTGCAGATAAGAGTAGTTATAAATATTCAGTAATGCATAAAGTAGTAATGAAGCTTAACTTGGTTTAAAGATTGTGCTTGTGTCTCATGTATAGTTCTAATCTATGACACCTGTGGATCATTGTTTAATTTGCACATTTTGAGTCACAGTATTCATCTAATGCCATGTAATAAAAGAAACAAGTGAAATCCTCGATCTCAGGAATCGTTGACAACACAGAATGTATGTCTCTTTGCTGATTGGCTGGTGCCCGAACTTGCACTTCCAGGGTTTTTGTGAACCATCTATTGTATTCTGATTCCTGACCTAGTTGCTGGAGAGAAATGAAATTGAGCGGAGGCACTAGGTGGCGCCAGCCTGGCTAAGTGGGAGCTGACATCACTGTTAATGTGGGGCGGCAGTAGCTCAGTTGGTAGAGCATTCGCCCACTGATCTGAAGGTCGGCGGTTTGAATCCTGCTCTCAACATAAAAAACATCACAGGTTGAGCGGTCAGATCCACTGACCCACAGGTTGGTTGGTGTGATTCCAGCTCCCACAGATGAATGCTGCCGTTGTGTCCTTGGGCAAGACACTTAACCCACCTTGCCCACAGTGTCTGCGTACACTGGTGTGTGAATGTGTGTGTGAATGGGTGAGTGGTTCCTTGTTGTAAAGCGCTTTGAGTGCCTTGAAGGTGGAAAAGCGCTATAGAAAAATGTGACCATTTACCAGAAGAGTCGGCCCCTCCTGTGGACAGCTGCACATCTCATTAGAGCAGAGCATTTTTTTTCATTTGTACCAAAATCACTGCACAACACCAAATCCTATGTGTGTCACTGATTAAGAAAATAGACTGGAGAACAGCGGCCACACATGATCTCGTCATATCTCAGAAGCTCAGCAGGGCCCGGCCTGGTCAGTGTTTGGATGGAAGACCAGTGAGAACATCAGGTGCCAGTGGGGCGCCAGTGGCAAAAACTGACGTTATATCCTCAGGAAAGACACTTCAACCACATTGCCTAATAAGAAAGTGGTGTGTGTGTGAGTGATTGTGCATATGGCAGCCTCACTTTTGTCCGTCTGGCCCAGGGTACCTGTGGCTACAATAGTACCTTAACACCATTGAGTGTAGTTTAATAATGCTCTATGAAGCCCACTGGGACTCTTGAAAGGTGCTCTATAAATGCAATGATTTAAAATTTCATTCATTAAAGTAAATACAGAGCAGTGGGCGTGTACCAGTGGAAAACTGGGACTGAACGTCAATATGGCGTCTGGAAAATAAGTGATTAAAGATTGCTCGAACATGCACAAATTACTTCAAATACAACTTCTGGTGAGTAAATGGTAAAAGGAAACAACTATATCATTGTTAAAAAGCTTTGTAGAGTTGATTTTGTAGAATAAGTCAGCTTTAATATCTCATCCCCAGTCTCCCCTTGTCCTCTTCTGTGCAGTTTACACTCTCTTTGCGCTGTTCGAGTACCTGGTGGTCTTCTCCAACATGGCCTTCCACATGACGGCCTTCTGGGACTTCAGGGGCAAAGCGGTGATGATTGCCACGCCGACGGAGGATAAACGCTACTGAATCCACAAAAACATCCAGACTGAATGAACTGTTTATGAAGAGACGAGGTCCAAGGTGCTCGGTGTTCTCTAGTTTTCTGCTGAGAAAAAGGGAAGGTCAGACGTCAGTGGTAGATTTTGCCTTAAAGCTGCACTATGGAGCTTTTCGGTTAGGGGTCCGTCACCTGCTTGTTTCTATGGATACGTCATTGCTTTGCCTGGAATGTTCCACAGTGTGACAATAAACTGTTCTACCTTACATTTATTCAATTACAGGTGATTTTATAGCTCAAAAACCTAGAAAAACGCATTCTGATTATGAAGGGTCGCCTCTCCGCAGATCTGACCTGTAACTCTGGCCTGGTTGCGCCACCTGCTTCTTTTCATGGTGTAAGTTAATGCCATACTGTGAAACTTTCTTGTCAAAGCAATGATATTTCCTAGGAGACAATCAGCTGGCATAGTGCGCCTTTAAAACTCATGTAAGAATGGTTATTTTTCAAGGCACTAAAACCATTAAATGTCTGCTAGTTAGATATGTTTAATGCCATATTCTGGAATATTCTTTAAGCAATTAAGCAATAATATCTCCATGGCAACAAGTAGGTTTTGGAGTCTACCATAAAAGTTACACAGTGTACCTTTAAGCAATATAGGACCTTTAACCATAAGTCAAGTAAAGAAACCAGCAATAAGACAGATAAAGATACACTGTGTAACTTTTCTGGTGGAGCGTTCTAAACCTCAGACCCAAAGTTACCAACACTTGTTAAGACTGTCAAACTAGGGAAATTACTTAGTTTAAAGGTGCATTGGAGAGGGAGAGGCGACCTCGCTCACAGTCAGAATGCAGTTTTTGTTGGTGTTTTTGAGAAAATCCAGCAGATTCTCTCCTAATCAAAGGAGTAATGTGAAGAGTGAAAGCTGTAACCAAAGGACCAACGGACATTTCCTTTCAAAAGACGATTTGTGTAATTTTGGATACTAATATGTTTATTACCTCCGCTAAGGAGGTTATGTTTTTGCCGGCGTTTGTCTGTTTGTTTGTTTGTTTGTTTGTTTGTCTGTTAGCAACATAACTCAAAAAGTTATGGACCGATTTTGATGAAATTTTCAGGATTTGTTGGAAATGTGAAAAGGAAGAACTGATTTCATTTTGGGGGTGATCCGGAAGAAATCCTGGATTCTGGATCACTTTGAAATTTTAGTTAACATTGTGGTAAATGGGGCCAAAATTTTGTTTCTCAATATCTCGGTTAATTATTGACCAAACCCCATGAAATTTGACTCAGTGATGGACAATGGGATCTTCTTTCATATTCCAAAGGCTGATCCGGATCTGATCCAGAAGACTGATTTTATCGCAATTGATATAAAAAATGGGGGTAGTCCTTGGCGGAGGTCTGCGCTCTCTGAGTGCTTTTCTAGTAATAAAGCTTGATTCAAAGCTCATTGTGCTGTTCTTCACCTGTTTCTATCAAATTCAGAATATAGATCTGGAGTAATGTGGTATTAACAGTGGTGGAACGTACCGTGATACTAGGGATGTACTAATAACCAAAATATCAGGATATCGTCAAAAGTCTCACAGTAATATCGGAGGCCATCACAATATATTAATTTACAAGTCTTTTTGCTTAAATTAATAGTTATGTGTTTTTCATGTCTTTCTTAATCTGTAAAATACTTGGAATTAGTTTGTGTATGAATTGTGTTGTACAAATAAACTTTGGTTTGGTGCAGCACTAGCTAAAAAACAGGAAGATGCTTTTTACGCCATACTGTGGAATATTATAAACAAAGAAAGCTTTGTATGGAAACAAGGCCAAATAAAGTCAGGTTTGTGGAGATGCAAGCCTGCTCACATAAAGGATGCATGTTTTTCTACAATTATTAGTGCAATACCGGCGAAGAAAGACACTTTTTTGCTAAAAAGTGACTTAAAGGAGCTTTAAATTAACAGTACATGTGTCACTGACTTGTCTCTTCCTGTAGTTTCCTTGAGTCTAATTTAAAGAAGAAACAAAGTGAAAGTGAGTGAATCACATTATTGTATTTATTATGACAAACATGACATGAATATGTTAAATACACAAACAAACATGAACCTCTAAATATATATATTTATATATATATATATCACTTTGTGTTTTAAAAAAGTCCTAATTTGGTACCGGTTAAATCCTGGTTTCATTTGTGTTGTGTTCCTCTCCTTTCCGCATACTGGAAAATAACAGATTTAAGCAGAACTACTTCAGACCCAGACGAGTCTGAGACCAAACCTTCAGAGTACAGAACAGAGAAACTAAACTATAGGAAAAATACTCAAAATGTAACCTCCTGAAGAGGGCCGTGTTTCTAACATAGTTTTATTTACTGAATAATATTCACAAATTATTTAGTAAGTTTTAATGTATTTGTCTAACCGGTTTCATTTACTAAAAATCAGAAATTAGATTATTTTCAGACAAGACTAAAGGCAGACAAGAAGCATTTTCACAAAATAATTTTAACACTGGAGTAAAGTTAAATACACTTCATTGTCCCCATTGGTAAGTACAGGATCATTATTTTATAATTCCACTTTACTTTTTTTGTTAACAAATATAAATTGCGTTCCATTTGTAATAAATAACTTTTATTTTTGTCTGTGTCCCTTGTTCAAGGCCCATGACTTATAGTATTCTACAACAGAAAGAGGCTGATCTTGTATTTTAAATAGAATTTTTACTTGAGAATAAAATACCAGGATTAAACCGGCACTAACTTGGACTAAACCAGGGTCAAGCAGCCAGCAACAGGTCTAGGCAAGGACTAGACCGAGACAAAACCTGGACTAAACCAGACCTAACCCAGTCCGGTTGGTCCTACAGTAGCGTGCAGGGCTTCTTTGAAGGAGGGGGCTGTGGGTTGAGGTAAGCTCTCACGGCATCGCTGAACACCTCCTTGATGCCGTCCTGGTTCAGAGCGGAGCACTCCAGGTACTTCACGGCGTGGATCTGTTTAGCCAGAGACTGTCCGCTGCTGTAGGACACTGGAGTTGCGTTTGTCTCCTTCAGCTTCTTCAGGATCTCTGGGTCCTCACGAAGATCCCTCTTGGTCCCCACCAGGATGATGGGAACGCCGGGGCAGTGGTGATGCACCTGGAGGAGAGAACGGGTTTGTTTACGTTTTAAAGCTCATAAATTAAACTGACTCACGAGATTTCATACTAGAATGTTGTTACATCATCAAAAACACAGCAGGACTAACCCAGGACTAAACCAGGACTAAACAAGGACCAAACTAAGATTAAACCAGGGCTGAACTAGCTCTAAATCAGGACTAAAGCAGGACTAAACCAGGTCCAACCCAGGGCTAAACTAGACCTAAACCAGTACTAAACCAGGATCAAACAAGGACTAAACCAGGACTGAAATAGTACTAACCAAAGACTCAACCAGGGCCAAACCAGGACTAAACCAGGACTAGCCCAAGACTAGCCCAAGACTAAACCATGCCTAACCCAAGATTTACCCAGGACAAAACCAAGAACTAGGTCTAAACGCCTGAGATAATGGCGTCAATACCTGAATTTCCCTTTGGAGATCACTAAACCAGGACTTATCAAGGGCTAAACTAGCTCCAAAACAGGACCAAACTATGTCTAAACCATGAATAAACCTGAACTAAGCCCGGATTATTCCAGGACTGACCTCGGGGTGCCACTTGAGCAGGACGTTCTCGTAGGACGCCGGGCTGGAGATGGAGAAACAGATGATGAAGACATTTGTCTGTGGATACGAGAGGGTCCGGAGTCTGTCGTACTCCTCCTGCCCCGCGGTGTCCCACAGGTTCAGACTCAGAGTCCGACCGTCCACTGTCACCTGAAGAAGAAGGGACCAGGGTTAGTATTAGGCTAATCCTCATTTAGTACTGGTATAGTCCTAGTTTAGTCCTGGTTTATTTATGGTTTAGTCCCCTGATTCAGTACTGGGTTAGTCCTACTTTGGTCCCTGTCCAGTTTGGGTCGACTACTGGTTTAGTCACAGTATCTCTGTCCTGGTCCAGTAATGGTTTAGTCCTTGTTTAGTACTGGTTTAGTCCTGATCTAGTCTTGGTTCAGTCTTGGTCCAGTCCTGGTCTAATCCTGGATCAGTCCCGGGCTCGTCCTGGTCTAGTCCTGGTTTACTCCCAGTCCAGTCTTGGTTCAGTTTTGTTTTATTCCCAGTCCAGTCCTGGTCTACTGTAGTCCAAGTCCATTAGCGGTTCAGTCCTGGTCTAGTCCCAGTCTTGTCCCGGTTCAGTCCCGGTGTAGTCCTGGTCTAGTCCCAGTCTTGTCCCGGTCTAATCCTGGATCAGTCCTGGTCTAGTCCTGGCCCAGTCCTGGTCCAGTCCCAGTCCAGTCCTAGTCCAGTTGCGGTCCAGTCCTGGTCTAGTACCAGTCTAGTCTTGGTCTAGTCCTAGTCCAGTTCTGGTCCAATCCTAGTCTAGTCCCCGTCCAGTCCTGGCCCAGTCCCGGTCCAGTCCCGGTCCTGTCCCGGTCCTTTCCTGGTCTAGTCACTACAGTGTCACTTCTTGTTTGTAAAGCGTCTTTGAGTGTCCAAAAAAGAGCTCTATAAGTCTGAGGTATTATTATCATTAGACCCGGTCCAGTTCTGGTCCAGTCCTGGCTCAGACCCACCTGGCTGCTGTAGTTGTCAAATACCGTGGGGATGTACTCGTTGGGGAAAGCTCCGGTCGTGTAGGAGATGAGCAAACATGTTTTCCCCACAGCTCCATCTCCCACCACCACACACTTAACGGTCTGCATCACGTGAACTCTGACCCCTCTGTGACCCCTCTGTGACCTCTACGTGACCGCTACGTGACCTCTACGTGACCTCTATGACCTGGAAGAACAAAAACAAACAATCTGCATTCTCAAATCATATTTAAGATCCTATTATACACAAAATTGACTCTTGTGAGCTTTAAGTCATGTTATATTCCAGGGCTGAAAATATACAAATGGAGCACTCCCTGTATTTTATTTATTTATTTATTTATTTATTTATTTCGGTCACAGGTATATTTTGACATTAATTCACAGACAGTCATATTTAACATATACAGACCGAAAAAGTGTAGGCTGAAGCTAAAGCTTATCATGCCTACCCTTTATTCCTTTGTCAGAGCGTCATCTTGACATCAGTTCATCTTCATAAATACAGCAGGAGGAAACAAACTAATCAGTAACAGTACAACAAAGTCCTACAGCACAAACTAAGTATCATATTTCATGTATCTGTCCAGAGTTAAACATTTAAACTTCTTTATGAAGTGAAAGAGAGTGGTGCACAATTTTAGGTTTTCTGTACAGTTGTTCCAGAGCTCCACCCCTTTAACAGATTTACAAAATTGCATAATGTTTATTCCGATTTTCTTTTTAATAAACATGGTCGTGCCTCTGAGCTCATATTGGCTCTTTCGGATTTTGAACATGTTCTGTAACGATTTTGACAGGAGATTGTTGTTTACTTTGAAAATGATTTTAAGAGTGTAAAGGTCGACTAAATCATAAAATTTCAGCATTTGAAGGTTTATAAATAATGCATTGGTTGGTTCGTTATAAGTTGATAATGTGATTGCTCTTATTGCCTTTTTTTGCAGGGTAAAGACTGGATTTGTATTCGTCTTATATGTATTGCCCCAAATCTCAATACCATAGGTTATGTAGGGCATTACCAGCGAGTTATATATAATAAAAAGACTGTTTTTATCTAGGATATATCTATATTTATATATAATTGCGACCACTTTGGATAATTTATTTCTAATTGTATTTATGTGTGATTTCCAGTTTAAATTATGATCTATAGTTACTCCTTAAAATTAATTTTGAAAGACTCTTTCTAGTGGTGTAGTATTGAGCATAATTTGTACATGATTTTGTACTTTTTGCTTTGCAAATATCATAAATTTAGTTTTTAGTTTTTTACCACATGACATCACAAGGTGGTATTGCATTATTCTGTGATCTATGTCATAATGTTTCCTCATCAAAAATATACTCGGAATTGTGTTTTGTTTCATTGACTCATGTTTAACTCACAGATCTTGCATATTTAGGCTGAGTTCTTCTCTCAAACTAAAAACACTCTGTTCCACCTTTTGATGTCATGTGGTAATACAGGAAGTGCTCCACTGTCTTTTTACATTTGAAGCTTTACTAAACCTCAAAGTATGCATGAAATACTTTTACTTTTTACTCCTGAAGTAAATATTTAAACAGGTATTTAAATACTTTTACTTAAGTAGATTTATTTTCATGTGATACTTTTTCTTTTAGTTAAATATTCCTTGCTCCGTTATCTGTACTTTTACTTAAAGGGACAGTTCGGAATTTTGGACATAGAGCCTCATTTCCTAGTGAGCCAGAGTGTTGGAGTCGTGTGGAGACACTTTTTAAAATATTCCATCCAGTCCTTGTATTTGCAGAGGTCGTTGGTGCTAGGCTAGTGCATGTCAATGGCCACAGTTATCCTGACACTAAAAACAGTCTTACTCACTCCACAAAACACCCAAAGAAAATCTATTTTTACACCAGACTGTCCATGTAAATGTCAGTGTTGATAGAAAAATGTTTGAAATAAAACTAACCTTGCATCGCATGAATTGTCGCATGTTGAGGGACTATTTTCTCATATATCACTCTGCCGCTATCAAGCTTTCTATCAGGAAGTACAACTCACTGCTGCTGCTCAGACATAAATCCTTCAAATGCAAGGTTGATTTTACTTCTTTTGTTTGTTACTTTTGTTTCATTCACACAAGTTAGTTAGAAGTAGTTTTCATGTGAATAGCTCCTTTTTTTACCTTTAGTTCAGTAGAGATTGGCAATTCCAGGGCTGTGATCGTCCACATTATTCAAGTGAAGGTGTATGGAGTTTAAAAACACAGTGGAGCACTTCCTGTATTACCACATGACATCACAAGGAGTGTTTTCTGTTGCAGGTAAACAAGTGTGAATGAAACAAAACACAACTCCAGGTATGTTTTTGAGGAGGTAACAACATTATAAGATGACGTAAAGCTCAGAAGAGTCAGTTTTGTGTAATATCGGGCCTTTAAACCAAGAAAACCATGTGTGGATTGCGGTAAATTTTTGTCAGTTGTATGAAACTCTGGGAGGGGTTCTCAGTACATTCAAACTTCCTTTTCACACATTACATATTAATCCTATTTTACTTCACATTTCCTTCCTGTGGGTTATTTGCAGACACAGAAAGCAGAAGTGATGTAGAAAATGAAGGATAAACGTCTGGGAACTATTTGAATATTCAGCCAATAAAACGCTGCCTGTAATTCTGCTTTAATGCGTAATCTTAAAGGGCCCATATCGCGCTATTTTTGGACCTATGTTACAGTTATAATGTTGTTTTATTATTTTATTACTATCTGTTGTTTCATTCACGCACGTTTAACGCACAAATCCTGCATATTTAAGATGGAAGTGCTCACTTTCAGGACAATCATTTAGGTGATTTCAGCTCTAGAATTGCAAATCTCTACTGAATTTAAGGTAAAATGTAGCTGTTAACATGAAAACTACCACTTCATGACATCACAAGGTGGAACATGTTGAGCTTTGGAGATGTAGACAAACTAATAATAAAGGGTTACTCAAACGTGTGAGAATGAAAAAAAAAAAAACAAAAAAAACCCCACAACTTCAGGTATGTTTTTGATGAGGTAACAACTAGGGGTGTGCAAAAATATTGAAATATCATATCGTTTAATGTGATGATACAGTATTGATATCAGGGGCTGCTGTATCGATATATCATCAAGAGCATTTTTTGGTGTATTTTACTAAATAATTTTGCTACAGTGCTACAGTTTTTTTGCTTGTTTTGAGGAAGGAAACTTGTTTATGCAACACATTTGTCATTTTCACTGTTTTGAGGATTAAAATGGGCTTTTTTCATATTAACTTTGCACAAGAAGTGGTTTAACAAAGACTTGTAGGCATGATTTAGCCTTTATTTTTGTATTGAACTGTATTGAATCGTTATGAAATATATCAAATTGAATTGAAAGTGCACTGTATCGAGATATGTATCATATCGTGGCCTGTGTATCAAAGTATGTATCATATCATATGTATGTTTATGTTTGAATGGCGGCACGCAAAGACACAGCGGCTTCAGCTTTCTGTATCTCCTTTTTTTGTGATTTTTTTGTGTGTGTTTTTTGCATCTTGTACATAAAATGGACTTTATATTCTAATATTCGCTACAACCGAATGGAATTACTGGACATCGGTTTCCAACAGAAAATGATCATCTGCAGCGACTTTCACCGCCTTAAGTTTTTATTGATTTATTTATTCTGAATTTCATTATACTATTGTAAAATGACAATAAAGGCTTTCTATTCTATTCTATATCGGCAACTTCTTAATGATACTCAGCCCTAGTTAGCCAGGCTGGCGCCACCTAGTGCCTCTGCTCAATTTCATTTCTCTCCAGCGACTAGGTCAGGAATCGGAATACATTAGATCATTCACAAAAACCGAGAAAGTGTGAGTCCGGTCTCCAGCCAAACAGCGAAGAGCCATACATTCTGTTTTGGCAACGATTCCCGAGATCGAGGATTTAAAGCCGGAACAAATAGAATGTTTGGTGAATTTTATGAAGGGGAGAGATGTTATTGCCCTTCTTCCTATGGGATTTGGGAAAAGCTTAATATACCAGTTGGCCCTGTTAGTGGCTCATTACATACGTCACAACCAAATAGCAGCAACTGGTTAAATAAAAAAAGTACCCGCCTACAGTCGAACGAACGAATCCTAATGCTGTGAGGAAATGCTGTGTGAAACCGTCTGACCGTCTGATGAATCAGGCTAAGCCCTAGTAACAACATTATAACATGACGTAAAGCTCACAAGAGTCTATTTTATATAATATAGGACCTTTAAATTAAATTCAGAATCAAATTTCAAGTCACAAAATGAATTAAACCTAATCAAAACTAAACCAGAACCAATCCTGGTTAAAGATGCACTATGTACATTTTCTGGTGGAGGATCTGTCACTTGCTTGTCTGGAGATGTTAATGTTTGTCTGGATTCCACCCAGACTAGATCCTGCCCACAGACTCTATAAAGAAGTGGACTAAGTCAGTGTAACATCAGCCACAGTTCGGCTCCAGTCAAATGAAGTTATGGGGAGAATTTGTAGCTGAGTTTCATATTAGGAATAGGAAATGATTCATGGACATAAATAGCTAAATAAAAACACCAGAATCACTTACAGCTGGTTAATACAAACATTTTAAGTCCAAAATTTGTCCCCTGGTTCAGAGCAGCTTTAGTCCTGGTTTAGTCCTGGTTCAGTCCTGATTCAGTGCTGATTCAGTCTGGTTTAATTCTGGTTTAATCCCTCCTTTTGCCACCAGTTGGTTTAGTCCCTGTTCAGTCTGGTTAAACTCCTGGTTCAGTCACAGTAGTTCTGTTCTGGTTTAATCCTAGTCCAGTCCCAGTCCAGTCCTGGTTTGGTCCTGGTTTAGAGCTGCTTTTTTCCTGGTTCAGTCCTGATTCAGTCCTGGGTTAATTCTGGTTCAGTCCTGATTTACTCCTAGTTTCGATCTGGTTTAGTCCTGGTTTAGTCCTTGTTTGGACCTGATTTCAACCAGGTTTAGTCCTGGTTTAGCCCTGGTTTAGACCTGGTTTAGACCTGGTTCAGCCCTTGTTCAGTACTGGGTTAGTCCTGGTTCAGTCCTTCTGGTTTAATCCTGGTTTAGTTCTGATTTACTCCCTCCTTTTGTCAATTAATTTAGTCCCTGTTAAATTTAGGTAAAATCCTGGTCCAGTCCCAGTCCAGTCCCAGTTTGGTCCTGGTTTAGAGCTGCTTTAGTCCTGGTTTAGTCCTGGTTCAGTTCTAAATCAATCTGGTTTAATCCTGGTTTAGTTCTGGTTTAATTCCTCCTTTCGTCAATTGCTTTAGTTCCTGTTCAGTTTAGGTATAGTCTTGGTTCGGTCACAGTAGCACTATCCTGGTTTAATCCCGGTCCAGACCCAGTCCAGTTCTGGTTTAGTCCTGGTTCAGTCCTGGCCTAGTCCACCGGGATCATGCAGAGCGGGTTAACACAAATGTTTTAAGACCAAAATAAGAAGCCTGACAACAGCAGGTACAGAGAAAGGTGCGAGTATTTTTCAATACAAAGTGAACTGGAGCCAGAGTCCGTGGAGCCGAAAGTGCACCCATGCTCACTTCCTGTTTGGAATGTGGAAGTCCATTTACATAAACAGTCCAACATAAAAAAGTGGCAGGTAGACTACCAAATTTATACTCCAGCGAAAAAGTACTACTAATATAATACTACAAAATGAATACTAAAGTAACAATACAAGTAAAAAAGTACAGGATCATTGAGGTACGCAAAAACTAAAAGTAAATATAACAGATAATTACACACATCTTGTAGTTGTAGTAGTACTACTAGTTATAGTAATAGTAGTAATAGAAGTAGTACTTACCCAATTATGAAGAATGTGGATGAACATAGACTAAAACAGAACTAAACCAGGTCTAAAGAAGGACCTTTTTGTGTAATAAGGCGGCAGTATGTCTTGAGTTTGTACCTGGTGTGAAGATTGTCACTCGGTTTGGTCCAAAAGTCTCTCAGATCTGGTTCAGGGCTGGACTCTTCCCATAATGCACCTGGACACACAATATTTGTTAATATGGAAATTTTAGTCGAGAACAAACGGTCCATAAACAAAACAGACATTTGAATAAGGCTGAACGGGGACATGGACTAAAGCAGGACTAAAACTGGTCCAGAGCAGGGAGGTGTGAACTAGGTCAAACCAGATCTAAACCAGGACTAAATCAGGTCTAAACTAGGTCAGAACCAGGTCTAAACCAGGACTAAATCAGGGCTAAACCAGGTCTAAACCAAGACTAAGCCAGGACTAAACTGGGTTTGAACCAGGTCTAAACCAGGGCTAAACCAGAGCTAAACCAGGACTAAACCAGGGCTAAACCAGATCTAAACCAGGCCTGAATCAGGTCTATACCAGGTTTAAATCAGGACTAAACCAGATCTAAAGCAGGATTAAAACAGGTCTAAATCAGATCTAAACCAGGACAGAACCATGACTAAACCAGGGCTACACCAGGAATGGTGACAAATGGCACACATTTGCAAACACAGCTAAACAAAGTTTTAAGCTTGTGTGAAAACTCAATACATAAACACTGAGTGGATTTAAACAGCACATTTTCAGGAGCCTGTGATCATTTCAAGGGTTCATGGTCCTGTTTAGGAGTATGATTTTCAACAAAAAATCCATCGAGCATTTCTTCATTACGGGTGTTTCCGTTGCTCAAAAATACGTTAATTCCTTCTGTGAATAGGGGCGACTCTCCTCATCTCCATGGAGACAAGCATGTGACAAACCATCCACTACAAACATTTCGCAATGCAGCTTTATACTGCAAATCTAATTACAATTAATATTTTTTCATTTCATAAAAAGTAAACATAAGGAAAGTGGGACAGGCCCAGAGTCAGAGTCAGGTCTGGGGCTGGAGTTTGAGTCCAGAATGAGATCATGGTCCTCCGCCCAGAACTGGGTCTCTGGAGTCTGGGCTGAACCTCGTCTGACCAGAAAACTCTGAACTAGACCAAAAAACACTGATTTCGTACTGGTTTAGTCCTGGTCTAGTTCTTGGCTAGTCTTTGTTTAGTCAAACAACAGTTCAGTTATTTTGAGTCGACTGATCAGTGAATCATTTTGTGATTTTAATTAATTAATCATTGCATTTATATAGCGCCTTTCGGGATACCCAAAGCACTTTACAATTCATTATTCATTCATTCAACACTCAGTGGTGGTAAGCTACTACTGTAGCCACAGCTGCCCTGGGGCAAACTGACAGAAGCGAGGCTGCCAATCTGCGCCATCTCTGACCACCACCATCACTCATGCACACACCACTTTCATACTAGGCAATGTGGATGAAGTGTCTTGCCTATGGACACAACAACCGTTTTTGTGACTGGTGCCCCACTGTGGCACCTGGAATTCCCAGTGGTCTCCTATCCAAGTACTAACCCGGCCCTGCTTAGCTTCTGAGATCTGACGGGATCAGGCTTTGACAAACTGGTATGGCCACATACCATTTTAGTCAAAGTATCACAGGGAAACTGAACTCAAATGCAACACAGGGAATAAAGCCAAACAAAAGTCTTTCAGTCCAGCAGAAAGTGTCCTGCAGGTGATGCTTAAAACAGCAAATTAGGCTGAAAAACAACTGAGAAACATGTGTCTTTATTATATGAACTAAAATATCCTCCAAACTGGGAATTCTGTAATAGGAAACAAGCTGGGTATAAACACAAAAACAGACTTGAACAGGGAATAATTCAGAAACAGAATGCACAATGACAAAAACAGGATATGTTCAGATACAGAGCTGCTGGAGAGTGTCTCTTGCCTGATCAACAATCGAGCAAAAACTGAACGAAAAGAGAGAGTTTATATATACAGTGTTTCTCAATTCCCAGGACCCTTCCGTCAAAGATCAGTCTGTAGCACTCCTCTGGAGTCGGCTCCTCCGAGGCAGAGCCAAGTGTCCTGCGCACAGCTCCGAGAGTGCGCTTGGAACAAGCTACAGAGAGAATGACTCAAAAATAAACATAAATTCTTCTACAAACGTGTTTGTTTAGAGGTGTGTTTATGTGTCAATGTGCGTTAAAACAATAATAAAGACAGTGAATAATCTGTTATTGAGTTATTTATGCTGATAAGCCTAAAGAAATAAATATTCCCAATTCCCCTCTTTAAGAGATTCTGCTGCTTTTGTTGTGATTAGAATTATTTTGATCTGACAATAATGTTATTTACAACAATGTGGCTAAAACAACAAAATATTTATGTATGGTTTATTGTAGGATTAGTTTTATTTTATTAAAATGCATTTTACTGCTTAAATAAAGTTTGTAAAAAATGATGTTGCGGTGCATTGTGGGCATTTTCGAGTGCTCCACGGCGGCCAAAAATCCGCAGGTGCATCCTTGGTAAAAAAAAGAGCCAAACGTAGGAGTCGAGCGCGGAGGACGTGAGGGCTTTGGGGGAATTGGAACAGCACTTGGCGGAGCTCTGATGACGTGGATCTGGCCGAAATGGTTCAGAAGCCAAGGATCCTGGCAATTGGGAAACACCCATAGGCTAGCCTGGGATGATTTGGGAATGAATGGCAAAAATGTAGGAAAAACAGGGAGGTAGCAAAAAAGGACCGGAACAGACTGGGAAATGGAGTTGGACTGGGGATAAAAACGTAAACAATGGGCAGAACTGTGACACAAACGATTATTTCTATTGTCCAGCAGACTTCATAAACACATAATCAACAAAATAAAAATCAGAACAAGTCTTACACTGTCTCTTACTGGTGGTTTTCAGGTTTTCAGGGTGGGGCAGGAGCCAGTTTTCCTTATTGATCACATTGTACTTTGCCATAAAAGGCAAAAATTTAAAAAATGTTGAAGCTGAGTTTTATTAGTGACTCAACCCAAGAACTCACTGTATTACAACAAAAACCCACAGTTGTATTATTATTAATTTTAGCTGCTTTCCATCTAAATTAAATATGATTGGCCTACAGAAAGATCCGTGGGCGTGTTTCAGAGTCTGTATGATCCGGATCAGGAGTCTCTGAACTTTTTTTTCTACCGAGGACCACACTGTGAAACATATTTGATGGTGGTGGTCAGTACAGATGAATGCATTTGACTTTAATAAGACACAATTTAAGTTTAATTTAAGGTCTATATTCTTGGTTGGGGGTCCGTCACCTGCCTGTTTCTATGAATACGTCATTACTCTGCCTGGAATGTTCTACAGTATGACATTAAACAACACTACTTTAATTTTATTCAATTACAGGTGGTTTTAATATAGCTCAAAAATACCTAGAATAACACCTGTAACTTGGTCTGGTTTGGTCTCAATGAAGATAGAAAGGGTTAATGCCACACTGTGGAACATTCCAGACAAAGCAATAACATCTACATGGAGAAAAGAATTTGATGGTCCCTCCACCGGAAAAATTACACAATGCACTTTTAATATATTCTCACCAGCTCTAAACACTGTAGTGTCGTCAGCCCTGTTAAAGGTCCAGTACTACACAGAATGGACTCCTGTGAGCTTTAAGCCAGTGGTCCCCAACCTTTTTTGCGCTACGGACCGGCTTTATATCCAACAATATTTCTCCAGGAACCGGGAGGGTGGCATATGGGAGGAGGCACGGCATGATTAAGTCCTGGTTTTAGACCTGTTTTACACCTGTTTTAGACCTGGTTTAGACCTGTTTTAGACCTGGTTTAGATCTGGTTTAGACCTGGTTTAGAACTGGTTTAGACATGGTTTAGTCCTGATATAGACCTGGTTTATTCCTAGTTTAGACCTGACTTAGACATGGTTTAGTCCTGATTTAGTCCTGGTTTAGACCTAGTTTAGACCTAGTTTAATCCTGGTTTAGACCTGCTTTAGTCCTGGTTAAGACATGGTTTAAATGTGGTTTAGTCCTGGTTTAATCCCGGTTTAGACCTGGTTTACTCCTGGTTTAGTCCTGGTTTAATCCTGGTTTACACCTGCTCTTGTCCTGGTTTAGACCTAGTTTAATCCTGGTTTAGACCTGCTTTAGTCCTGGTTAAGACATGGTTTAAATGTGGTTTAGTCCTGGTTTAATCCTGGTTTAGACCTGGTTTACTCCTGGTTTAGTCCTGGTTTAATCCTGGTTTACACCTGCTTTTGTCCTGGTTTAGACCTAGTTTAAGCCTAATTTAGACCTGGTTTAACCCTGGTCCAGTTCTGGTTTAGTCCTAGTTTAGTCCTGGTTATAGTTCTGGATTAGTTCTATTTTAAACCTAGTTTAGTCCTGGTTTAGACCTGGTTTAGACCTGATTTAGACATGGTTTAGTCCTGATTTAGTCCTGGTTTAGACCTGGTTTAGTCTTGTGATGTCATGAAGTGGTAGTTTTCAAGTTAACAGCTCCTTTTACCTTTACTTCAGTAGAGACTGAGAGAGAAGTACTGAGGCTGAAATGATCCAAACGATTCTAGTGAAGGAGTATGGAGTTTTAAAAACACTCTGGAGCACTTGAGAGAAGAACCCAGTTTAAATACGCAGGGTTTGTGAATGAAACAAAACACAACTCCAGGTCTTTTTGTGATGAGAAAACAACATTATAACACAGTAGATCCAAAAACAGAATAATATGGGCTCATCAGAACTTTCTTGGAGCGTCTTTAGAAACTGGTTTGAGAGTTTCGCCGTGTCAGCTCAGTTTCTTTATTTACTTCGCCACCACCAACATTCGACTTCCTTCCTATTTTTTGGCTCGTTCAAAAACTCCACGCTGACCCAAGATAGCCAGAAAATGAGCCGCTACTTCCTGGTTTGTTTCTTACACCATCTCCAAATGAACTTGTTTGACGTAGATGACAAAAAATGACTCTAGTTTGGTTTGATTAAATATTCTTAGTAGATTATTCTGTTAAAATCAAATGGCATGGATAGAAAGATAGGCAATTAATGTGCACTGTGTAATATTTCTACCTCTTTATCTCCATGGAGATGTTATAGCTTTGTCTAGAATGTTCCACAGTATAGACTAAACCTATCAGACGAGCAGGTTACAGCACTACGCCACATTACAGGTCAGATCTGTGGAGAGGCGCCAGGATTACAGATCTAAGTAATATTGTAATATAAGCAATAGAGAGTCACTAAAGCAGGACTAAAACAAGAGTAAAGCAAGACTAAAACAAGAGTAAAGCAGGACTAAAGATGGACGAAAGCTGGACTAAAGCTGGACTAAAGATGGACTAAAGCTGGACTAGACCAGGACTAAAGCAGGACTAAAACAAGAGTAAAGCAAGACTAAAACAAGAGTAAAGCAGGACTAAAGATGGACTAAAGATGGATTAGACCAGGACTAAAGCAGGACTAAAACAAGAGTAGTAAAGCAGGACTAAAACAAGAGTAAAGCAGGACTAAAACAAGAGTAAAGCAGGACTAAAACAAGAGTAAAGCAGGACTAAAGCTGGACTAGACCAGGACTAAAGCAGGACTAAAACAAGAGTAAAGCAGGACTAAAACAGGACTAGACCAGGACTAAAACAGGACTAAAGCAAGACTAAACCAGGACTAAAGCAGGACTAAAGCAATATTCAACCAGGACTAAAGCAGGACTAAAGCAAGACTAAAGCAGGACTAAAGCAGGACTAAAACAAGTCTAAAGCAGGACTAAAGCAGAACTAAAACTGGACTAAAGCTGGACTAAAGTAGGACTAAAAGAGGACTAAACCAGGACTACACCAGGACTAAAGCAGGGCTAAACCAGGACCACACCAGGACTAGGTTTAACCAAGACCAGTGGTGGAAGAAGTACTCAATTTTGTAACTTAACGGTGCATTGTGCAACTGTTCTGGTGGAGGTTCCGTCAAAAGCTTTCCTTTCTTCATGATGTTGCTTTGCCTGGAATGTTCCACAGTACAACATTAAACCTTTCTATCTTCATGGAAACCAAACCAGACCAAGTTACAGGTCAGATCTGTGGAGAGGTGACCCTGCTCACAGTCAAAATGTTTGTTTTTCTAGGTATTTTTGAGCTATAAAACCACCTGTAATTGTGTAAATGTAAAATAGATCTGTTTAATGTCACACTGCGGAACATTCCAGGCAAAGCAGTGACGTATCCATAGAAACAAGCAAAAAGTTACATAGTGCACCTGTAAGTAAAAGTACAAATGCCAGCACAAAAAAATACTCAAGTAAAAGTAAAAGTATCACATGAAAAAATCTACTTAAGTAAAAGTATTAAAGTATGTGTTTAAAAAAGTAAAAAGCAGAAGTATTTCCCGCAGATGCTGAGGTCTTATAAAGCTTCAAATGTTGTGATTTTGATACAGATTTGAGCTGAAATTTGTCCAACAGAAACAAATGAATACATTTTTAAAATTGGCTTTGTACATTTTTGTTTTTTGTTCTCAAATTATGAACGTGTTGAAAACAAACTCTCAGCCTTTTCAGCAGGTCTCAAACTATCATTAAAAAAAAAAAAACAAAAAAAAAACAACACTTTAACTTTTCAGTCCTGCTCAAAAATGTAGTGGAGTAGAAAGTACAGACACCTGCTCTCAAATATAGAGAAGCAAAAGTAAAAAGTATCCACTGTAAAATGCACTTAAGTAAAGCACAGTTACCCCAAAATTATACTTAAATACACTTTACTACTTTTACTTAAGTGCGTTTCACCACTGACCAAGACCTGATAAAGGCTCTAGCTTTGTTGTTGTGAATTACGTGCAAAGTTCGGCGTGTATCTTGACTCAGCATCTTGCCACATCCTAAGAATAAGTTTAAAGAATGACTGAACAAAACAGGGCCCCTCAGTTTACTATTAGAGTTTACTATTAGACCAGTATTTTGCAAGTGTAATATTATTAGATTAACTATTTTAAAGTATTACACAAAACTGACTCTTGTAACTTTAAATCATGTTATAATGTTGTTTTCTCATCAAAAACAGACCTGGAGTTATGTTTTGTTTCATTCACATGCTTGAGTAACTCTGTTACACCTTGTGATGTCAGGAAATGATAGTTTTCAAGTTCACAGCTACACTTTTTACTTTTTGTTTAGGGATTGCCAGTTCCAGGGTTTAAATCATCCAAATTATTCTATTTAATTCAAGTTTATTTATATAGCGCATTTAAAACAACTGACCAAAGTTCTTCACGTAAAAGTCAACATAAATAGAGGCAATTACAAATACATGTGAAGACTACAGAAGAGGTGAGTTTTCAGTCTTGTCTTATTACAGATATTGAGTTTAAAAACACAGTGGAGCACTTCCTGTATTGCCACATGACAGAGCATTTTCAGTTCAGAGAGAAGAACTCAGACTAAATATGCAGGGCTTGAGTGAAACAAAGCACAACTCCAGATATGTTGGTGATGAGGAAACTACATTATAACATCAGGAAATAACGCAATATAAGTTAGAAGTATGGCTATAAGGCAAAAAAAAAAAACAACGAACAAAAACAAAAAAATAAGCAATCTAAAAGTTGTAGGAAAGGATGAAATAAAGCTAGATTAAAGCATCTAACCAAATCCAAACCAAAGAAGAGAAGCCTACAAAGGAATCTAACTCCAGGACTGAAAAAACTCGAGTCTTGTCATACTGTCGAGAACCAGCGGGTGGTGCCACAGACTCTCACCGCTCACGAGCTGTTGTGTCCGGCTGCGCTGCTCCGCTGGTGCCGCTGTCTCTCCCGGGAGTGTCTGTGGAGGTGGAGGTGGACGCGGTCGGTGCGTGTCCCGGGGCCCCAGGCTTTTGGTCCGCGGTTCTGTGCGTCTGGGTGGAGGGACTCAGGGAGGAGGAGGAAGTCCGGAATGAGCGCTCAGACACGAAGGGGAAGAGAAGCAGCTTTTAGAGGAAGTTATAACAAATTTGGTTACCTCTGATGAAATGACCGTGAAGGCGTTGTTAAATTTACAAACTTATAGCCTATTTTACCTCTTTACTCATTTAAGAAACTAAAACACTGCGATTCAATTTGGTTAGACAATGTTTGTGTCAAGTTAAACTACATTTCTGTTATCAAATTAACTCCTACTTTATTTAAATAGCTAAAAAAGCACATTTAATTTGATCTAAACACATAGTACACTGATAATACTTATTTTACTGTACGTATAATTACAGGGTCATGTTACTTTAAGGCCGTGAGACACAGTGACTTATGGGAAGTTGGTTTGTAGTGGTGTGTGAAGAGGCAGAAAACGAATTAAAAGTTGCCCAAAACTGAAATGAACGTGAGTCTGGTCATTTATTTCTGGTTCACAGAGAGATCAGGCCCCAACTCTTTGACATTCATGTTGTTTTTGCACGTAAATGTAGATATACTGCGTAAAATACACAGGTCTAGATGGAGAAATTTGAATAACAGTGAGGTCTCATGGGTCTGTGAAGTCTGTGGCAGGGCGCGCTCTAGTGGTCATTAGCCGCACTGCAGACAGAGAAGTACAGAGTAAAGCCTAAATTTGACAGAATAGTAAAAGTGCCCATAATAGGCAATTTTCTGATCTATGTTATAATGTTGTTTCCTCATCAAAAACAGACCTGGAGTTGTGTTTTTTTGTTTCATTCACACATGTTTAACACACAAATCCTGCATATTTAGGTTTTGAGTTTTTTTTCTCAAAAATAAAACACTCCACTTCCACCTTGTGATGTCATGTGGTAATACAGGAAGTGCTCCACTGTGTTTTTAAACTCCGTACACCTTCACTAGAATGATTTAGATCATTTCACCCCTGGAATTGCCAATTTGTACTGAACTAAAGGTAAAGGGTAGCTGTTAACTTGAAAACTGCACCTTGTGACATCACAAGGTGCAGTTGGGTTAGTATTTGGGGATTTATACAGATCAGTACTAAAGGATTACGGAAACGTGTGAATGAAACAAAACACATGTCCAAGTAAGTTTTTGATGATGTAACAGCATTATTACGTTGCGAAAAGCTCACAAGAGTCCATTTTGAATGCTGTAGGACAGGAGTCTCCAACCTTTTTCCTCCAGTGAGCTCTTTTTACCAAACAAAAATGCCAGAGTGCTACTCATTTTAGTGTTAGCAAGAAATTTAGTACATATAAGCCCCACGACAATCCTTAGATGGAGGACAGTTAGATGCCTATAAACCACAAACTATTATCCATTTATTTGGTTAGGCATCAAAATTATACTTTTACAATGAGTGTTAATACAATTTTAGTTATTTAGGACAGTACATATAATTCAGAAATCCCTTGGTGAGCTGGGTGCTCCCGAGCTACAGGTTGGAGACCCCTGCTGTAGGACCTTTAATTAGTTGCCTAAATGTGAACTTCTGAAGGCTCCCTGCTCCACCAGGGGCCGGTGGCGTTACACAATTATTGAACTTCACGCGTTAATTTGATAGATATACTATCTGACAGTAATGCACTTGCACAGTGGGTTACAGAGGGATTTATTTTAGACACGCCCTAAAACCCTAAAAATATCTTCTTCTGTCCAACATATATTTGCTCTTGACTTTGGTCCGTACGCGCGATGACACGAGGATGCGCGCGGAGAAATGTGCGCTATGTAAACAGATGCCGCGTGAAGATGAAGTGCGAGGCTATAAACAGACCGACGAGTGAAAGCGCCGGGGTCACCTGCGCACGTGAGCCCGGGGGTCACCTGAGCACGAGGGCACCGGGGTCACCAGGGCACGAGAGCCCTGGGGCCACCTGGGAACGAGAGCACTGAGGTCTGGGGTCACCTGGGCACGAGACCACTAGGGTCACCTGGGAACAAGAGCACTGGGGTCTGGGGCCCCGAGAGCACTGAGGTCACCTGCACCGGGGAGACCTGAGCACGAGAGCCAAAGACCAGTTTATGAACTTTTACAGGTAAATTTGCTTAATTGTCTAAAACAATTAGACTCATTAATTGTAATTAAACACATTTAAAGCCGCTGACCAGGTTTATGTCAGTCCGTGGTTTTGTCCATCCAGAGTCAACTAATTTAAACAGGCCAGGTAGCTGGGGTGAAAGAAGTACAAAGAAGTAAATATTTAAATAAGAGTATTAAAGTACCTGTAGTGAAAGTAGTGATTTTGATAAAGATTTGTGTTGAATTTTATCAGAAGCTTAAAAGTCAGAAGCACTTGAAAAGATAGTTTTTTCCTAGCTGGTTTTGTTTGTATATACATATTTTTTGCTTAAGCTATGAGCGTGTTAAAAATTTATTTTTCAGCAGGGTTCAAACAATCATAAAAACCAAAAAAAAACACCTTTTACTTTTTAATCCTGTTTAAAAATGTAGTGGAGTAGAAAGTACAGATACCTGCACTCAAATGTAGTGAAGCAAAAGTAAAAAGTACTGTAAAATGGACTTAAGTAAAGTACAGATACCTCTTTTTTTTATTTTTTTTTATTTTTTATTTACTTAAGTACAGTATTTTACTACTTTTACTTAGTTTCGTCCCTGCATTGTTGGGCAGGTTACAGTTTTTTTCTTCTCCCCTCCTCCTTCTCAGATGCCCGCCCTGCTCTGCGCCGGGGCCGTGGGCGTGTAGCAGAGTGCGCGAGCGGAGGGAAGCAGCGTCGTGTCTGATCGCGCTTTTTTGAGAAAGACTCCACTTTTCCTGCAGCGCCGAACTGAGCTCACCTCACTCACGCCTTTCTCTTCTGTGTTTCAATCATGGAGTCACGCACGCGCACCGATCGATCCATGGATTAGTCGGATTTGAGTCGGTGGAGCGCCAAGTTGGAGGTGAGTTTTTGCAGGCGACTTTTTGAGACTTTCTTGGCGGTTTACAGCTCAGATTTGAGTCTTGACGTGAGACAGGCTGTACAGTCTGGAGTCCAGGGTTAGATCTTTCACGAGGATCACAGAAAGGGGACGATCAATGCACATTTTTTTTTTTTTTTTTCATTTGAACTGCTCTGTGTTCGTTTCTTTCTAGTTAATTTTCCAGCTTAGTCCAGGTAAACTATAACTTAAAGCTGCAATGTGCAACTTTTCTGGTTCATGGTCTGTCAAATGCTTTTCTCCATGGTTATTGCTTGCTCTGTAATGTTTCACAGTATGGCATTAAACCTTTCTATCTTCACGGAGACCAAATCAGACCAAAGTTACAGGTCACATCTGTGGAGAAGCGACCCCGCTCACAGCCAGAATGCCTCTTTTTCTAGGTATTTTTGAGCAATAAAACCACCTGTAATTGACTAAATGTAAAGTAGAGCTGTTTAAAGTCATACTGTGGGACATTCCAGGCAGAGCAATGACACGAGAAAAACACCTTAGTTGGTTTTAGTTACTCCAGCTTGGTCAGGTGTTTATTTAAGGGCCCACGATGATTACGCTATTTTCTGATCTATGTTATAATTTTGTTTCTTTCATCATAAACAGACCTGTAGTTGTGTTTTGTTTCTTTCACACATGTTTAATTAACACACAAACCCTGTGAGTTATTCTCTCAAACTGAAAATACTCTGCTCCACCTCGTGATGTCATGTGGTGATACAGGAATGCAGGTGCTCCATGGCGTTTTTAAACTCCATACACCTTCACTAGAATCATTTGGGTGATTTCAGACCTGGAATTGAAAATCTGTTCTGAATTAAAGGTAAAAGGAGCTGTTAATTTGAAAACTACCGCTTCATGACATCACAAGGTGGAACAGAGCATTTTGAGGTTTGGAGATGTAAGTATTACTCAAACATGTGAATGAAACAAAACACAACTCCAGGTTTGTTTTTCAGGAGGAGCTATACCAGACTTACTTATTGTCTTCTAGGTTAGACCTGGTTTAGTCCTAGATTAATCCCAAGTAGTCCTGTAGTTTCCTGCTTCCTTACTGGTTTGCATCTGGTTTTAGACTTGGTTTAGACTTGGTTTTGATCTGGTTGTACTCTTGATCTAGTCCTGGTTTTCTTCTAATTCTAGACCTGAGTTTGATCTGGTTTTAGACTTGGTGTAGACCTGGTTTGGATCTGGTTCTAGAATTGGTCTTGTTCTGGTCTAGTTTTTGGTCTAGTACTGGTTTAGTTCTAATTCTAGACCTGGTTTTGATCTGGTTGTAATCTTGGTCTAGTTTGGGTTTAGTTCTGTTCTAGACCTGATTTTGATCTGGTTTTAGACTTTGTTTAGACCTGGTTTAGATCTGGTAGTAGTCTTGCTCTAATCCTGGATTAGTTCTTGGTCTAGTGCTGGTTTTGTTCCATTCTAGACCTGATTTTGATCTGGTTGTAGTCTTGATCTAGTCCTGGTTTAGTTCTAATTCTAGACCTGATTTTAACATGGTTTAGTACTGTTTTTAGACCTTATTTTGATCTGGTTCTACTATTGGTCTAGTCCTGGTCTAGTTCTTGGTCTAGTCCTGGTTTACTTCTGTTCTAGACCTGATTTTGATTTGACTTATACACTTGGTTTATTTCTGTTTTTAGATCTGGTTTGTATCCGGTTCTAGTCTCGACTTTGTCTTTGTTTATTTCTGTTCTAGACCTCATTTTAGACCTAGTTTGGATCTGGTTCTAGTCTGGGCTTAGTCCTGTTTAATGTTTGGTTCAGTTTTGTGGGAAATGAAGCAGCTGTCTGAACTGCTGACCCCCGTGTGATGGGTCCTGTTGGATGGTGTGTTTAAGGACATTGGCTCTCGTCGTAAATATGAGAACTTAATCACACAATTAACATAACGTTGTGTTAAATATACATGAGAAGCTTTACAAGACCCACAGCGGTAATAATAAAAAATAAAAAAAAACATATATGAAATGGTAAATTGCAACGAGAATGAAACCAGAACCAAACTGGGACTAAACTAAGACTAAACCAGGACTAAACTAAGACTAAACCAGGACTAAACTAAGACTAAACCAGAACCAAAACAGGATTAAACCAGGACTAAGCTAAGAATAAATCTGAACTAAATCAGGACTAAACTAAGACTAAACCAGGACAAAACTAGCACTAAAACAGAACCAAAAAACAGAACTAAACTAAGACTAAACCAGGACAAAACTAGCACTAAAACAGAACCAAAAAACAGAACTAAACTAAGACTAAACCAGGACAAAACTAGCACTAAAACAGAACCAAAAAACAGAACTAAACTAAGACTAAACCAGGACAAAACTAGCACTAAAACAGAACCAAAAAACAGAACTAAACTAAGACTAAACCAATAAAAAAATCAGACCCAAAACAGGATTAAAACAGGACTAAACTAGGACTAAAACAGAACCAAACTAGGACCAAACCAGGACCAAACCAGGACCAAACCAGGACCAAACCAGGACCAAACCAGGACCAAACCAGGACCAAACCAGGACTAAACCAGGACTAAACCAGGACTAAACCAGGACTAAACCAGGACTAAACCAAGACTAAGCTAGAACCAAAACGGGTTTAAACCAGGACTAAACTAAGAATAAACCAGAACCAAAACAGGACTAAACTAGGACTAAACAAGACTAAACCAAGACTAAACTAGGACTAAACCAGAACCAAAACAGGAGTAAACTAAAGGCTGCCACACAATACAGGAGAATTTGCCCGATTTAGGCTGCGATTTGTTTCTCCCCAAGTTTGCGTAGGCGTGACCCGACTTTGTGACTTCGTGTGCGATTTTGAAGCCGCTGTGCTACACGTGTGTGTCATGTCAGTGTGATTCTGAACTGCTCTGTCAGATCATAACCACCAAACATCAACAACACTACAACAACAGCCAATAAAACAGAGCGTCAGGGGCAGAGGAGTGACGGACACAGTAAAGTTGCAAATTTAAAGTGCATCATCTCATCTACATTATCCATAGAATTTATCCTCTGCAAATAATGACATCCAGTCCACAAAACATCGCTATTAATCTAGATTGAGGCGTTCTTTAAAAGTAAAAAGCTGAGATAGTTCTCTTGTGTGTCTGTTTACATCCACACAGCGCATGTATCGAGGTGAAGCTGCAGATTAGCAATAGTGACTCAATTTCCTGTGTGCTTAATCTGCAATCTTTTATGCTTTAAAAATCATGTATCTGAAGTTTTGCATCACATTTCACAAATAATTACTCAGTTTTGACTTGGTTGTAAACTAGAAGTGCAGTGCTCTGATCTTTTGAACACTTAAGAGTCTCAAAGTGAGTCGTTTTACTGTAGACATAAACAGCAAATGCGATCGCGCTCACATCTTTATACCCTGTGGCGTGCAGTTATATCCTGCTGCAGTCTTTGCGATCAGAGATTTTAAATTTCGTAAGATTCTCGTGTCTGTGGCATGCACTTTTTGTCTCATGTTTAAAAATAGTTTAAGACCGAACAATCCTGTAGTGTGTGACGCTTGAGACTAAACCATGTCTAAACTAAGACTAAAACAGAACCAAAAATGGACTAAACCAGGACTAAACTTAGACTAAACTAAGACTAAACCAGGGCTAAACTAAGACTAAACCAGGGCTAAACTAAGACTAAACCAGGACTAAACTAAGACTAAACCAGGACTAAACTAAGACTAAACCAGGACTAAACTAAGAATAAACCAGGACTAAACTAAGAATAAACCAGGACTAAACTAAAACTAAAACAAAAACAGAACCAAACCAGGACTAAACCAGACCCACTAAACTAGAACCAAAACAGGACTAACCTAAGACTAAACAAGGACTAAACTGGGGCTCAAATTTCATCCTTAAACCAGGACTAAACTAAAACAGAACCAAACCAGGACTAAACTAAAACTAAACCAGGACTAAACGAAAACCAAAACAGAACAAAAACAGGACTAAACCAGACCCACTAAACTAGAACCAAAACAGCACTAAACAAAAAGTAAATGAGGACTAAATTGGGGCTCAAATTTCATCTTTAAACCAGGACTAAACTAAGACTAAACTAAAACCAAAACAGGACTAAACTAAGACTAAACCAGGACTAAACTAAGACTAAACCAGACTAAACCAGACCCACTAAACTAGAACCAAAACAGGACTAAACTAAGACTAAACCGGACTCACTAAACCAGGACTAAACTGGGGGTCAAATTTCACCCCTAAACCAGGACTAAACCAGGACTAACCTGGGGTATTGTTTTTCAGAGATGCAGATGTTGTGGCTGATGCTGAGTACGCTCTCAGTCTGTGCTCAAAGCGGATTGGAAGACACAGACCACGCCCCCCTCGACCAGCAACACCTGGTTTCCAACGGCAACAGATGTCCAGGTAAAACAAACAAACAAAAAAGTTCATCATATTTCAAACTAAAGAACAAGGACTAAAAGGACTAAATTTGGTCTAATTTAAGATGTCAGGCTAGTTAAAGTTGTACTATGTAACTTTTCTGGTGAGGGTCAGCCACCTGCTTGTCTCCATGGAGATGTTATTGTTATACAAGACAGATCTGTGGAGAGGCGCCTCATGTCACAGAAGGAATTACTGTATTTTTGAGCAACAGAAACACCTATAATGAATAAATGCAAGATGGCAATGTTTAAAGTCATATCAGGGAACATTCCGGGCAAAGCAATAACATCTCCATGGAGACAAGCTGGTAGAAAAGCTGCGTATTGCATCTTTAATTTACAATATTGTTAAAAAATATGAGCTGCAATAAATAAATAAATAAATAGCAGAATTAAACACTTTTTAGTTATTTTATATATATATTTAGTCATAGAATTTATTTATTCAACTTTCTAGAGCTCAGATCTTCTCATAATACAGATAAATAACCAAAAACTTTAAACAAGTACAAAAAAAAAAAAAGCAAGCACTTGAGATAATTGTTCTATCTTTGGTATATTGAACTTTAAGTCAATATAGCTTTTATCGTGACAGGTCTAGTCTCACCTTTTTGTTAATATATTTGCAGTCAGATGGAAACAAAAGTGTGGGCTGCCGTTGTTCTCTCCAAAACCGCAACTTCCTGTCGCGGATGATGTCACAGGAAGTGAACAGTTATTTCTCTACTTTTAAGTGTCTAAATTTATCTGAGTGAGGCCTTCAGGATCACGCCATAGTGTTTCTGTACAGTCCCATTAAAGGTGCATTGTGTAACTTTTCTGGTAGAGGATCCGTCAGTCAGAATGCCTGTTTTTCTAGGTATTTTTGAGCTATAAAACCACCTATAATTGGGAAAAAAGTTACATAATGCATTAGGGATCTGACAATATTAAATTCTCACGATACGATATCGTCACAGTATGAACCTCACGGCACAGTATTTATTGCAGTGTTTTGTGGAGGCTAACAAAGGGCCCATCTCATGCAAAATAACTCTTTTCACATTGTATCTTGTGCACATATACAAGCACAATTTGGTTTTGGAACATCCATTAAACAATAGTTGTGAAATCTTACTGATTTCTTGGATTCAGTCACAGACCAGGAACTATAAAAGACCGACTATTGCTCATCCCCCCGCCTGTCCTGAGAAAGCACAGGCTCCGCCCCCCAAATGTGACGTAGGCTCTGAGTGAGCCGCCCTTCCTCCGACCATCTCAGGCAGGGAGGGGGAGACAGGCGTGCACTCTGATAGTGGTAGGAATAAACTTTTATTCATCATGGAGATACAGCGCGTTCAGCCGCATGTGTTGGACCCGGAATGGGACGAGGACATGGAGGTGCACGAAGCTCAAGCACCGCGTCGACATCAGCTGAACATTACTGATTGGTAAAGTATTAAAAAACACTAGTAGATAAAGTTATTATATTGTGTCCACTGCAGTGTAAAACAATTAGCTTATGCTGTCGCTTTTGTTGAGGTGTTCATGTGTCATGTGGGAATTGTCAGCCGAGGCAGGGCGGAGGCAGTGGAGAGGAGGAGGAGAGCGGGTGCAAAGCGCTCTCTGCTACATCAAATGTGTCATAGGTGTAGTTGCCCCGTCATCCTTGTAGCAACTTTAGTTTGTTGTCACTTGGGAGGGTGGCAGAAATAAGCAGCAATTTGTTAAAAAAAAACGCTGAATTAATCTTAAAAACCACTTCAGCAACATATACAAGGCCCACACATCACTCTTAGAAGGTAGAAAGCTCTGAAAAGTTGATTTTGCATGAGATGGGCCCTTTTTTCCTCTTAAAATGCCCTCACAAGACTTAATCCAAAGACCTAAGACTTAAAAGTGATTAGAACTGTTATTTCTTCATGTAGTCTTCACTGAAATGGAGCAAAGGATCATGGTTTATGTAGTTCCCTCTGTCATTTTTTTTTAGCTATTGCTGCACCATAACCCTTAATTTAAACAAAGACACATGTAATTCGATATATTGTGAGGGTCCACGATATTATTGTGAGAATTATGACGATATGATACCACAATATTTCGGTTATTGTTACATCCCTTTATTCAAATAAGTCCCCAATCATATACAGTAGGTTTTGTTCTTGTTCAGTGTCTTAAACTTTCACATTTTAGTGTTGTTACGATACAAAAATGTAAAACTTGATTTCGATTTTATCTAATTAATTGTTTAAAATGTATTTATTAAAGGTGCACTGTGTAACTTTTCTGATAGAGGGTCTGCTACCTGCTTGTTTCCATTGGCGATATTACAGTTTCGCCTTTGAATATTTGAGAGTGTGGGAATTAGGGATGGGCATTCGATGAAATTTTCTTAATCGATCGTCGGAAGAATTAACGATCGATTATCGATTAACGATTAACGTTTTTATATTAAAATGATCATCATTATTATTACTATCTGCACTACTAATCTGCATAAATAAATTCAGCTTTACGACATATAAACCGTAACGACTCTAGAGCCACATCAATCCGTTTGACATTATAATGTGTTTAATTCAGTTTTGCGCAACTCTCACAGAAACGAAACTTAAAACCGCATCGCTAATTTGCATAAACAAAGCGAAGATAAAACTACAGTGTCGCCGATGCAGTCAATTTCTGTCGGATTAAAAGACATGACTCAGTGGAATACAGGTTAGTGTGACCATATGCGTTTGTCAAAACCAGGACACCGTACGGGGGGAGGGAGGTGGGTCCTCGTCATCGACATTGCGCGTCTCTCACCTGGCAAAACTTTTTCCCACTGGACACCGAAACATATGTTCCTGCTTTATACACTGTGCACATGGACTCACACTTGTCCCGAACGCAACGGAAAGCGCGGAATTTCTTGTACAAGTCATCATTAAATACACATTTGTGCTTCGGCACGCTGCAGACTGACTGACTGTTTGTGTTTGCTCGCTCCTTCTGAGTGCAGAGAGCTACATTTACGGACCCCTGTTTGGTCACGCTACACACAGCAACCTACATTCGGTTTGTCGATTAAAATTAATGTAATCGATGAAATTCTTAATGATCAATTATCGATTAATGGATTAATCATGCCCATCCCTTGTGGGAATAAACTTGGTAATCGCAGTGTTAATGTCACAGGTTAATGGTCAGATCTATGGAGCCCGCATGTGGTTAGAGTTCATGTTTTTTAAGATATTTTTGAGCTGTATGTGACAAAGTGGGGCCTTTGTCTCATTTTAAATTCACGTTAGTTTATGTTAAACATTTTTATTTTGAAAGGGGACTTGCTTTGCTTTGGGAGTTACCTGGATACTCACCTGGGGGGAGGTACTTCCTGTTGGGTGGGGTATAAAAGCAAAGCAGGTGTCATTAGTTAGGGGAGAGACTTCTATGCAGGTGTTTGGTGTTTTTACTTTGAGTTCCTTATTTTTTGTTTATTTGTACTTTTGTTGGTGAACTCCAGAAGTCTGGTTTTAAAATAAATTTTGTCTGGTTAAGGACACTTTTTTTTGTTGTTGCATCTACCTCCTACTTTGACCACTTTGGCCAGCTTCCCCACACTGTAAAACACCTATAATTTAACAAATGCAAGGGTGATATGTTTAATGCTATATTATGGAACTTTCTTGGATGATGCAAAGAAAGAAAAAGAAAGAAATAACATCTCCATGCAGACAAGCAATTAGCGGATCTGCCACCTTAGAAGTTACATAGTACAGCTTTAAAGGTGCACTGTGTAAATTTTTGGCTGCTTGTTTCTATGGGTACATCATTGCTCTGTCTGGAATGTTCCACAGTATGACATTAAACAGCTCTACCTTACATTTATTCAATTACAAAAGGTTTTATAGCTCAAAAATACCTAAAAAATAGACATTCTGACTGTGAGTGGGGTCACCTCTCCACAGATCTGACCTGTAACTTCTGGTTTGGCCTCCATGGAGATAGAAAGGTTTAATGCCATACTGTCAAACATTTTAGACAAGGCAATAAAGACATCACAATGGAGAAAAGCATTTGACGAACCCTCCACTAGACCAGAAAATTTACACAGTGCATCTTTAACAAACATTTTTACTTCCGAAATCACATGAGATAAAATAATTCGGATACAAACGGCCCATCACGCTGGACTGCGCTTTGAGCTCTAGTGGAGGCGCTAATTACAAAGGCTTTGTTTCCTGCTACAGAAGAAGAAGAAGAGCTGAGCCTTAGCAGCTGAGAGACAGGAATAAACCAGAGTCAAAATGAAACTACAGGAGGATTAGAACTCCAGAGTGTGTGTTATATGAAACGAGAAATACAGTACAGGCAAATCCCTCCTGTTCTCTTAAAGGAGCTGTATGCAGCCTCTGTTCTGGTTTATAAAAGAGTCTGTAATCTAGAAATCATCAAATATGGGTTTTTCATGGCCACTGCTGATGCCGGTTGTTTAGAATCCAGAGAAAACCAATGACCAATAAACTCTGATGGTATTTTTAGGCAGATTTTGACAGTTTTGCCCAAATGATGTAATTTAAAGTCACTACAAACTCCCCCACAAACCTGGATCGTGGTGCTCTGTATAAGTTTTCTGGTGGAGGGTCCGTCAAATGCTTATTTTTTTTTGTCTGTAATATTTCACAGTATGGCATTAAACCTTTCTATCAAGTTACAGGTCAGATCTGTGTAGAGGTGACCCTGCTCACAGTTACAATGCCTGTTTTTCAAAGTATTTTTGAGCTATAAAACCACTTGTAACTGAATAAAGGTAAAGTAAACCTGTTTAATGTCACACTGTGGAACATTCTAGGCAGATCAATGACGTATCTATAGACTACTACTCACTGTTTTGGTTGATTTGCTGCCTAAAAACTACACAAATAAAATATCGGACTTAAATATCAGATGTTTAAGGCCAGTAACTGATACTATAACAGTCAAAATATGACCTAATATTGACCTATCTCTTCCTTAATC